TGTAAGTAATATTGTAGCTGGAAAGAATTGCAAAATGAAACTAGATTCAAATATATCAGTAGCACAGCGAAGTACGAAACGTAGAAATAATCATACCTGATTTATTGCTAGTCTTCACGCCAATCCAGGCTGATAGTGAGATGATGATGATGATGATCAGTTATGAACAAGTTTGTTGAAATCTGTTTGTTATATAATCTCGTTCAGTACCGAGTGTGCGCAGTCAGAACAAATCTCTCAAGGGTTTCAAGGGCTCATGCACCGTTCAAGCGAGTAAAAATTAATGACAGGCCAGTGCGTGCTATTATATGTTAGCTTTCATTGGCCTTAATTTAAAAACTTTACCGCAGGGACGTGGCTATATAAGACGTTAATTAAAGGGGAGAATATGAATATAAGCGATCGTTATAAAAAAAACACTCAGGCATAAGACGAATATATGAATATTTGCCCCAATTAAGCTTCTTTCTGCGGCCCTGCTTTGTGAAGTATAAGTGTTTTAAATTACGCTTCGACGAGATTGAGTGTATTCTATCAGTATAGTGTACATGGTGTAGACCAAATGCGCAGGTATCTGAGTGTCGGCAGTCAAACAACATTAATCTTTTGTTGTTTTTCGGCTTGTTGTCGAGGCCGCAACGTCTGGATATACATTTGAGAATGAATCGTGTGGATTTTAATTTTTTCCTCTACCTCGTGCGCATGCGCAGTGATTCTCTATAATAGTACAATGTTTTTACTCGTGTGTTTTGAAGGCAATATTGTAATATGATGGACATGCTTCAAGCACTTGTTGTGATTAGTTTAGTACGAAGGTCTTTCCTTAGAACTGAGAAGGAAGGACTTTATTCGGTCAACCAACACTATAATCTTTTGTTGTTTTTCGATGAATCGTGTGGATTGTAATTTTTCCTCTATCTCGTATGGTGTGCATGCGTGTAGGCATAACTATGCGCAGGTATCTGAGTGTCGGCTGTCCAAGCAACATTACTCCGGAGTTTTGGGATAGACTTCGGATTGTTATCGAGGCTGGAACATTTAGATATACATTTGAGAATGAATCGAGTGGGATGTAATTTTTACCTCTACCTCGTACGCATGCGCCGTGATTCTCTATAATATGACAATGCCTTTATTTGCGTGTTTTAAAGGCAATATTGTATTCTTATGATGGACAAGCTTCAAGCACTTGTCTTGATTAGTTTTATAACTAGGGACTTTATTCTCTCTTATTTGTCATAAACAACCCCCAACAGGTCTCCACTGCCTAAATCAGATTCCGCAAAGGATCGTTAACATTGTTAAAGGTCGGTATAACTTAAAAAGACATCAGCAAGTGCTGGCGAAATTCAACTGATCCTATTGACCTTCTTCACTGGTCTCTAAATTCGCATCGGACTCACGCGATTGGGTGTATTCTATCCGAGTATGGTGTAAATGGTGTGGACCATGTGCGCAGGTATCTGAGTGTCGGCTGTCAAACAACACTATAATCCTTTGTTGTTTTGTGGCTTGTTGTTGAGGCCGCAACATCTGGGCATACATTTGAGAATGAATCGCGTGGATTGTAATTTTTTCCTCTACCTCGTGCGCATGCGCCGTGATTCTCTATAATTGTACAATGCTTTTATTCGTGTGTTTTGAAGGCAATATTGTAATATGATGGACATGCTTCAAGCACTTGTCGTGATTAGTTTAGTACGAAGGTCTTTCCTTAGAACTGAGAAGTAAGGACTTTATTCGGTCAACCAACACTATAATTTTTTGTTGTTTTTCGATGAATCGTGTCGATTGTAATTTTTTCCTCTATCTCGTGCGCATGCGCCGTGATTCTCTATAATATGACAATGCCTTTATTTGCGTGTTTTTGAAGGCAATATTGTAATATGATGGACAAGCTTCAAGCACTTGTCGTGATTAGTTTCATAACTAGGGACTTTATTCTCTCTTATTTGTCATAAACACCCCCCTAACAGGTCGCCGCTGCCTAAATCAGATTCTGCAAAGGATCGATAACATTTTTAAAGGTCGGTATAACTTAAAAAGACATCAGCCCGTGCTGGCGAAATTCAACTGATCCCATAATCTTTTGTTGTTTCTCGGCTTGTTTTCGAGGCCGCAACATCTGGGTGTAAATTTGAGAATGAATCGTGTGGATTGTAATTTTTTCCTCTATCTCGTGCGCATGCGCCGTGATTCTCTATAATAGTACATTGCTTTTATTCGTGTGTTTTGAAGGCAATATTGTAATATGATGGACATACTTCAAGCACTTGTCGTTATTAGTTTTATAACTAGGGACTTTATTCTCTCTTATTTGTCCTGAACATCTCCAACAGGTCGCCACTGCCTAAATGAATGAATCGATTTGATTGTAATTTTTTCCTCTACCTCGTGCGCATGCGCCGTGATTCTCTATAATATGACAATGCTTTCATTTGCGTGTTTTGAAGGCAGTATTGTAATATGATGGACAAGCGTCAAGGTCTTTTCTTTAGAACTGAGAAGTAAGGGCTTTATTCTGTCGTAAAGACCTCCAACTGTCGGCACTGCCTAAATCAGGTTCCGCAAACGATCAATAACATTTTCAAAAAGTCGGTGTTACAGAACTTAATAGAGCGGAGTTATAAAAAAATACCCGAGCCTGACCAACACATCAGCCCGTGCTGGCAAAATTCGTATTGTCACGGTTAACATTTAATTCGCGATTTGTTACTTTTCGCAAAAATTTATATAAGTCGCACAAGATTAAGATTGTGGGAAAGACCTTGGTATTGGCATGCAGTCAACCGCCGCTGGTTGCTTCCGTACAAACAGACTAAGTACGTGCGTATAGTGGCATATTGTTAAATATAGATAAGTGTATACATACAGATAGGAAGTATAAACGTTTCAAATGATGCTATTGACCTTCAGTGGTCTCCTTGAATCCGCGCGTTGCACACACGAGATTGAGTGTATTCTATCAGTAAGGTGTACATGGTAGGGACCATGTGCGCAGGTATCTGAGTGTCGGCTATCAAACAACAATATAATCTTTTGTTTTTCGGATTGTTGTTGAGGCCGCAACGTCTGGATGTACATTTGAGAATGAATCGAATGGATTGTAATTTTTTCCTCTATCTCGTGCGCATGCGCCGCGATTCTCTATAATATTGTCATGCCTTTATTGAGTTTATTCGTGTGTTTTAAAGGCGATATTGTAATATGATGGACATGCTTCAAGCATTTGTCGTTATTAGTTTCATAACTAGGGACTTTATTCTCTCTTATTTGTCCTGAACATCTCCAACAGGTCGCCACTGCCTAAATGAATGAATCGAGTTGATTGTGATTTTTTCCTCTACCTGGTGCGCATGCGCCGTGATTCTCTATAATTTGACAATGCTTTTATTTGCGTGTTTTGAAGGCAATATTGTAAGGTCTTTCAAGGTCTTTTCCTTAGAACTGAGAAGTAAGAAGTTTCCTTAGAACCGATCGATAACATTTTCAAAAGACGGTATTACAGAACTTAAAAGAGCGGAGTTATAAAAAAATACCCGAGCCTGGCCAACACATAGGCCGGCCGTGCTGGCAAAATTCGTATTGTCACGGTTAACATTTAATTCGATTTGCTACTTTTCGCAAAATACAAATCGAACAAGTTGAAGATTGTGGGAACTTGGCATGTCATGCGTCATCGTTGTTTACTTCTGCACAAATAGATTACATGCATATAGTGGCATAGTGTTAAATATAGATATTAAAGCCCGGTTTAAACTCCCGCATTCATGCACATAGTCACGAAGTCATTTCAAGTTGTTTTACGGTGTCTCTGTTCACAAAACTTTTTCATTTCGCAGATCATGTTAACGCAATCTTGTTATCATACATTTGGGAGTAAAATTCGCTTTGACATGGCTAATTTTGATGTCGTGACCATACGAATCCGGTATTGTGGAAACGGCCTCTTAAGTATAAGTGTTTCAAATTATGCCAACGACCTACAGTGTCTGAGTGTCGGCTGTCACCTTACCTACACTATAATCTTTTGTTGTTCTTCGCCTTTTGGTTGAGGCCGCAACATTTGGAATGATTCGTGTGTGTACAACTACAAAGTTAACGGTATGATGAACAGTCGCATAACGTCGCAGAAGCATATGTGGCGTTTAGTTTACCACGAGGGGTCTCTTCCTTGGAACTGAGAAGTAGGGATTTTATTCTCTCCTATTTGTTGACCTTCGTTCGTTTCGGCAAAGAGTAACTTTGTCTCGCTGCAAAGATTAAGTGGTTTTTCCGGGCGCCTGTAGACAGAAATACTTTGTTCTCCTCGTCACAATGCAAGAAATAATTCAAAGGCAATATTCAAGACCCGTTATTTGCAGTGGAAATTTGATTTGTTTGAAGTGCATTCTCTAAACGCATCACTCTGTACAGTGTAAGGAATCTCAATGCAATTAGCCTTTCTTACGATGACGAATATGCCGCCATTTATTTTTCTCAAAACCGCAAGCGAGAGACCTCATAACGGCCATAGTCTTTAATTTCTAAGATATTACTGAATTCGAAGCCACGAGGTGCTGCTAGTTCGTGGAAAACATTGAGGTTCGGACACCCTATGTGAAACCTCAGGAAATTGATAACGGCTACTTAAAGGTGGGGAACAGTCCGTAATGTGAACAAACGCTTTTTTACATTTTGAATCCGTATATTTATTAAAATATTGAAACAAGTAGACTACCCATTGTTATGAGCAGAACTGTTGCGCAAAAACGACTGTAACCCTCCTTTAAGGAAACTATATATATATGAAACGCTATTTGATGAAAAATATCCTGGCCTCGCATATATAATATATACGCTTATTATAATTATTAGTTCTCTTCTATAAGGGGCTATTTATATATGAGATCTGGGATGGGAAGATTTTCATCCCGCGTTTATATGGAACCGGGACATTTACACTCCAGACGTTGCTTTGGTAACGCGAGAAAATTTATTTATGAAGGAATGAAGGAAATGTTCACTAAACGCCAGCAGCTTTTCTTACAACCTCGTACCCAGGGTAATTTCGCTGTGTGATAGGGGGAAGACCGCCCGAGGAGGTAAAAAGAGCCTGGGTACGAGGTGGCTTTAATGGTTGCTTTTCTTAATTTTCTGAATGCTATTAGCAGTCTATTTTTTTTTAAATCTCTATCCAGAATGTCGTGATTTTTGCTTCGTATTTCAACCAGCGAGACTGTTATTAAAACGTGTTTCTTGCGTCTTCCGACAGTTTCCGAATCCGAATATTGCAGGAGAAACATTTATAGCGCCCGTCCAGGTGATCTGAAAACGCGGGAAAGGACTGGAACTACTTTTCAAATTGAAATCACTTTTTATCCGTTAAAACAACCTGATACCTCTTGAAATATACTTTATTTCGGTTCGAAATTAATTTCACAGAGCTACAGTGCAGGTAAGTAAACATAATGTGCTCACCTTTTCTTTTAATGTGCTATTTTTAACGTGCGTACAATAATAAAATTCTTGGCTAAATAGTTGAAATATAAAAACCGTCCTTCGAGCTCTCTGAAATATAGTTTCTACAACTTGAAGTGCATGCATTAACTACGAAAAATTATGTAAAAAATATGAAAACATGAAAGAGATTGTTCCTTCTAAAACCATTTCTGCATTTTCTTCATGTGCTTGCTCAGACTCATCCTTGGATTCAGCCATTGTTCTTCATAATCCTCGCCGGGAGATTCACCCTCGTCCATCTCGCTCTTGACATCAAATTCTTCATCCGGTTCATTCGGGAAAAATCTCTCCTCGTCGGAGAAGATTGGACCTTGGGTGGACATCTCTTTTTGTTGCTCACATTGGTATTTCTCCTTTTCCTCGAAATCTTTAACGGTCCAGCAGAATTCTGTAATATTTGTTTCATTCAGTCCACGTGGTGGTGGATTTTGACAGTGGACATCTTCACCTACGGCAATACCCATTCCATTGAGAATATGGGGGTCAATGTGGCAATGCATGAGCCACCATCCTGGATTTGTCGCAAGGAACTCGATCACAACGTAACCACCAGCAGGAACGATGATTACATCCTTGCGTATCGTTGTCTGGTCAACCCGAAGTCCATGTGGTTGGATGTTGTTCTTCCAGTGTCCATGTCCACAGCTTGGTACATCTATATCGTCGTTGACTGCTTTTATAGTACCATTCAAATAATAACTTGGATAGGCGATCTTTGTAACCCAGAAGGAATGACCATGCAAGTGGATTGGATGTGTGACCAGATTCCCGACATGTTCGTCTCTTATCTTTTCTGGTAGCGCAGACAAGACGAATCGAATAGACATTGAAGATCCCCTTTTCTTTACATAGACTGCGTGTGGACATCCCGCTTTGTCGCAGCGCTCTTCGGCGTCTTCGCCATATTTGCATTCGCCTGGTACACTTCCATAGCTCATAGCAAAAGGTACTTTGGGGAATATATATTTAACGTTGTTAACGGTCAAACGATCAGTCGCTTTGAATTCAAAATTAAAGAAATCCTCCACTTCTGGAGGCGGGTAGGTATCGTCTGGAAGTTCTTCATATGGAGTGGGAACGAGCAGGCTTAGAGCTTCGTAGACGTTATAGCATTTAAACGATGGAGCATTTTTAAACCCGGTAACCACAGGATAGTGCCCGAATGGACAGTTTAGCGCTACACAATTTTCTTTGCATGGTTCTCTTTTGACAGGCGCGAAGTATCTGAGATACGCAATTCCGACACCTAACGGTTGGCTGTGGTTGTTACAATATACTTCCACAGACTCAATTCGGATTGGAAATATTGTCCCTGGTTGAACATCAGTTTTGGTCTTCACGATAAAATCGTATCGTTCGCCGACGTGAACATGTACAACGTCGGTTTCAAAAGGTTCCGTGAGGTAACTGTCCGTTGACACCACGTACAATTTATGGCCATCGATGGAAATACGAAAGACGGTAAACTCTATGGCGCCAATCACTCGAAATCTGTAGTTTTTTCCCTTCTCCACCGTATAATATGGTACCTGAAAATATCAATTAATTTGTGTAGTTAAACAGATATGATTTCACAAAATGCATCTCTTGACGACGAGACATCATCTGGTACTAACGCAACAAGGTAACATATATCTCGTTTTAAAGTTTCTCTCTTGAGCCACGTGCCTCATTTAGGTTTCGTCGACTAAAGAATACAGGGTTAAATCTTCCACACTCCCTCCCCCCTGGATCCCATCTAGTGTTACGTCTTCTAACCATAGCTAATAAAAAAACATGGTTTGAAAGCTCCACAAAAGACATTGCTTTATGTTTTTGTTCACGTTTATACCGATTTGTGCACTAATTCTGTATAAGGAATTTATTATCCAATAAAAACCTTAGGTTCAATCACTTGACCTTACGCCTGAAAATTATCACTTGACCTTACGCCTGAAAATTATCACTTGACCTTACGCCTGAAAATTATCACTTGACCTTACGCCTGAAAATTATCATGTTGATGGATTTATTAAACTTCGCAGTCAACAATGTTGTGCTGAAACCTATGTTCAGTTATTTTTAACAATGTTTTTGTAATTAGCTTTGTTGAACCGTCATAGTTAGAAAGTTATACAGGCTAATACAGAAATTTTAAGTTATACAGGCTAATACAGCAATACAGGGTGTGATATGTCAAAGAAAGGCATTTGAATTAAATATTGTAGCGTATATACAAACGTCGGAATGTATTTATCTTTATCGGATCCGTACCTGCTCATCATCTCGTACACGTTTGTGTAGTTTTACTCCATTTATTTGAAATGATGAGACATGTTCATCTTTTATTTCTGGCGGTGCGGATCCATCTGGTAAACAACCTCTTTCACGTCTGCCTACTCTCTCGTGTTCTGTGACAGACAGCGTATTTCGTTCAGGAAAATCTTCGATTTCTTCAACTTCTAGCAAATGCTCTAATTTGTCCAGTGTTTCACGCTTTTCTTTAACAATAAGGGATCCAAAAATGCCTTCGTCTCGCTGCTTTTCCACGTGTGAATGATACCAATGAGTTCCCGAAGGATGAGCGCGGAGTATGTATCTATAAAGAGGCGTAATTCATGACTGACGGCATGCATATCAAAGTTGTCTTTGTCAGCAATTGTATGTTCTAGGGCGCTTTTCTTTATACGGTAAAAACGGCCAGATCGGTCCTATTACATGTATTTCAGTACAGCCAGAATACTGATATTTTACAGTGTTTCAAGAGCTCTGTACTCAAATATATCGCCTATATTTAGATCTGCCTAGCGCGGAAAATGCAGTTTCACCGCTATATTCTTAATGAAAAATAAAATATGTCTACCACCAAGCAGAGTTTCCACAACACAACGCTCACGTTTTAACCAATCAGCTCAAGAAGGGGTTTGCTAAACAGAAATCCATTCTACAGTATTTAATCGATTTTGGTATAATTTCATTATTGAAGAATGGCTTTCGAGCATTCTGATTGGCTCCTTCACCAGTAACTATGAGGCAATAGTCGCTGCTCAGGCAGACGGCTCTCAGCAGTAACCACTGCTTTTAAAAAAATGTTGTAGAAAATTCGTAAAAATTTATCTGCCACTTTTCTTTGATGCAAACTTCAACTTACCAAATCGGCTTTATTCACGACTTAATTCAAGCATGATTCCATTACCTGAATTTCCCACCGTTTGGTTGGATTCCGTATTGCGTTACATTTGCCACTCCGTCCATCCAAGGGACATTCCTTTGATGCATGCCATGCCAATGTATCGAAGTTTGATATAGTTTCATGTTGTTGATCACTTCAACAGCTAATGTTGCGGTATGTTTTATGATGATCGTCGGGCCAATGCGACCGCCATTAATACTGTGTAATTTTTTTTTATCACGTGGTTGAGCATTTGTCGTGATTACAAGGCGTATGTAACATATGGCACTGTTGCCGCAGTCGCATATCGAAGGTTGAAACAGCGTTTCTTCAGTGCAATGTACTAAGCGCTCGTCTTTTTCTTTGAAGCAATCTGGTGGCGATATAAAAAAAATTTCAGTGGTATTACGCACCACTACACAAAATGAAAGCCCCCTTCTCTGTAATCACGTGTCACATTGGAAATTCGCAGAAGCAGAAGGGGCTGAAGGGATCAAACTATAGAATCCCAATAATAAAATAATAAAATTCACTCTAGTTGCGCTATGAGTTCAGCGACGGCATGGTGATCGCTAAGCATAAGCTATAGTTATTGAGAAGAATGGAAAGTCTTATGTTAATAATAATATACAAATACCTACGAAAGTGCGAGTGAATTTCGTATGTATTTGTATATTTTTACAAGAGTTTCCATCCTCAATAACTATAGCTTATGCTTCGCGATCACTAGACGTCACTGAACTCACAATGCAACTGGAGTGAATTTTATTATTTAAAATGTTACTTGGGCTTCCTATGCTGAAATTTGCGATTTTATGCCGCGCTGCGCGCAAAGTTTGCAAAAAAACAACGAAATTACCTTTCGCTATGATTCTAACAGTCGAAATCGAAAATGCTAAAATTCATGGCAAATACAAAAAATAATGGAAAAACTAACAGAAATACTTTTCAACAATGTAATCAAAATTGCTGACCAAAAGTATACTAACTAATAATAACCACAGTTAGTATAAATTTCGAGATGAATATTCATTTTCCTGAATTCTGATTGGTTAAGATTCACTGTCTCTGAAGTGATAGTCACTGGTCGGTGAATATAGCTTTTTGTTGTTCTATTTCAACACCTCGAAATTTCTACCAAAAAAATTAGTCGCCCCAGGCTCGGTGATTACAAGTCCATATAATATAAACACCGCGGAAAAACGTCTGCGCGCGCGTCAACTCTGCCGGTAAGTGAGATTAAAAATAATTAAGAAGCGGTTCCGAACGTTTCCGAAGGCTAAAAATGGCGGTAAAATGGAGTGATTTCATTCGTGTCTTTAAATCTATATTTCGAGGGCATAAATAAACACTGCATTATAGAAACTAAGAGAAAAAACGTCCAGAGAGTCCTAGAAGTGGCATCCGACAAAAACACCGGTAAAAGGTGACTGTTGACAAATTTTTCGTCTCAAACATTTTGTTTATTAAATAAGCAACGACAGTTTCCGAACTTTTAATTGAGACACGTTTTATTAAAAAAAAATATGTCGCCAGATACGAGACGTTTGCGTGTTCTCCATGATTGAAGATTAAGATGTATCTCGCAATTTAAATAGATTAAAAAGCTTAACTTTCCGCGGGTTTTCTTAACTTTTAGGTTTAAACTTTTGTTTTCGAAAAATATTCTAAAGCCACCCCGCAAAAAAAGGAAAATTTACCGTGAATTCCAGTTCGTTCGATACTCTAAATGCAAGAAGGCTTTTAATTTATGTTCTGTCTTATGTTCTGTCATTTATTGCAGGAAGCTTTCAGTCATTTGTCAGCTTTCAGCTGGACATTAACTTAAAAAAGCCACCAGAATCTTCACAGTGGAACTATGGCATGAGAGTATTGAAACCAAAATAGTTATGTTCATTTTATCAGATGTTGATCTTTCCACATTAATCAATTTATAAAATATATACAACTGTGCTATGCAAACAATCTCGACTCCTCTACATCATTTATTTAATAATTTTTATTAAAAAAAAAGTGAAATATGGACAGCTATAGCAACAGTCTCAGGCCAAATTGAGCTCAAACATATATATTTCCACCTCCCTTAGGAAAATGAAAGGTTCTAAAGATTCCCCATTATTGTATTTTGATGCAAGCAATGTTATACTAAATTTTTGCGCAAATAATTTTATTATACTCTAGTTAAATGATCAGAAATAGGAAGTAACATATCCCACAGGCTAATTTATATGTTTGTTTACAGACAAAATAAGTATTGTGCGCATTTTTCTCAGCATGCCCACTAACTTTTTTATGAAGTTTGAACAATATGGATAGTTTTAAGCCATGTTTCGGAGAGAGGCACTGGTAAAAATTTTAAAATATTTTTATATATGTGCCACAGCATCACATAATTTCACAAAGCAAGCATGCCCATATTAAAGTTTGCGGTTAGATTCTTAAAACTTACCAAATCAATAGGACTTTTCATAATTCATAACAACCAATACTTGGACATATTAAAATCACTTTGCAGCAATTTTTACATCATAACAAACTCATACAGAAGGAAGTTCGTAAGTATGTTACAACATGGCATTTTCAGAGCATAAGTGGTTTGTAAAATTACAACATCTAGAGCATTTTTCCCATGAGTGGCTAATGTTTCAATAAAACAAAACATGATTTAACTTTCATAAAATATACTTTATAACTGAAGGCAAAGGTCAGTTTTCACGAAATCGAAACAGGAAAAGGTGTTATTTCTATAGAAAAATGCATGTTTAATAAGGTACTTATTATTTCGCGTGAGAAGGGACAAATAGATTAATGAACACACATGTGGAAACAACAATATGTCAGCTTCTGTCAAGAGTAAAATAGGGTAAATTCGTTGTTTGCATACTGCTGTAACCTGGTCCTGAAACTTTGACAATGAGTGAAATACTTCAACTTGTCGCCCATTTGCAAATAAAAATCCTTCGCAAATATTTACGCGAGAATGTCGTTATACCCTTGTATGCAAGCACGGGAACGTAATCTTTGAATACACCCTTTTATTTCCATGAACAAACCAGTAAAAAAGGAGAAAAAGCTCCTCAAAATACATGTTTTTGGCGTTCGAAGAATTAAAATTCTTCTTGAAGAAATGCGCCCGCAATTTTTAGACAGCGACAACAAAATGCCCAGCTGTTGGCCTGTATAATATAGCCTATATAATATAGGCTTGTAATCTAATTGTCAAATATTTACCTCGTTATGCTTACCTTCGGATGTGGCTGGAGGTCCTGGGTTTGTAGTAGGCGGGTGCAGCCGGTTACCGTGCACTTCCGATATTGCCACTAAGAGAAATGCAGTTAGGGCCAGGTAGAGCCTCGAATCTACAAATAAATATATAGCTATGTATGTACAATGTAGTTTTGTCTCCCTAACGCATTTCTCATGAAGTTCCGGCTTTACCAAATGCTTGTGTGGCAAAAGTTTAATATTAACCAAGCAGGAATCCTGCCAGATCTGTTCTAAATCACCACACGAGTCAGAACACAAGTGAACGCGAATGATCAATCTTGGCTATCATCTAACTTCTCGTTAGAAAATAACTGTTTAATATTCATGCTTACCCTGAATTTTTAACATCATCACAAAAAGAGCTGTGCTTTGAGCGACTCTGAGAGGATATGCGGCAGATCTAAAGAGCAATCGCTAAATTAAGAAAGTTGCTAATTATATACTGCAACAGAAGTTGTTTCAATGAAAAAGCCTTTACAATACCATAAACAATTTTATTGTTAATATATTCAGACTGAAATAGCATTCGATTCAAAACACTTATAACGAATTTCTACCTTAATTACCGAGAGGTTTTGACCTACGTCCTATTAACCGTGATATCATCATTATCATGCAGTTAGATCATCAGTTAAAATAAAAAAGCACGCCGCTAAACAGGAATTGATACTGCTAATTAAAACATTCAATGAATGTTCAATCACATGTATATTTCTTATGGGTATTTATAGCCTCACTTGTGTTGAGCAAGTACGTGTTGTATAAGTTCAGCAATCAGCCTGCCATGTAAATAGATAGATTTGCCGGTAAATATCTCGTGCGGTATTAAATATAGCGAGCATCGATCAGCATCTATTCATATGGAAATATATATACACAAAAATATAGAGAGTTCTAAGTTGCATAAAAACCTTGAACATTATAATAACACGGTGCTCAATGAAATTTGAAAAACCACAGCATTATAAATCAAAATAATTCAAAAATATGGACTCGATATTTTATAATTGACAAACTTTTTATTATAATAGTTTTGTACCACCTAGGTCGCACTCATATGCATCATTTAAATCAGCCTAGATGTATGTATTTTGGAACAAGGGAACTAAAATTCTAACCCGATTATATTTTCGGCACTTATTTCGCTTTCTTTAATTTAAAAAAAGTAGCTATAAGAATTATAGAAATAACAACTTTAAAACTTAAGTTTCACAGTTTGTGCCAGTATTTTAGGGCGGCGATCTTACCGAATTTTTAGCCGAAAATTTAAACTTTTTTGAACAAATGAAATGAGGTAACTTAGGAAGTGCATGTTATCAAAAGTAATATTATACCAGCAAAGAATTGCAGAATGAAATTAAATTCAAATATATAGCACAGCGAAATACAAGGTAGAAAAAGTCATACCTGATTTATTGCTAGTCTTCGCCAACCCAAGCTGATAGTGAGATGATGGTTTAACAGTTATGAGTGACAAGTTTGTTGCAATATTTTTGTTATATAGTCTCGTTCTACCGAGTGTGCGCAGTCAGAAAACATCTCAATCACAAAAGCACAGAGAACTTGGCATGAGTAAAAATTGATTACTTAATTATTTAATTATTTAATTATTTAATTAAACCAGTGCGTGCTATAATTAGCGAATATTAGTCTAATATGTTAGCGTCCCGTCTAATTAAACCACTTTGCCAATATGATCGAAAATACCCCCAAAGGCAGGCACTCCCAACTGGTCCTTATTGAACTCGAACTTAGCATGTCATGCGTCGCTGGCTGCAGCTGCAAGCATGAGCCACAACCGCGTAGTGGCCTGGTGCTGAACATAGATATTAAGTGTAAGGGTTTCCAGTGATATATTATCGGCTTCCAGATCGACTCAACGGTTTCTAAACGGACATCAGCCCAGCCGGGTCCACGAGATTGCGTTTGTTTTATCAGTACGATTGGTATGTGTAATCCGCAACATCTGTATATATATTTGAGAATACATCGTGTGGATTGTAATTTTTTCCTCTGCCTCGTGCGCATGCGCCGTGATTGAATAAGCACGTCCATATCGAACTCGAACTTGGCATGTCATGCGTCGGTGGTTGTCTCTGCAACAATAGACTACATGCATATATTGGCATATTGTTAAATATAGCTAGTAAGTATAAGGATTCAAATTAAGGCCTATTTTAGCCTGCACTTTGTGCAATATTTCATGTAATGTATGCAGTACTGAAATTTGAAGCCAGAATATCGTTTTTCAAATCCGTTGTGAAAATATGAAGATTGGAAAAGTCACGATAATATTTAATAACATATTTCAGAAAAAAAATGCTCCTTTTTAAAAATGATAATTGCATTTGTCATCAGTTCCCGCGTGTTTTGAATTGTGCAGCATTGAAAATGACTTAAAATACCCTGTGTTTGAGGCGGAGAGTGCGATCCCCCCTCATCGCATCGGCGGTTTGTAAACTCTGGGTGTATTTGGTGTATTCTTTCAGTTGTCGGCTGTCAAACAACACTAATATTTTGTTGTTCTTCGGATTGTTGTTGAGGCTGCAACATCTGAATATACATTTGAGAATGAGTCGTGTCGATGAATCGTGTATTTTTTTCCTCTTCCTCGTGCGCATGCGCCGTAATTCACTGCAATATGACAATGCTTCTTATATTTGCGTGCTTCAACGGCAAGATAGTTATCGCTATATATATCTTTTCTGCAAGGTGAGATCTTTCAAGGGCTTGTGTAGTGTTTCTAAGAATATGGCGTCAAATTACAAGATATTGCATTTCTATAGAGTGATGTAATTAGGTCGAAGCAATCAGTAAGATGAATACAAATGAATGCATGCAAATATCTTTTATCTGAAGACCAACTTCAAAGTCATACCGATCTGAAATTGACATACATCTACATATGTAAATCAGTTCTATAAGCTTCAAAAGTATCGAGCCAATATCGGTTTACAATAATCCGGCACGTCAAGCCAGACTTCATTATCTGCCTTCGACATCATTTATTTATACATAATCTAATATATATAAATTTGGAAATTTTAACCAAAACTATCATAGTTACAGGTAAAACTCATATTTTGAAAAGTGTTTAATTTCTTCCTTATCGCTGTCGAAAGCATTATTGTCAATTTCAATTGTTGTTCGTTTTGGAACACATCTAAAAATATATTTTGCATAAACCTGTATGATTTTCCCCTTCCTGTGCGCATGCGCTGCAACGTTGACCATTGTAGTCCATACTCGAGTTGTTGTTGAGTGCTAATAAGGGCTACCAATCTCGGGTTGATTTGAGTTGACGAGATTTTCTGAGACTTGATGACTGTGCGTTTTTTGCCTCACTCGAACAGACTGAGTTTTAAATTCGTCCTGAATCACGTGAACTATGTAGATCATGTCAATAAACCAAAGAATTAAAAAGCTTGGCGCGTATTCGGCAATTCTCAACTTTTTCAATCTAAGGCTTATTACCTCTTTTTTTCACTATAAAATCAATGGATATTCCTTTGTGTTTCCATGTGATTATTTAGTTAGTTGGAAAGAGAAACAACTGAGCTACGCTTTAGCACAACTACTAGTGGGTGTCGGTGTCAATGAGGGGGGGGGGGGGAGTCAAAGCATTGAGGCCAACTGTGTGTCAACCAATATTGATACGATCTCTTTATAAAATTATAACCATAAAAAAACTTTACCACATTTATAAGGACTTGGATGAGAAAGATAGACAACTACTTAATGCTGAGCCGGCCTCACAAAACAATAAATATATAGGTATACCGCTCTCCAAAACTTCGTACTTGAACATTTTCCGTGTCTCTTTATATAGTTATAGAAACACGCTTGGAAGTTTGGGAGAACGAGAAATAATCAGTGGGAAAACGAGTCCTTATGGCGAGTTTTTCGTTATTTCACGTTATTGCGAGTAAAAAGACCCAACTTCTTGTTGCCAGAGAACCGAACTTTTGGCGAGAGAACCGCACGTTATCAGAGGCATCTCAAACTTCATTTCTCAACCTGCTCCTGTCGACTACCGCCCGTTTGCCCGCGAGTCATTTTAATACTTCTTACACAAAAGCCTTTGCGGAGGAGAGCGCTATCCACCATCAGCGGTTTGTAAACTCGCGTAGGGAACACGAGGTTGGGTGTATTTTATCAGTACGGTGAATGTGTATGCGTGTGCATGTAAATGCGAAAGTATCCGAGTGTCGGCTGTCTGTAATGAGAATAAGTCTTGAGAATAAGTCGTGTAATTTTTTCCTCTTGGTCGTGCGCATGTGCTGGGATCTCTATATGACAATGCTTATATTCGTATGTCCCAAAGGCAATATAGTTATCACTATTTAAGTTTTAAGTTTTTATTAAGTTTCAACTTTCACCGAAAAAGTGTATTGAGCATTTTGTAGTACTAGTTCTGCCATAACGTGTCCGCAAAGTACACGCGTGAAATATTGTTGCATATAGAACAAAGCGACCTTATTTGTTGACCTTCGTTTCGGCAAAGATCGAACAGCTTTGTCTTGCTGCTAAGAGTAAGTGGCTTTTCCGGGCACATTGTGTCCAGTAGACAGAAATACTTTGTTTATCAGGTCAAACGGCAAGGCAATGCGTGCCTGCACTCAACCGACTCAAGCGAAAGTAATTCACTTGTTGTCGTTCTGGAACACATCTAAAAATATATTTGATATGAACTAGTAGGATTTTTCCCTTCCTGTGCGCATGCGCTGCAACGTTGGTCATTGTCCATACTCGAGTTGTTGAGTGCTGATAAGGGCTGCCGATGGTTGATTCGAGTTGGCGAGATTTGCTCAGACTTGGTGACTGTGTTTTTTTTGCATTACTCACGTGAACTAGATCATGTAAATAAACCAAAGATACACACGCAAAAACGCACAACTTCTGACAAACCTGAAGAAGACTTGTTACAAGATTGTTCCAACAAGCCGATATCAAGTCGTTCTGTTTGCACTGCAAGCTCCAGGCTTGTTGACAAGTAGCAACAAACCGTTGTGAGCCCACTAGACCATCAGCGCCTGATGTTAGGGCTGCGTTTATTTATTTTATCTATTTGCTTTTCAAACATGTTTACTTCGCGTTAGGAATGTTCAGTACCCAGATGCGGTGGCAGAATGGCTGACCGCTGTGAAATGGCTATTTTGAGGCTTAAAGTATACGCAATGTTATTAATTCAAACGATTCGTCCCAGAATTTGATGCAATGTCGGGTTGTTTTCGTAGTGGTGAAATTTCTGAGGCATTCACAAACAATGAAGATTTTTAATGTTAGGTCCCAAACCGGATAAACCAAATCTGTATATTTAATAAAGAAGCGTTTGCTGTCAACCATTGCTTCTTAAAAGCAAGCATGCAGAGTTGTCGTATCATCAGATTTGGCATACTGTAGACGTACGACGTGGCCCCAACAGTTACAATCAATTTAAGTCTAGCAGATTCCTTGTGGGTATATCAGTCACATCGGTGCAGTGTGTAAATTTAGAATAGAATAACGCAACAAAATTGATGAATGGTTACTTTTTCTCATGATCACGATCATTTGCTGCATGATAAATAGGTATATATAGGTGTATATAATAGGTGTATATATAGGTATATATAGGCATGTATATAGGTGTCCAGTTATGGCGAGTTTTTCCACGTTATTTCGAGTAAAAAGACCCAACTTCTGGTTGCGAGAGAACCGAACTTTTGGCCAGAGAACCGCACGTTATCAGAGGCATCTCAAACTTAATTTCTCAACCCGCGCCTGCCGACTACCGCCCGTTTGCCCCCTAGTCATTTTAATACTTCTTACACAAAAGCCTTTGCGGAGGAGAGTGCTATCGACCATCAGCGGTTTGTAGGGAACATGAGGTTGGGTGTATTTTATCTGTACGGTGCATGTGTATGCGTGTGCATGTATATGCGAAGGTATCCGAGTGCCGGCTATCTGATGAGAAGAAGTCTTGAAAATGAGTCGTGTGACTTGTAATATTTTCCTCTTGGTCGTGCGCATATGCGCTGGGATCTCTATATGACAATGCTTATATAATATGACAATGTGTCCCAAAGGCAATATAGTTATCACTATTTATTTCCTCAAGTGGCCGTTAAGTTTCAACTTTCACCGAAAAAGTGTATTGAGCATTTTGTAGTACTAGTTCTGCCATAACGTGTCCGCAAAGTGCACGCGTGAAATATTGTTGCATATAGAACAAAGCGACCGTATTTGTTGACCTTCGTTTCGGTAAAGAACAACTTTGTCTTGCTGCTAAGAGTAAGTGGCTTTTCCGGGCACATTGTTTCCAGTAGACAGAAATACTTTGTTTATCAGGTCAAACGACAAGGCAATACGTGCCTGCACTCAACCGACTCAAGCGAAAGTAATTCACTTGTTGTCGTTCTGGAACACATCTAAAAATATATTTGATATGAACTAGTAGGATTTTTCCCTTCCTGTGCGCATGCGCTGCAACGTTGGTCATTGTCCATACTCGTGTTGTTGAGTGCTGATAAGGGCCGCCGATGGTTGATTCGAGTTGGCGAGATTTGCTCAGATCACGTGAACTAGATCATGTAAATAAACCAAAGATACACACGCAAAAACGCACAACTTCTGACAAACCTGCAGCAGACTTGCTACAAGATTTTCGCAATAAGCCGATATTAAGTTTGCACCTGTTTGCACTGCCTGCTCCAGGCTTGTTGACAAGTTGTTACAAAACTGCAGCAGACTTGCGATGAGATTGTTCCAACAAGCCCATATCAAGCTTTGTTTGCACTGTTAGTTCCAGCTCTGTTGACAAGCAGCAGCAAGCCGTTGCAAACCCACTCGACCATATCAGCGCTTGATGTTAGGGCTGCGTTTATTTATTTTATCTATTTGCTTTGCAAACTTGGGCTTTGCGTTAGGAGTGTTCATTACCAAGACACACAGAATCTGATTGCACTATGTATATATGTCAGGTTTGTTTCATAATGGTGAAATTTCTGAGACATTCATAGACAATGAAGATTTTTAATGTTAGGTCCCAAACCGGATAGACCAAATCTGTATATTTAATAAAGAAGCGTTTACTGCCAACCATTGCTTCTTAAAACCAAGCAGAGTTTGTCGTGATTTGGCATACTGTAGACGTACGACGTGGCCCCAACAGTTTCAATGAATTTACGTTTAGCAGATTCCTTGTGGGTATATCAGTCACATCGGTGCAGTGTGTAAATTTAGAATAGAATAAGGCAACAAGATTGATGAATCGTTACTTTTTCTCATGATCACGATCATTTGCTGCATGATAAATAGGTATATATAGGTGTATATAGGTGTATATAGGTGTATATATAGGTATATATAGGTATATATAGGTATATATAGGTATATATAGGTATATATAGGTATATATTGGTATATATAGGCATGTATATAGGTATGTATGGGTATATATGGGTATGTCTAGGTATGTATATCTGGCCTCATTTTACACATTACGATCTTCGGTGCCAATCTGAAGTTTTCTTTGCCGTGATTACCCTTAACATTGTCGTTAACGATCCACTGCCAGACATCACAATCGAATTACGTATTGATACAGTGCTTATAAATTGGTTTTCCTAAACATTTAGGAAGCAGTCGGGTCTCTTCACACCAAAGTTACTTGCACCGCCTTCCGTTATTTTATTGCAGCCAAAAATTTCAAGCCGTCTTAAATCCGGCATTTTTTTCGCCATTACGTCCAAATGACAATCTCGAAAACTAGGACAGCCGTATAATCGAAGCTCCGTCAATTTCCCGCACTTTTCCGTCAGCTCTTGGATGCCGGTTCTGGAAACTCGTCCACAGGCTCCTAAATGGAGTTCACGCAGTTGAGCCAAGTTCCGACACAAGGGTACCAAATTCGTATCGTCCATTTTTACTGAGAACAAATGAAGTTTTTCAAGACGATTGCATTTTTGAGCGATTGAGCTCAAGCACATTCCTTTGATATTTTGCGGACGAAAGCACTTTTCCCCAATGCGTAACGCTCGGAGGTTGCCGGCGTTTGACGTGATGACGTCGATCCCCGAGTCGGTCACACACGTGTCGATCAGTCCTAAAGACGTCATGTAGTGTAAATGATCGCGTATAGCATAACAGCATTCGTTGTTGACTAAAGTTTGCCTTTCCAAATGAAGATCCCCTAGGTACGGGCAACGTTTTGCGATTGACCGTATCCCTTCATCTGTAATCATAGGGCATTCTCTAATGTGCAAATATCTCAATTCCGGACAGTTTTTGGCGATGTATTCTAGACTCTTGTCGGTAATATGACAACACCATGTTAGGTCGAGCTTGCGTAACATCGGAAAACGTTCGGCGAACCGACGGAATGTGACGTCGTCCAGTAGCAACCGATCCTCGTCGATGGAATCTTGTAAGGCCAGCTCGGTGACACGGTAAAGGTTCTTGGTGATTGTATCGAGCATGCGCTTGCAGTGCCCTTGATCTGGCAACCTTATTGTTTCAAGATCATTGTTACGTTCAACCAGGAACTTGAATCTGAAATGAAAAATATCTCGCATAGGAGTCCGGAATTTGCGGGAAAACTAATAATATAGAGTTGAGGAAAAACATTTGTATTTCGAAGTTTTTTCTGCAACCTGGGGCCGCTTAAAAACATCATCAACTTTAACTATGATTAGCGCTAATCCCTGTGGTTAAATCATTAATCCTAATATAATCAGGGGCCGGTTGTGTAAAACTATTTAACTACACGTTGCATAGTCAAATCCAAGTTAACTCAGAAATACACGACTCCGATTGCCCACTTTTACCCTAATCACAGTTAAAAGTTAACAAGTCTTTCATGCCCTAGGTAGTTACTTTCGTAGGATTGTTAAACTGAGCAATAGCATGATTGAAGTATCAGAAATTTATCAACCGGCTGCTAGAGATTTTGAAAAAGACTGGGGATTCGTTTGACCTTAAATTTGAGACTAATTTGCACATAGAAATACAACTTCCAGCCATATTTCTAACTGGGTCATGTCAAGTGGGAAGTTCAAACACTTTTGCTGTAAACTGCATGTGGACCGTTTACTTAGGAGAATTTGTTTAGCAAATGCATCCCCAAATCGCTTCTCCAATGAGATGTTGTACACGTAACACTGCAGAATCCAGTTAACACCACTATGTCTATTTAATTAAATAACCTTAGATACAAACCCAATTGTGGTCACTCTTGTCTGATAGAAATCCACGTTCCGCAACCGATGACAGAATTTTGATAAATATATTATGCCCGGATTTCCAACTTTGGGGCAATGGTTGAGGGACAAAGTTCGTAAGTTAGGACAAAAATCCCCGATGGTGCAAACGCCGTGGTCAGTTAGCCAATGACAGTCGTCTAAATGCAATTCCAATATATGTCTTCCCCAGGCATGGGTCCAGTCTCTCACAGTATCGTCGTGGATTAAGTTGGACAAACTGAGGTCGGTTTTCACGTCGATCTTTTCCCACAGTTTCCAATCGTTCAGGATCCGTCGCCACCTCTTGCAAACCATGCAACACCGTAGTTTTTCGCATATTTTTAAAAAGGAGAAAATTTCCAGTAATATGGAGTCGTGAAGACCGTTCATTTTGGTTTCGAAATGCGCGTTCAATTCTGAGATGGAAAAATCTTTTTGTTGTCTTCTAGCTTTTTTTGGCCGACGTGAAGTCGACGGTTTGCATTGTTTCGTCATAATTGGCATGCCAGGCTGCCAGCTTGCGCAATACATGATCAATACACCACTGCAATACACAGAGTTGCCTGCATGGCGCGCGGTCCCCAATGCACACGCATCTTATGAAAACTGCGTGCAGCTGTGAAAATCTCGACGAAGGCGTCGTGTTGTCAGCTTGACGTCAGCAAGTTGCATATAAATATGGCTTTTACAGTAGCGAGGGATGCGAAAAATTTGAAGCCAAGACGGCGAAATGTGAAGCCTTTCTTGTAGAATGTCGTCAGTAAAATGGCGGTAATTATGATTTTACCTTTGAAATTATATTATTTTTTTATATGAATTAAAAAGAAAAGTTTACCAGTTTACCTTGTCACATTTGATCTATTTTTTCACAGGTTATTTGCACGAATTTGACCATTTGACACCGTTGATCCGATATTGTTGATCCGAAATCTATAATCCCGTTGAAAATTGATCCGGATTTCGATCGATTAAGTAAACGATGCAGAAAAATCAACATGGCTGCCGTGAGGACTCGTCAATATCTCTGTAAACTTCAATTCTAAGGACACTACGTTTACTCTTTCTCGTGGTTTAATTATGACATTAGATAGTGATCATTCTTCTACATTCCCGAGTTACCTATATGCTGTCCTTACTTGTGCATTAGTCTTTTTAATTTGGTCATTGGGTCGACTTCAAGCTAGGATATTATTCGACAAAGTACGAAGCCAAACATATTCTCAGACTAATTCAAGCAAAATAACGACAGATGTAGAATTCAGGCGACAAGAAAAGGTGGACGTCTGTACTTCTATCTCGTGTATCAGATGCTCAAAGAGTGTATACTCTGTTGAAAAACTGTTGACGAAATGGAAGGAAATCGAGCAAGCCTTTGAGCCGGATGAAAACACACGGAATAAAGTTAAAAATGGAATTCTGGACACTTCAAAAGTGTCTAAGAAGTATAGGAGCAGTCAACAAGAGCCAACGTTGTTTTATTTGGAAGGATTGCCAAGTCGGAGTTGGTACAATAAACAGGATTATTCAACTGAAGTCTCTATTTTAGAAAAAAAGTGCACTTTGGGTATTTTTGAAGAGGAATTTATGAAAGTCTATGAAAATTTAGACAAAGGTTGGGTGTCAAACAAAGTTCCCTCAGGAGAATGGCATTTATTTTATTTTATAAACCAAGGCGTCAAAGATTACAGAAATTGTTTGCAATGTCCAAAGGTTGTTGAAACAATTGAAGGGCTTGAATCAGCCATGTTGGATTGTGCATTTGGGAATGTAATGTATTCTGTACTGTTACCAGGCACAAGCATTGGTCGCCATTGTGGACCAACAAATGCCCGTATCCGATGCCATGTGCCACTAATAGCACCAAAAGGATATTTTATCTCTGTTGCAGGGGAACAGCGAACATGGAAGAAAGGAGATATTTTAATTTTTGATGATTCTTTTTACCATGAGGTTTATTGTCATGCTGGTCTGAACGAACCAAGAGTTGTGCTTATGATTGATTTGTGGCATCCATCTTTGTTATTGAAAGAACGAGAAATGATTAGGAAGCTGTTCTCTCCACAACTCACTTAAGTTTGGATTAATGTTAGGATTACAACTCTGATTAGGTTATGGCAGATTAGGGTTGTCTAATCTAATTCAAAATCCTCTACAATCCTAAATCTAATTCAGTCTAGTGGGAACATGGTGGAGAAAACATTTAGTTTACTGTGTAGCTTGTTGGACACATTGTTATTTTCTTTCACTATTTAAAAATCCACCCTGATTGCTCATCGCTGTTCTCTTTGATTTCAAGCATGCATATAATGTTGTATAATTTTCACCTAATCACTTATCACTGATAGTGTAAATTTTTTTGGGGGGGGGGTTGAATTACATCCTGATTCATTTGTCTTAAGGAATCTATCACTCCAGAAATGTGTAGGAAATGGTAAAAAATGCGTAAACATAACATGGACATAGATAGCTTTATTATTATTATTATTATTATTATACATAAAACATACTCCCAATAGGACTTTTCAGTATGTACTAACAAGGCTAAAAATAGGTATATTTCTATCTACAATTACGTTATTGACTATGCTATGTTTATAAAATATGTTTACAATTAAGAGAAATCCTAGTTGTATAGTTATACTAAGATTTTAATACTTTAACTAAGATAGGTTTCCGTTAACGTTATTTGTTAACATATTTTTCTTTAAGTGCTTCTTAAATGTTTTAAAAGGTAGTTTTTTAAAATCTTTATCTAGAATGTTCCAGATTTTTATTGCTCTATAGCGAAAACTTCTTTGACCTGATGTTGTTTTGCATGGGGGGATGTCAAGGTCGTCTTTATTCCGGGTGTTCTTGTTGTGAACTGCATTTCGTTTTGAAAACTGGTCGCATAAGTACGGCGGTGCAAGTTCGTTCATGCATTTATAAGCCATTAGTGTATCTCTGTACTGTAAATGTTCCTTGACTGGGAGCCAACCGATCGCCTGTAGTACTGGTGTTATGTGGTCGTATTTCCTTGTATTTGTTATAATCCTACAAGCAAAATTTTGTACTTTTTCGAGTTTTTTTATGTTTGTTGCCGATGTATTCGACCACACCGTAGAGCAGTAATACAATCTGCTCATCACTAGGGCATTGACAATCGTGTGGAGGGTTTCGCTATCGAAGCTGTCCTTTACTCTATTTATTTGGTACAGTTTTGCCATTGAAGATGATATGACGTGTCGTATATGATGATCATAACTTAAATAACTGTCCATGAATAGCCCTAGGTCTTTGGCGTAAGAGGAAGGTGTGATCTCTTTTCCTAGGAACGAGATAACCAGTCCTTCAGTAAGGTTTCCGATTAACTGTCGAGTGCCTATTAGCATTAATTTTGTCTTTTCAGGGTTAATTAACAGCTTATTTGTGAAACACCATGTTGCAATCCTCTTAAGATCCTCTTCTATGTTACTTTTTGCATCGATTATATTCGTGATTGGAAAGGACATGAATATTTTCGAATCATCCACAAATGATTCTAACTTAGCTGTTTTTGGTGCTGTTGGAAGGTCGTTTATATAGATGCAAAATAACAGAGGTGACAATATTGCCCTTGTGGGACGCCATGAGTGATTGAAGAGTTTCTGATACTGAAGAGCCAATGCGTACGTATTGCTTTCTGTCTGAAAGGTAGCTTCTAAACCAATTTAGAGCCTTACGAGATACTCCAATATTGCTTAGTTTTTGAAGCAATATTGTGTGGTCGATGCTATCGAAGGCTTTGGACAGATCTAACAGAATAAGGGCAGATAGCTCTTTGTTATCCATTGCGTTCAGGAAAAAATCGTTTACTAATATATTGAGGGTTTCCGTTGAATGGTACTTTCTGTTTCCACTCTGGTGTGCCGTAAGGTGGCCGGTCCGATTTAAAAAATCGTGAATTGATTTAAGGCCGCTTTCTCACATACCTTCGAGATTACATTGAGCATTGAGAGGGGACGGTTGTTGGAGGCTATTTCGTGATCCCCTTCTTTTAATATTGGTATGATTTCTGCTATTTTCCAGGCTTCTGGAAACGTATTAGTTGTAAATGAACTGTTGATGATATCCGTCAGGGGGCCTAAGATTACTTGGAGGCAGTCTTTAATAGTTCTCATACTGATTTTGTCGGGACCTGGTGATTTATTTGATGGCATAGATGTTAGTATGCATTCAATTTCCGCACAGGTAACAGGTATGAAGTGGAATGACTCTTCGATCGGACATTGTAGGTTCTTGATTTCACAGGCAGACATGGAAGATATATTGATGTTATTATCTAAGGCCAGTTGCGTAGCTGTTTCGGCGGCTGTTATCCCTACTGACTGGAAAAAACTGTTAAAATCGTTGGCAACCTCTTCCTGGTTTTTGCTGTATATTGGGGTTGTTTTGTCTCTAGACGGAATGCGGCTATGAATTACTTTCCAAAGTGACCCAGGTTTGTCTTTATGTGTATTAACTTCAGTGCGGACGTAGTCTTTCTCTGCGACTTTTAAGGTGGATTTGATTGATTTTTGGACTGTTTTAAAGTTCTTCCAGTCCTCCATTTCTCGTGTCTGTTTGTATCGACGATGTAGCTGGTCTCTGTAGATCATTTGTTTTTTGATGTCAGCAGTAACAAATGGACAGGAGCGACGTCGAATCTTGACCTCTTTAATTGGAGCATGGACAGCCAAAGTAGTAGAGAGGACATCATTAAGTTTTCTGAGTTTTGAATTGACATTGGAATCGAAAAAGATAGAAATGAGTTCTTGTGATCTTGTACCAAGATGGGTAATGAACTTTGAACTATCATAGCTTTTATAGCTTCGCGTCAGGATGCTCTGTACTGATGGCTTAGGAAGTTTCATGTTTAACGCGGTGTATACTGGTAGGTGGTCGCTTATGAGTGTGTCCATAACACCACTTTGATGGACAAGGTTGGGTGATGAAGTTATGATTACGTCGATTAGTGATTCACAAGTGTTTGTGATCCTGGTTGGTGAAGTGATCAATTGCTTTAAGTTCATCTCGTACATGAAGTTTTCCAATGCTGTGGTCTCAGCGGTGACCTTCATGGTGTTGCAATTGAGGTCTCCCAAAATAAATATGGGTTTGTCCTGCATGGCGGCTTGCATATAACTTGCTTTTAGGTTGTTTTCTAGGCAGGACGGCGGGCAGTCTGGTGGTCTATATGATACACAGAGCAGGATAGATCTTAACTTTTTAGTCTGAAGTTTGAGCCAAAGCTGCTGGAAGTAATCGGTGGAAACTGATGATATTTCCTTCAGTACGGTGACCTTAATATCACTCCGAATGTACGCAGCTACCCCTCCTCCTCTTTTGTGAAGGCGGTCTTGGCGGTAAATTTTATAGCCCTCCAAGTTGATCTCGGCATTTGGTATGGTTGTGTTTAACCAAGTCTCTGATAATGTTATTGCCTCAATCCTTGTCTTTGAAACAAATTCGGCGAATTGGATCCAATGGGAGGTATTTCGTAGAGACCTTATATTTAAGTGTACCAGACGGAAATGGGGGGACTTTGAATGTTATAATTTTGCGGAGTGTCCCGTTCTATACTAAGGTCTTTCAGGGTCGAGTGTTCATTCCAAGACCTGCCTTCAGTGGTAGGAATGTCGATCATATTGGGATTTCGTAAAAGCTTGTTTTGCTTGGTATTTCGTTTGTTAATTAATTTAACATTGTGATTCGTAATCCTCACAGGTATCGGATAGACTTTATCAGATTTCGTGAGGGATCGACGTGGCATGCATCGTTATCTAGACCCATGTTCCATTCTGGTCTACAGTACGATTGATGGGTTGGTAGGCTTGGCGGAAGTATTGTTTGTAAATGGGTGATTGGGGACGTTGGCTCAGAGTTGACTGCTGTGGGTGGTGTACATGGAAAGGCGGGAATTGATTCTGGCCCAATGACTGGTAGGTAAGTGGTTTGTTTAGGCAATGTGATTGGTACGATGGTAACTTCCTTAGGTGTTTTACCTGATATGGTGGTGGGCTGTTTACACGTGTCCGATATTTGGCCGGTGTATGGTTTGTCAATCTCCGGTGAAAAGGAGGCCTGTTTCTGCGATCAGATTTCCGGCGGTTAGCGCTGTTATTAGTGTTGGCTTTTGGTGGGAAAGTCCGCCGGTTGTCCTGTCTACTCGAGCCAAAGGAGGACTTTTGGGATTTTGGGTTTTTTGTAGAAATGTGGGGCCGATTGGTTTGAGTGTAGTTACTGGATACTTTGGTTTCTTTTGGATATGTGTTCTTATGTATATCTCTGTGTTTCGCTTTATATGAACGTAGCTGTTCGTTCAGATGGTAGTGGGTGTATTCTTGCTTTGTTGTTGTCTATATGACCTGATTTGCATCTTTTGATCTTTAATCGCTCGAGTATTGCCTTTGTTTTTATATGAAAGAGGGGTGGGTTCTTTGTGCATATGGTCGTTATCATTAGCCTGTTTGACATTTGGATTTGTGGGGGCGGTAATTGCCGGATTTTCCTCGGCCTCGTTAGGCTTGCAAGTTGAGGGTATCGTATCTTCGAGTAATATGATGTTAGGAATTTGATCTTTATCCGGATTTAGCTGTCGTTCGCCTGTTCCTTTATTGACCATACGTTTGATTTCAATTAGGTCTCTTTCCATCTGTTTTATTTTTCCTGTTTCCTTTGAGAATTCTTGCATTTGCAATTCAAATTTGTTAATGTTGTGGCCAGGGAATGAACGACCTTCTTGTACGTTTGCTAAAGATTGTAGGGCATCGGTTTTTGATTGTAATATCTCGATATCGAGTCTAATACCGTCGAGATCAGTTGTGATTTGAGTGCATGAACACTGATCAGAAAGTTTTTTGGGTGGCTCGCTACTTGCTCCGCTCTCGTCATTCAAGCGTGGTAGGCCAAGGCCAAGCGTTGCTTCGCCCATTAAGATGTTACAAAACTGCTTTTTGATTCTATTGGCTTCTCTGCCACTGAGTTGGAGCTTCTTCTGTTTTCTCCACCACATTATTGTCGTTTGGCCATTGCTGTAGGATTTTCGCTCGTCTCCCGGTGATTTCCAAGTACCGTTAAGATCAATATTCAAATCTACAAATCGTTTGAGAGATTCGAAATCTCCTGACCAGGAGAGTTTCAAGTGGGAGTTTAGTTCACCACAAATGTCGTTGTTATCGTTGTTTGATTGTGTAGAATCGATGTCTCCATCCGATAGTTGGGAATTACTGTTGGCATTCGAGTTAATCGAAGAGCGCAAAATCTCCTGGCACTCCGCCATGTCATGAAGCGTCAGTACTTGCACTGATTACATGTGAATTCTAAAAATTCCATGTTTAGCAAATCCTAAATACATGAATTTAATCCTTGAAATTAAGTTTGGGTTAGTGTTAGGATCACGACTCTGATTAGGTTATGGCAGATTAAGGTTATCTAATCTAATTTGAAATCCTCTCTAATGAGTCTAATCCTAAATCTTAAAATCTAATTCAGTCTAGTGGAAACATGGTGGAAAACATAGATTACTTCATAGTTGGCGAGTGCCTTATGCACGAGTTATGAAAGATCACAAAACAAACAAGTAAGCGAAGCAAACTAGTTTGCGATCCTTCACAACTAGTATATAATAAAAATTGTACAAAGGAGTCGACATGAAGTAAATGTCCTATGTCCTACCCCAGCGTGAGCGACAGATTTTCCCACGCGTGATTTTCGTAAACTCCTGACGCAGAGGGAAAAACCGAGCCCATTTTTCAACTCGGTCGACGATAGCATCCTTAAACTGTGACGGTAGAGCGAGTAATTATGTTTTGAATCTCATTCTTGGACGTACGATGTTAATCACATGTGAAAAAATGCCATACACGGCTTTTGATTGGACGTACGATATTCTTCACACGTGAACAATTGTCGTATGTCATTTTGGCGGCAATTTGTTTACATTTTCTTTCAAGATGGCGTCGAAATATAGAAGCTCGAGTGAGATTCAAAACATAATCCTCATCTTCAAGATATTTATACATTCAGCACACTCTCAAATCTTTTGGAAAGAATATCTAACTTCTATTGAACAAAATTACAAAGAAACTGAACGGTAATAAATATGTGAGGTAATAAATTTGATGCAGAAAATTTCGATTTTTGTTGCTCGGTGTGTTTTGTATATTAAAAGCGTGTCGTTGTCAAATTGATCTCTATATACACATTTAAAAAACATATTACTTCATATTTGGCTCGTTTGTACGATTTTTATTATGAACTCGTTGTGAAGAATCGCAAATTCACTCGTTCGTTTTGCGATCCTTCACAACTCGTGCATAAAAATCGTACGTACTCGCCAACCATGAAGTAATCTCTATTTATTATCCATGTTACGAATGATACGTCCAATCAAATTGCTTGAAATTAATTTACCCAGTGAAATACGATTTTTATTTCATCATTCTCTTGATAAAGCAGTACTGCATTGACTTCAGTGGATTTGCTGCTCATATAAATTACAAGACAACAGACTATAAAACATCCATCAGAAGTGAATTGGATGCAACAAAATTGGATCGTGTGAACAGACCTTTAAAGATGATGTAAAGTCCGTTCTGCGCATATAATCTGCGCATAACAATGTTTGTTTACGTTTGTTATATAATCCTTACTTGACGTATTCGACGTTTCAATTTTCTTATTTTCTTCCCATTCTCGCTCGACCGGCTGTGATGAATATGCTTATTTTTCATTATATTTTGAAGAAAATATAAAGCGATTTAAAACTTTTCTATAATTGTAATTGTAGGACAAGCGAGAAAGTAGCGTCTGTAGCGACGACAAATAGCGTCGCTATCTCGTGTCCTCATTCGACAAATAAATTCTTGGAGCATTCCTCTCAGCATAATATTTCTTTTTCTAGCAGCCTTATCTTTATCACTCGCAATTCGAGCCTCTTCGCCTTGCGACATAAAATAAAATAATTGTGCCCTCGAACTGTCCGTTTGTAATACAACGCGCTAACATCGCTTAAGTTGCTCCCCCAGTAATGGAATGTGTTGCTGCGCAGAATATATGCGCAGAACGGACTTTACATCATCTTTAAGTAGCGCTTTGCGACGGCAGCAAGGCAATTGCTATAAATGCTACTGATAATATCGCAACATTAAATACAATTCCGTAAAAATACTCTTTGGCAAACCACGTCTCAAAGATGAACGGTCCTAGGAGGATTCCAATACGCCCGACAGAGACACAAATGCTGGTTCCAATGCTGCGAATTACTGTTGGGTAAACACGCGATACACACGTGACCAGGAGAGATATGTCCGACAATAGGAGGCTTCGAGATAGCATTATGGCTATGAGTAATGGAATCCTCTGGTTTACGACAAACAATGCGATGATCTGTGACACAAGTGTCAACAACGTAACAATTAAAAGTACTGTTTTTGAAGTAAAAACGTTACAACACAAAGCGGCTGCGATAATGATAACAATTTCCGGTAAGTTCATCCAGGCCATAATGGCATACATATGATGGATAACTGTCGCCTTGTTTTGCATGTCCGTTATCGTAGATGAAAAATTTTGACTGCCCGCCACTTCAGACGCGGTGTATACCAAATCATAGTGCGATAGGTAGATGGTAAACGTCGCGATACAAGCGCATATTGTTATTTTCCAATAACCTGATCGAAATAGCTGTGTGAAATCCGCCTTCTGTGTCTCGGAAACGTGTTTACGAAGTATTGTGTCGCTGAAATCCATTTCAGGCGCCAAATCTTGTAGAATGTTTAAAGCTTTCTGCTCGTCCCCGGCTATAAGGTAAAAATGTGGCGATTCTGGAAGAAATACTACACTGATACACAAAATTACCATCGGAAAACACACGGTAGCCAAAGCCCAATTATAACCGATCACCGAAAGCTCCATTGAAACGATAGCCGAAAGTAGAAATCCTAATGTCCAAAACACGGCTGTTAATACAGAAAACATAGAACGGTATCTTGTAGGAAATAATTCCACTATGATGATATAACTTTGAAACGTAATAGTCGTTCCGAAGCCGACAACGAAAAGGCTTATCCAAAGCCAGTAATAGTTCGTGGAAAACGCGCTCGCCAAAGCGGATACAAGTATAAACGCCACACATGCAATAAAAGTACGCTTTCTACCGTATTTGTCCGACACCCAACCCCAAAACGGTGTCCCCAAGATCTTTCCGGTTGATGTAGAGAGTGTCAATACCCCAGCCATAATTTCAGAGATATTCCAGTCTGGTTTCAAACTTGGAAGTATAGCGGATAATATGGATGTTGCGAACGCACATGACATATATAGAAGACAGAGAAATACGAAAACTTTCCAGTGAAGAAGCCTCAGTCCTATATCATCCAGAATTTCGTCGATTAGACGAGATTTAAAAAGGTCACTGTTCAAACCTGTGGCTTCTTCGTCGGCATCCGAAATGAGTTGGTATTTGGCTTGGCCCTTTGTACTTTGTTTTGCTTGTAGCTCTTCATGCTCAGATGAACTTTTCGTTGTGGGAAGCGGCATAGTTGGTAAAACCTGTTTTAGTTTGGTCCATAACCATTCCATTTTCAATCGTTTGTTCAGTAGCGTAATTGAAACTTCAAACTGTATGGTAAAATAATGGTATAGTTGGCGTAACTTCGCGATTTCGTGTGCCGAAGACAATTGTAATCATAATATGAATGAAAAAACACGCTTGACCTGCGGATTAGCCCAAGCTGCAAGGGTCACGATCAGTGGTCACACTCGATACTATTGATGACAGCCTTGAATGGAGAGCCAATCTGAATCTGGCTGTGATAGCGCATTTTGGTGGAATAATTGTCATTTATCAGCTGCCGTTAGACCGAGGGACGTGGTTTCCGACCGAAGGCAAGAAGCTTTTGTATCTTGATATATCCGTCTCATGCAGTGGCGGATCTAGGGGGGTGCAGAATAAATTGCTACAACTTAAAATCGGAATCGCATTGGCAGATTTTAAAGTAAAAATATTCTTTTTAAATCTATAACCAATAGCGTTGTTATTAAGATGTTTTAAATTTAAAATTTAAAAGCTCTGTAATTTATTCAGCACGCCCCTAGATCCGCCTCTGGTCTCATGTGCGACTGATGTCTTTTGATGGCGATTCTTTTTACGCTTACCAATATTTGAGGCCAAATTGTCATTGGTGCTATCAAGAAAACAAAGAAAACAAAGAACTAGTGCGATGTTGTTCCCTCAAATTTGCATCTATCTTACAACCCTGATGCAAAAGAATTTCGTCGAATTGGCGAGAGTTGAAAAGATCAACTTTCAAATTTACGGCTTTTTCTTCGATATCTAAAATATGTTTTGTATTTGGCTTCGACCTTAATACTTTACTTTGCTTGAGGGCTGTAACTAGACCGCTCATTGAGACCGTTTAATTTTGTATTCATATGTTCATGTTTACATATACTGATATAGTCTAGAAACTGTAACAGTGCACCAGATGTGATTAGATATGACCGCTTTGACAGATGAGCACCACTGGTGAGCACATGTATATAGAAAGCACGGGTATGAAATAAAAACGCCATGTTGTAAAACGTGGACTGGACTATGGATTGGACTTGACTTGTAAAACATGGACTTGTAAAACATGGACTTGTAAAACATGGACTTGTAAAACATGGACTTGTAAATCATGGACTTGTAAAACATGGACTAAAATGGTTAAGTTTTATTGGCATCTGCATGCAAGCTGAATTGGTCTATTATTAGTTCCATTTCCAATCCTTGGTTGAACTATTTCAGAAAATAATGCTCTAGCATACAGCTGCACAACATATTTGTAATCATAATACGAATAGATAGATATACTGTCGTATACACGGTTTGGGTAACAATCAGTGGTAACACGAGATCGCTCACACACTTGACGTCTATAGAGCTGAACAGTGCAATCATTAGCCGCACTTTGAAGTTGATCTGAGTTCTTACCACTAATATATCACTTAGCCGAAATGGATTTGTTTACATGATCCGGTTTCGAACGATGCGTGAGATGATTTTGAGGGATTTTGAAGCAAAACAAGCACATGCTATTGTTAGAATGACTACATGACTGACAGGATCATGTTTTTCACTCATTTCAATACCTCAAAAGTTATCTGGCGCTTCTTTGAATCTCGGCCATGTAAACAGCCCCTGAGCACAGAATACCTAACAGAAGGACAACTCCGTTGTTTTTCGTGTAAGTAGATTCCTCACACAGGAAGTACCGTAAATGGAGGCAGTCACCCCCCTGCCAACAGCCCCATTTTCAATCACGGGCAGGGGGGTGATTGCTTCCATTTACGGTACTTGCTAAGTCACATATGCACAAACAATGGAGTTATCCTAAAAGGCGGATAAGTTCAAAATGGAAAACACAACTATCTCTTTATTGGACAAAAAAGCTGAAATATTTCGATGTAAATAGCTTAATTTTCAATGAAAGTACATATTAAATGCATAAGATACAGGTTCAGTCATTCACAAGATCTATAAGAGTATTTTTAAACTTTGGCTTATCCACCGTTTAAGCTAAACGCCTTTCGAACAATCGCCCCTGATAGGTAGCGTTACGCATGCGTCGGCAGCAAGATAGTCGCAATGAAAGATACAAATATTATTGCGACATTAAAAACTGTTCCATAAAAATACTTTTTGGCGAACCAGGTCTCAAAGATGAAGGGTCCTACAATTATCCCAATTCGGCCAATAGTTACACAAGTGCCAGTACCAATGCTACGATTCTCTGCCGGGTAAACCAGTGACATAAAAACTATCAAAAGTGTTATGTCTGATAAAAGAAGGCTTCGAGACATCATTGTGACGACGAGTAATGTAAGCCTCTGATTTACGACGAACAAGGCGATGATCTGCGACACGAGTGTCAAGAACATAGCCGCTAAAAGAACACTTTTAACTGTGAAAACGTAAGAAAACAAAGCAGTCACGACAATCAGAACGGCTTCTGGAAGGTTCATCCAGACCATGATAGAATACAGGTAACGACTTTCTTCGTTTTGCAAGCCAGTGGCTGTCGTGGATAAATAATTTTGACTGCCCGCCACGTCAGACGCAGTGTATATCAAATCATTATGCGAAATGTAGATGTTGAAAAACGCGATACAAGCGCAAATTGTTATTTTCCAATAACCTGATCGAAATAGCTGTGTGAAATCTGCCCTCTGTGTTTCGGGATTGTGTTTCCGAAGTACTGTGTCGCTGAAATCCATTTCAGGCGCCAAATCTTGTAGAATGTTCAAAGCTTTCTGCTCGTCCCCAGTTACAAGGTAAAAATATGGAGTGTCTGGGATGAAAAATATACTACAAAATAGGACAATTGCAGTCGGAAAACACACGGTAGCCAGAGCCCAATGATAACCGATCAACGAAAGCTCCATTGAAACAACAGCCGAAAGAAGAAAGCCTGCAGTCCAGAAGACCATAGTTAATACAGAAAACATAGATTGATATCTTTTCGGGAATAATTCCACTATCATAACATAACCTTGAATTGATATGGTCGCTCCAAAGCCGGCAAAGAAAAGGCTTATCCAAAGCCAGTAATAATTCGTTGCAAACGCGCTGGACAATGAAAAAACAAACATGAATGTCGTACTGCCAATGAATGAACGCTTTCTACCGATTTTGTCCGACACCCAACCCCAAAATGTTGCCCCCACGATCTTTCCGGTTGATGTTGACAGTGTCAATATCCCAGCCATAACTTCAGAGATATTCCAGTCTGGTTTCAAAGCCGGTAGTATAGCGGATAATATGCATGTTGCGAACGCAGATGTCATAACAAGGAGACAAAGAAATACGAACACTTTCCAATGAAGAAGCCTCAATCCTATATCATCCAGAATTTCATCGATTTGGCGAGATTTGAAAAGATCATCTTTTGAATTGACGCTCTTTTCATCGACATCTGCAATGTGCTGGTATTTGACTTCGATCTTTGTACTTTGCTTAGCTTTCAGCCCCTCAGAACGCTGACCGACCTTTATACATTGTTTAGGTTTCAACCCATCGGAATTTCTCGCTGTGGAAGGCGGCCTGGTTGGTTTTAATTTGCTTGATAGCCGTCCCATTTTCAATCGTTTCGTTGAGTTTAGTTCAAACTATATGGGAAAGTAATGTTCCTGTATAGTGTATACAGCTGTACAACACATTTGTGGTCATGCCTCATGGGCGTGAGCGACGGAGTTGAAAATTCGCCTCGGTTTTGTTTTGTTTTTGTTTTTGTTTTTTTCAATTATTTATTTTTTATTTTTTTCGTCGTCGCAAGTGTGTTTTGGCGTGGAACATACTGGTATTTAAATAGTGTATGTGACCGTATTTATCTACATCACAGCTTTGTCTCCCAAGAGTTGTGGTGCACAGCTCGAAATCTCGACACATTTTCCGATGCGCGATTCGATTTCGCTCGCATGCATGATACGGCAATTCCTCCAAGAGGAACAAATAAACCGTTCTTTTGATGCTGTTCGATTAGGTTTAGATTTAATTGGGGTAAGAATATATTTAATACATGTACTGTAGATTCTGTCTGATCCTATTTTAATAATATCGCTGCTATTTCGCCGTTTAAAAAGATGTGGTCGTTGACACGTCGCCGTAGTTTGCACAGGATTGAAGATTTAATATATCAAAGTGTCAGACAAAGTGAACGTATCATGCGGTTTATTTACATTTTTAAACGATTGAACTATACTTTTTAGGCTTTTTAAAGTACGATGTGCTCCTGAATGTCGCGTTCGTACAACATTTAGGTTCGTAAGGAAGCTAAATGAGTATATATAAACTGTATTGTTTATGTTCCGGCACGCCGGAGTTAACACCAGAACAGACGTCTTGTTATGTACAGTCCACGCTTGACCATATATAACTGTATTGTTTATGTTCCGGCACGCCGGAGTTAACACCAGAACAGACGTCTTGTTATGTACAGTAGTCCACGCTTGACCATATATAAACTGTATTGTTTATGTTCCGGCACGCCGGAGTTAACACCAGAACAGACGTCTTGTTATGTACAGTAGTCCACGCTGGACCATATATAAACTGTATTGTTTATGTTCCGGCACGCCGGAGTTAACACCAGAACAGACGTCTTGTTATGTACAGTCCACGCTTGACCATATATAAACTGTATTGTTTATGTTCCGGCACGCCGGAGTTAACACCAGAACAGACGTCTTGTTATGTACAGTCCACGCTTGACCAGTGATGGAGTACCGACATACTGTTCATTTGTAAACTTGGGCGAGGTGAAAAGCGCATCACATCAAAGGTTTCACCTGATTAGTCTTTCATTATATGCAGTTTTCACCTCGCCTAGCCGGGATAACTCGCTCCATGTAAACACGCCCTAAATGGGCAACAGTCAGCAGGACTCGAGTATAAATGTAATATAAATGTATACAGCAATTACTTATAAGTTCATAGCATGAGTAGATATCTGTAGCTCCATCTTCGCTCTGGAAGCAATATCGCAATGCAACCTCGCAAGCCAGGCTCTTTTACCTACGCTCCACGGCCCACGCTGCGGCAAAGACCCTGGTCAAGGCTGGTCATGTGACCTCCCAAAATATGGGAGGTTTTTAATTAGCGCTTAGTTCATATCCATGGGAGGAGTGGCAAAGTCGATATACCATTTCTGCTATTTTTAGCACTTGTCACAATCCAGATGACTTTGTACTAAGGGAGCGGTCATAAAGTAACTGCTAGGGTGGGCCGGAGGAAATAAAGATGGGCCATGAAATTATTTTCATTAGTTTGGGTGGGCCATCAATTACTTTTTGTGAAAATGGATGGGCCATGAAACAAAATACAGCCTGTTTGCACTCAATACATACTATAAGCGACGCTGCATGGTTGGTTTGATCAAAGTGATAGACACGCTGTACATTAACATATATAGCAGGATGGGTCATGAAACTTTTCCAATGACTTATGATGGGCTTTTAGATCTTTTCTAGATTTTCAGGATGGGCCACCGAATTTTTTTAGGAAAACAGATTTTTCCCTCCGGCCCACCCTAGCAGTTACTTTATGACCGCTCCCTTAAACGCAACTAAAAATAGCGGTTCACGCAATAAACTAAATAAATACAGCTAGTGTGCCGCAGCAAAAAACTAAAAAGAGCAATAAACCGAATTTAGATTCAAGTGCTATGTGTAGACTGTATCATCGTCGATAGAATCGGTTTTAGTATCGTCACAAGTTCATCGTTGGAATCGTTGGAATCTCAGTAACCCTGCTTGAGCCGGTTTTATAAAAACGTAGTTAACTTTTAACGATAGTTAGTGACAGAATTGACCAATCAGAGTAATATATTTCTGAGTTAACTACGAATTAACTACGCAAAATATAGTTAAGAGTTTAATGCAACCGGCCCCTGATATTTACTAACATTGGATAGTTAAATATTAGTTATCTCTGAAATGCACGACTTTGCTTGGTTAATGCTGCCCTTTACTACAGTTAAAAGTTAAACAGCAGCGCTCCAGCGTGTGCTGCGCCCCAACCTACCCCATTCCATGCACAATGCCACACGCAGCCGCATTTGGCAATTGTTGCCTTATGCGTGTATTATTATATAGGTTGATTATAATAAACATGTGAGAAAACCTGCATTAAAGTTTAGACAATCGTTCACCAAGATTATAAGACAACCTTATATGAAAGCATGTTTGACCCCCCCCCCCCCCCCCCCTTACAAAGCAATGCTGTTTATAGTGAGGTGCAAATTTGTTGTACATGAGCGTGTCTTCTTGCTAACAACATTGCGAAATTGCTTCCAGAGCGGAGATGCAGCTACAGATATCTAGTCATGCTATGAACTTATAATTAATTGCTGTATACATTTATATTACATTTATACTCGAATCCCGCTGACTGTTGCCCATTTAGGGTCTGTTTACATGGAGCGAGTTATCCCGGCTAAGCGAGGTGAAAACTGCATATAATGAAACCACAGATGAAACACTAAAGTTTGTGATGCGCTTTTCACCTCAAGTTTGCAAATGAACAGTATGTCAGTACCCCATCACTAGTCAAGCGTGTACTGTACATAACAAGCATACCTCATATCTGGCGCTTGTGTATATAATAAACTCATTTAGCTGCCTTGCGAACCTAAATGTTGTTCGAACGCGACATTCAGAAGCACATCGTACTTTAAAAAGCCTAAAAAGTATAGTTCAATCGTTTAAGAATGTAAATAAACCGCATGATACGTTCACTTTGTCTGACACTTTATTATATTAAATCTTCAATCCTGTGCAAATTAACTGCGACGTGTCAACGCGCCCGTACACGACCACATCTTGTTAAACGGCGATATTATTAAAATAGGACATCCAATGGTTAAACAATCATTGAATAACAGAGAAAAGGATGTGTACTTACCACTAAGTTACTAACAATACTCTACAATGTCACTCGAAATTGCACTCGATCAGTGCGTCTTGTCTACTCGTCACGGCATCACGCCTGATCGACTACCCTTCGCGTAAACACTGCACGCAAAGTGTTTGATCCACGTTTAATTCGCGCGGTAGACAGGACAAAAAAGACAGGATTCGCGAACACTTTCTAGGGCTTGGTAACTAACGGTTATCGTTATCAGCCGGCTAATGGTGATAACCACTGGTGATAACGGACAAACGACATCGGATATATACCCTTGTTTATATATGACCGTGAACGTTCGTAATTAACTCGTGTTTGGTCGGATAATCGTTCGATAAAAATTTTTGAACAAAATGGCGGTCTTTCAAGAACGTCTTGTAGAACATTACTCTAGGACCTGCAGAGAAATTTGCACAAAACATTGATGGGGACAACTGACGAAAATGAGATCGATAGTTTTGTGTTTAAAGTAAATTCTCTACGGTATCTTTTATTACGATGCGAAGGCCTGACGACTGTACCAAACGAAGTACACAATACGGTCCTACTAAAAACCGACAACAACTGTCAACAACTGACAAGGCGACAACAACCGACAACAAGCTGATAATTACTGAGAAAAAGCTTATAATTATTAACAAAGATGTAATAGACGCTAATATTGCGTTTCTTTGACTTTATTTTTACAATAACAATAAAAATATTACGAATTTCGCCTATTTCGGGCCTGTATGTTGCTTTTTTACGCTTCCACGTACAATCCACATGCCAATTCCAAAAACCAATGCTTCCACATTCAAAATTTAGATTTCTTTGATTTTTGCGAAGAATTTACATTCGTATACAAGAGTGGCGTGTTCGTGAGTTGACCCTGAAAGAGTTCTTTTAAGGACACTAGAAATTCAAACAACACAAAGAAGGGGATACATGCAATGTTTATTCTCCAAGAGCTTTATATCATATGGATGGAAACCATAAATTATTGCCAAATTCCATAAACAATTGCCAAATACGGCTGCGCGTGGCATTGTGCATCAGAATGGGGTAGGTTGGGGCGCAGCACACGCTAGAGCGCTGGGGCCGGTTGTTCAAAAGCCGGTTAGCTTAAACCCGGGTTAAAGCAAATCTTTACATCAATATTTTTAATCGCTTGTTTAAAAAGGTGAATATCATTTTCTATAAATATTTTCTGGACGGACAAAATCCATCTTTTGTAAAGGTTTTAAACGAACAGCGCTGTTCAGAAGCACTTAAACCAAAACAGTGGATTAAAATTTAACCCAGGTTTAGCGCTAATCCAGCTTTGAACAACTTGCCCCTGGTATTGATTGAAATAATTACTAATACAGTCTTGCAAATCAAAGTCGCGCATTTCAGAGTTAACTAGTATTTAACTATTCAAATACTAGTAAATATCAGGGGCCGGTTGTATAAAACTCTTAACTACATTTTGCGTAGTTAAATCATAGTTAACTTAGAAATATATGACTCTGATTGGTCAATTCTGTCACTAATTAAAGTTAAAAGTTAACTACTTTTTTTTACAACCGGCCCATGCAGGGTTACTGAGATTCAACGAAGCGTGAGATGATTTGGAGGTATTGAATAACATGATAGGGTCAGTGATACCGATACAGCCCTCAAATGAGTCAAATCTGCTTATTTGTAATTCCAATGGCTAATCAATCATTGAATAACAGAGAAAAGGATCTGTACTTACCACTAAGTTACTAACAATACTCTACAATGTCACTAGAAAGTCGGTGTTGAGAATTATAAGAATAGAAACTACGCGCAGATGTAAATTCACAGATAACATGCACGCCAGTCTACTATTGCAACATGATCCGGGTCATATGGTCAGCGATTTATATAATAAAATCGAATAGTCCACTCTGATTGGCTAACATTTGCGTTTGTAGACACATTTTCGTTAACGCCACAACAAAAGTGCACTTTCCGGTCGGCTAATCCGACCATGAACTATCGCTGGTCACAGGTCAATCTGCGTACTATTGATGTTATGATTACGGTCTTCCGATAAAGTTTTCACTAACCAAATGATTGAAAATGGATGGCCTATGGAACAATTTAAAACATCGCTTCTCACAAACTTTGTCGCCTCCTGAGGGGCTGAAAGCTAAGCAAAGTACAAAGATCGAAGTCAAATACCAGCACATTCCAGATGTCGAAGAAAGGAGCGACAATTCAAAAGACGATCTTTTCAAATCTCGCTTAATCGACGAAGTTCTGGATGATATAGGACTGAGGCTTCTTCATTGGAAAGTGTTTGCATTTATTTGCATTCTTGTTATGACGTCCGCGCTGGGAACAGCCATATTATCCGCTATACTTCCGAGTTTGAAACCAGACTGGAATATCTCTGCAATTATGGCTGGCGTATTGACACTCTCCGCATCAACCGGAAAGATCACGGGGACAATATTTTGGGGTTGGGTGTCGGACAAATACGGTAGAAAGCGTACATTCATTGGCGGTTTAACGATCGTACTTGTATCCGCGTTTGTGAGCGCATTTTCAACGAATTACTACTGGCTGTGGATAAGCCTTTTCTTTGTCGGATTCGGAGCGACTATTACGTTTCAAATTTATGTTATCATCGTGGAATTATTCCCTACAAGATACCGTTCTATGTTTTCTGTATTAACTACAATCTTCTGGACTTTAGGATTTCTACTTTCGGCTGTTATTTCAATGGAGCTTTCGGTGATTGGTTATCATTGGGCTCTGGCTACCGTGTGCTTTCCGGCTGCAATTTTGCTTATTAGTATCGTATTTCTTCCAGAATCACCACATTTTTACCTTGCAGCCGGGGACGAGCAGAAAGCTTTGGACATCCTACAAGATTTAGCACCTGAAATGGATTTCAGCGACACAAGACTTCGTAAACACGGTCCTGAGACACAGAGGGCAGATTTCACACAACTATTTCGATCAGGTTATTGGAAGATCACAATATGCGCCTTTATCATGTTTTTTATCACCTACCTTTCTCATTATGATTTGATATACACGACCTCTGACGTGGCGGGCAGTCAAAATTATACACCTTTGACAACTGGCTTGCGAAACAAGAAAATGGCAAGTCGTTATATGTATTCTATCATGGCCTGGATGAATTTGCCTGAATTTGTGATTATTTTCACCGCTGGTTTAGTTTGTTATCTTTTTACCGTGAAAAGAATACTCTTAACTGTTATGTTGTTGACACTCGTTTCACAGGCCATCGCTTTGTTCCTCGTAAACCAGCGAATTCCATTACTCATGGTCACAATGATATCTCGAAGCCTTCTTGCAACAGACACAACTCTCTTGTTACTCTTTGTATCGCTGGTTTACCCGCCAGAGATTCGTAGCATTGGAGCAGGAACTTGTGCTTCTGCTGGTCGTATCGGAATAATTTTAGGACCGTTCATCTTTGAGACATGGTTTGCCAAAGAGTATTTTTATGGAATTGTATTTAACGTTGTGATATTATCAGTAGCATTGATAGCGACTGTCTTGCTGCCGTTGCATAGCGGGAAGAACTAGCTGCCTACTATATATGGTTTATTCCGGTTTCAAATTTATTCTGTAGTTCTTATAACTAAACATAATCAGAAAATTTCCACTATATAGTTTCATAAAGAATAACAAAAAATATAGTCGATTAAATACAGCAGGATCGTTTCTTTCCGCAAACTTTCTGAGCGCTGATTGGCTACAATATGAGCACGTGATCACCTGGAGTCGGTTGTCTGAAAAGCTGGGTAGCGCTGTACACTGGAAAGTGGGTTTTCCAGTCGCTTTTCAATTGGCCGTTGTTCGGTATAACCAACTCGGCAGAAATTGGGGTTTATGAAGTCTCAACTCGAAAATCTAATTTCATATCGCATTTCTCTATCGCAATTGAAAGAGAAAACTTCTGAATACGCATTCTGCAATCTTTTGACAGCTCATCATACAAATCTGACAGCTGTGAAATGGCCATTTTGAGGCTTAAAGTATACAATGGTTACTAATTCAGACGTATTCGCTTTTTACCGTGTGCAAGGTTCGAAGTCTTCCGTGCAAGTCAGATTTTGTTGACCATTCAGAAATCTTTTTGCTTACCAAATTTAAAGTCGTATTAAGAATTGCAGCTAAGGGCTATTTTCTACTTGGCAAGATTTTGCGTGCCGAGTGGAACTTCTTTATTGCCTGTGCGCTTTTTTGCAGAACTATAAGCCCAAACAGACAGGACGCGAATTTTAATTTTTCAAAATCAAATAAATTTTAGAGTATCATAATATTCTTGTAGATTACTTAACGATAATAGATTTTGACTGCTCTGGCGTCCATAGATTCCAAATTTTGTTTCTAGAAATTAATTTATATGCTTCTGAAAACTGAAAATTCGCGTCGCGTTGCCGCATCGCGTCCGGTCTGTGTCGACCTTGATGTGAAAAAAAACAAATTAAAACTCCGCTTCGCGTGCAAAATTCCCCCTAGTGGAAAGCAGGCTTAAGTATATACCAAATTCCGCAGCTTCATAACCTGGGTTAAATCTTAGTGTTCTTAAATTGGAGATTCTGTGTAATAATTGTTCATCTCAGATCTTTAGTTTTGCCTTGTAGGCATCCATCTATCCAGCTTTCGTAAAATCAGCTCTTGCCTCTCGGATCAGTAGCCGTCGTATTGGCGTACTCAGCCGTCGACAGATATGCTGTCATAGCGACAGTTCATAGCCTCCTCCGCAGGCATCTCTTATGCATTTATATATTAGGCATTTATATTTCGCTTGGGTCCCACTTTTTTCCTCGCCTTCCCCGACACAGCTAACCCAAGCCAAATTAAATGCCTAATATAAATACAAAAGAGATGCCTGGGAGGAGGCTAGACAGTTCATTATGTGTAAATTGATACAGAACTAACACAAGCCCCAAGGCAGTCGCATGAAGTTGAGAGACACGTTTTAGAGCAGTTGAAAAAACCTTTGAAGAAACTGGTTTCAGCAATAAGTATACCAAATCGATGAAGATAATCAGTGGCGTAGCCAGCCTGACGATTTACTCATGCTATGCAAACTTTATGTTATTATCATTATTCATTTATTTACAAATTTATTGTTTTCACAGTCAATGAACACCAAAATATTAGCATAGCATGACTAAATTGTCGGGCTGGCTACGCCACTGAAGATAATTAAGCATTTGCTGCTAACCATTGCCATTTAAACGCAAAAGAAGAGATCGTGACAAGCGAAAGCGGTATAGTGTAAACGTCTTTACGCCTTGGCCTAGATGTGAACGTTGTTTATCCGGCTTAAACTCGGCCCAGAGGACCAGGCCTGGATCTGGTCTAGGCCACAAAAGCCGCAGAAGGTGGCCTGGACCTGACCTTGGGCACGATTTTGGTAATGTGAACAGGCTTTACCTAGTCCTGACAAGTTTTGAACTTAATAGTACGTATGATTTGTATAGTCACAGTTAAGAATTAAGAATTAAGATACATAAGTTTTAGATCCCACTAATTTACTATCTATAATCTTTGTAAATTTGTGATCGTTTAGAACAAAATCTCCTTGTGTATCGCGGTTAGATTTCCTGGCTTTTGTCTTTTTCAAACTTTAGCGCGTTTACTTTATGCAAATCTAGTTTGCATGACCATGGACCGTGTGTCGGATTTGATCCGCAAAATAACTGAAAAAATTCTTTGTTGCTAATCATCCTTGCGTGGTCGAACAATATAGGTTTTATTAAAACGTCGCGAAAGCTAGTTGGAATCGAGCCCAATCAAATCATTGAAAATGGAAGGCCTGTGCGTCCTATGGAACAAATTGAAACAACTGTTTTCGCAAAATGGGCCACTTTATAAATCGAATAGTTCTGTGGAGCCGAAAGCTGAGCAAAGCGTAAAGGTCGAAGTGAAGTACCAACGAGTTTCAGATGACGAGAACGAAGTGAAATATTTGAACGCTGATTTTTTGCAATCGCGCTCGATAGACGAGATTCTGGACGATATAGGATTGAGACCTCTTCATTGGAAAGTGTTCGTATTTAGCTGTCTACTGGTAATGACATCCGCGCTTGCAACAGCCATATTATCCGCCATACTTCCAAGTTTAAAATCTGACTGGAATGTCTCAGCTACGATGGCCGGAGTACTGACACTCTCTACGTCAACCGGAAAGATGATTGGAACAACGTTTTGGGGTTGGGTGTCGGACAAATACGGTAGAAAGTGTTCGATTATCGGTTGTGCAGCGTTCATGCTTGTGGCCGCATTTGGGAGCGCGTTTTCAACGAACTATTACTGGCTGTGGATAAGCCTTTTCTTCGTTGGCATCGGAGCGACCATTTCAGCTCAAAGTTATGTTATGATAGTGGAATTATTCCCTACAAGATACCGATCTATGTTTTCTGTATTAACTACCATCTTCTGGACTTTAGGATTTCTACTTTCGGCTGTCGTCTCAATGGAGCTTCCAGTGATCGGTTATCATTGGGCCCTGGCTACCGTGTGTTTTCCGAGCGCAATTTTGCTTATTGGAATAGTATTTCTCCCAGACACTCCCTACTACTGCCTTGCAGCCGGCGACGAACAGAAAGCTTTGAATATTCTACAAGAAATTGCGCCTGAGATGGATTTCAGCGGCACAAGACTTCAGAAACACGGTCCCGAGGTGGAGAGAGCAAATTTAACACAGCTATTTCAATCAGGTTTTTGGAAAATCACAATATGCGCTTGTATCGCGTTTTTTAACAACTACCTATCGCAGTATGACTTGATATACACCTCGTCTGACGTCGCGGGCAGTCAAAATTATTCATCTACGACAGCGGAGAATGCAATCCGTCATATGTAGCCTATGCCATTATGGCCTGGATGAACTTGCCAGAAATTGTGATCATTATGGCAGCTGGTTTAAGTTGTTATGTTTTTAAAGTAAAACGAGTACTTCTAACAGTTTTGTTGCTGACAATCGTTTCACAGGTCATTTCACTGCTCTTCGTAAACCAACGGGTTCCATTACTCATGGTCACAATGATATCTCGAAGCCTTCTTGCAGCAAACTCAACTCTCTTGTTACTGTTTGTGTCGGTTGCTTACCCAACAGAAATTCGTAGCATTGGAACGGGCACTTGCGTCTCCGTCGGTCGTCTCGGAATAATCCTAGGACCGTTCATCTTCGAGACATGGCTTGCTAAAGAGTATTTTTATGGATTTATATTTAATATTGTGGTAATATCGGGGACATTTTTAGGAACTGTCTTGCTGCCGTCTGCAAACCACGACAAAGCTTAACTTGCATTTTAATTTTTAAGGAAACCCAAAAGGTTTTCGGCAGTTTAAGTTCACATTTCATTCTTCAATTTCTGACTTGCAGAGTCCGTCGGGGATTTTGGTGGTCATAATATAAAATTGTCCGCCAGGGGAAAGAATTACCTCGTTGAGCACCGACAAAGACAGCCTTGCAAAGCATTTCCGACCGGCTGTCCGCAGGTGATCAAAAACTTTCGCGCCCGTAACAATACACTATACCGGATTGCTTCCAGAGTGGGTCAAATTTTGTAGCTATTAAGGGGCTGATTACAAGGGGTTTTGTTAGCCCGGGCTGAAATTCTTGTCATGTAATCGCGTGCGCGATTTTGTTAGGAATTTAGAAGCAATTCAGCTCGGGCTGAAAGCACTCCATGTAATCAGCCCCTAAAAGGCAGTGAAAAATTTACTTTCAGAGTTCGATATTAATTTACTAATTCGATCAAAATGATACGCATTTGCTACTAACCATTGCCATTTAAAGGTAAACGGAGAGATCGTGACAAGCGAAACCGGTATAGTGAAAATGTCTTTGACGCTTCGCTCCGGATTCAATTGTCACGATATCAAATACTTGGATAGATTTGGTATATTTACAGTGGCGTAGCCATGCAGCCTAAAGGCAGTGTTTCACTATGCAACTTTCCTTGCAACTTGCAATGCAATTCTACTCCTGAGGCATCTAAAGTTGCCAAATACGAACATTTCTCACGATCTGTTAACGTTTTCTTTGCATTTCGAACACTCTTTACTAATTAACATCCCTCGAAATTATAATTGCATTGCAAGTTGCAAGGAAAATTGCATAGTGTAACACCGCCTTAACGATTTAGTCATGCTATATGCAAATTTTATGTTATCATTATTCATTTCTTTAGAAATTTATTGTTTTCACAATCAATGAACACCAAAATATTAGCATACCATGACTAAATTGTCGGGCTGGCTACGCCACTGAGGCACTGTATATTTAACTCGATCTCTTACAATAATTTTTTTTCTGCCTTCATAACAGCTACAAAATTTGGCCAAACGAAATTTTTCGCTCGATTTTCTTTTCAATCGTGACCGGTGAAGGGAATCCGCTACGGTTGAATACTCACAATAGACCTTTTCAGCTTGTATGCAAATTAAAATGGTTGAAATCGTTCAAGTCACATGGTCTGAAATGGTTAAGTTGTATTGGCTATTCCATGGTCACAACATCTGAGCGTTAATTTGCATGCAAGCTGAAAAGGTCTATTGTGAGAATTAAACCGTAGCGGATTCTCTTCACCGGTCACGATTGAAAAGAAAATCGAGCGAAAAATTTCGTTCGATCGAAAAATTTAGTGGAAAACCGGCTTTAGGGAACTAAAATTTCTCAGCGACAATTATGGTGTCCCTCGTAATCCGCCACCCCCCCCCCCCAACCAATATCTGCTCAACATCTTTGTACGTCCCTGTTGGTTTCCTTAAGATGCGCTATCCAGTCACTGTCTATATATCAGTGGCCTGATTCGGTCACAGACTCTAAGGCTAAAGACACTCGATCACTCCGCTCTGGACCAGAAGATGCGGATTAGACAAGCGTTATTAAAATCCGCATCTAAGTTGCTATATATACTCAACTCATTTCTAAGAAATATTTTATATTTTTCTCAGGTTCCAGGAGACATGCTGACTAAAAAAGTAACTAAAAGCTAGCAATTGTTTAGACTTTTGAAAGCTGGCAATTAGACTGGTTCAATGGATGCTTTCTTTTGTACCGTAAAAATCAGACTGGTCCTTTTGTATTTAGTACAAACAGATTACTGGTATTTTTAAAGTGTTTAGCACGGAAATGCATTTTCACCCCCTATATTCTTAACGAAATACCAGTTGCAATTGCAACCTCGTTTCCAGGGTTTTAAACCTTGGGTGTGATGCGAGGTTGTTGCAAACTTGCAATTAAGCGGCCAAAATGGTGAGACCAGTCGTATTTTGAACTGAACTGAACTGAACCGAACTGAACTGAACTGAACTGAACTGAACTGAACTGAACTGAACTGAACTGAACTGATCATGAACTGAACTGAAGTAGAATATTTCGTTAAAAATATAGCGGTGAAACTGCATTTCCCGTGCTAGGCAGATGTAAATAACGATAAAAGTGAATGTAGATTTGTTAAAACACTCTAAAATACCAGTAACCTGTCCAGACTGTCTGTATTGAAATACAACAGGACTGGTCTGGTTTTTACTGCATAAAAGAAAGCGCCCCAGTTTGACCATTTTGGCCACTTAAAACTATTGAATATTTTTGTTATTGTTTATTCTTGACTAAAGTTAACTATTTACACAATCAAAAATTTAAATATCTATTTTTATTAAAAATTATAAAATATCTTATTATAGACATGATTATAGTATAGACCTTTTCTGCTTGTGTGTAAATTAAATGGTTCAAGTCACATAGTCTGAAATGGTTAAGTTTTATTCGTTATTCCATGGTCGCAGCATCTGCAATGCCAATGGTTAATTTGCATGCAAGCTGAAATGGTCTATTTGCGAGACTAGAGCTTGGATTTTGGGGGGAATATACAGACTTCGACCTTGCTTCGGCGAATAAATTATCGCGCAATTTTGTTCGTTTATGCTAATTTGCTTCGGCAAATATGCTAATTGAGGTATCGTCTTGCTTTGGCGAAATATGCTAATTCACGTCTAATTCACGTATCGTCAGTTACTCCATGGGCGGCCAATTCAGCCAGGACATTATCTAAGTAACTTGGATCAGGGTATCCATAGCCAGAACCGTTTCCATAACCTTCGGTTTTGTGGTGAATGTCATTCCATACAATGCTGTTGTCCTGCCCAGTTGTCACCGATCTACCCACCGTGAAAACAAGTTGTCTGTCGAACGCCACCTTCAATAGCCTCAAGACCTACAGCACAAGAGACATGATGTCTGTTAATAATGCTTAGTTTGAGAGATAAGCCAAAGTAAACTAACTTTAATTATACATGCAGGATAGCTCTATCAGTTCTTCTCTTCCTAGTCCTAGAGGTCCAGTAAAGATAATCTCTTATTGATCCAGTGTTAATACAGGAGGAAACCTAAACTAAACTAACTTTATTTACACTAGATAGCTCTATCAGTCCTTAACTGTTCTTCCTAGAGGTCTAGTAAGGATCATCTCTTATTGATCCAGTGTTACTACAGGAGGAAACCTAAACTAAACTAACTTTATTTATACTAGATAGCTCTATCAGTTCTAAACTGTTGTTCCTAAAGGTCCAGTAAGGATCATCTCTTATTGATCCAGTGTTACTACAGGAAGAAACCTAAACTAAACTAACTTTATTGATAGAGGACGGCTCAATTGTGCAGTTCTAAACTGTTTTCCTTGAGGTCCAGTGTAAGGATATCGATCGTTGACTAACCAACTCTTGCTAGAGTTCCACTACGAATATGATTTCTTTTTGGCCTAGTGTTAAGCTGTACACAAGACTAAGTTAAACTAGGCTCGCTAAATTTATCGGTATTAGACAGTTCCACACATCGCTCGATCCTAAACACAGGTTTTTACACATGCCTTTTGACCTTTAGGACTATTTGGCAGATAACACGTGCGAGGGAAGGCGTGCGCGGTGTAACGCTGTCCAGGATTAGGGTGATTCGGTCCCTGTTGGTTGGCAAAAGAGAAAGAAAAAATGTGAATAGATTAATAGTATTCTGTACTTTATTTGACAGCAATAAAGACATGTGCAAATGTGACCAGTGATGATCAGTTATCGAGTTAAAATTTCCTGAAACCGAATTTCAGAGGTGTCTTATACACCGCGTACCTGAACGCCGGAGTTGAAACTGTACACGATAACGATTGATCCGTGACCAGGATAACCAGGGATATCAGTGATGTTGGTTGAGACCCTCATGGTACCACCGTCAGGTTGGTTCCCCTTCATAACACCATGAATCGTTTTGCATGTCGGGCAACGCAAACAGCCATTCTGGTAAAGTAGTTAACAAAGGCAAATTACAATCGAAAGTTTACTCTACGGAGGAAGCCTTGGTGGCTTTGATGACGGATATATTCGTGCAGGAAGGGTCGTGGAATGAGGGGGGCACTGGGCCCAACCCTCACCCCCCACCCTCTCTCCAGCTTCCCGAAAAGGCCAAGATATGCCTCTTTTTCAGCAAAGATGGCCTTCTCTGAGTGGATATGTCAGGTGGAGTTGCTACCACTTTTTGAAATTATAAGAAAATTTCTGGAGATGGAAATTAGTATATGGCAACAGTATAGATATACAATTATACTAATTTTAATCTCCGGAAATTTTCTTACAATTTTAAAAAGTCGTAGCAACTCCAGCTTAGAATAACCCCTGGGATAAATGTGCCCTTCTTAAAGTAATTAATTGTGCCTTAATTATTATACACCAAAACGTGCCCCCTTTGTTAGTTTCATCCCCACCCCCTCACCTACTTTCTAAATGGTTCCGCGGTTTCTAAACGACTCACCACTGTTGTGTCACTCTCGTAAAGCCGTTGTAGACAAATTCTGTGAAACATGTGCTTGCACAGAAGCAGTTGGAGAATATCAGCGCTTGTACACTGAACGTCTGCAGTGGGATCAATATCGTAATCTGAAGGTGTGCTCAGACTCTCCAAACATATGGCACATTCCTTGAAAATAACAATTTGTAACAAAAGAGATGCGTGTCTATGGTGCGATTCGACTCAGGGGGTTGCTAAAGTGTTGCGGATCAGGGGTCTATTGTACGATGTACAAAAGCTAGATTGTGATTTTTTTCCGATTGCGTTGAAACTCCCCGTTGTTCTGTATATTAACCTAGTTTAAACCTTAGATGCTTAACTAAATGAGTTCCAATATAACCAAGGAGCAGCGTGGCAGCGTCTTCAAACAACTTAGCATCAAATGTGGTATAACAACTGCCTAAAATAGACAAAACACTTCTCGACGTTTCGACCTGACGGCCTTTGTCAGGAGAGTTAGTAACTAACCAACTTCGTCAGGAGAGTTAGTAACTAACCAACTTCGTCAGAAGAGTTAGTAACCATACTAACTCTCCTGACAAGGCCCTCAGGTCGTAACGTCGAGAAGTGTTTTGTCTATTTAGGCAGTTGTTATACCACATTTGATGCTAAGTTGCTTAACTAAATGGATAAAACATTTGAAGAAATTAGGGATTCTCTTAATTAATCGTCAGCTTCAAATCGGCTGCTTTATACTGATTTTCAATCATTTTTACTACGGTTGAAAAAGGAATCACAATCAAGTGGCTAATTCTGCCGCTAACTATCGTTTAAAGGTTTAAGGTAGTAGGGTACAATACTCTCAACAAAAATCGTTGCTATTTTTTTTCAGTTTAGAAAGCGGCTGACAATCTGATTCTGGGTCACTTACGTCATCTGGCTGCATCCCATCATGCACACGCCGGGCGAACTTGCCAAGAGGACCGCTGACAACACCTAACAAAATTAAAAACATCATGCTGTAGTGGTAAAAGTGGTAAAGTGGGTCAATTCGAACGTGCTGTTATTCTTAGCAAATATTCTGCTGGAGAAAAAGGTAAGTGAAATTGTGGAAGTATATAGGCGAAAATTCACGTTAAAATGATGGCAAGATGATGCCTTTAAAATCACGCATAACCCAAACATTCTTCACAAAACGTGAGCGTTTGCCTACTGTCACCAAAAGGGTGTAGGTTCCAACGGTACCCGGTGGAAGACCAGAGAGCTAAATCTTACTAATTTCGGGGTGCTCTTTCCCAGGGCCGTCCACAGAAGGGGAGGGGGAGGCAACAGGGGCAGTTGCCCCGCTAGACAAAACTAATGTTGTGATCTTCAATTTACTATCGAACATTTTTTTATTTTCTTCTTAATTCTGTGGCCCCCTTTAACAGGCGCCCGGGGCAAATTGCTCCTTTTGCTCCCCCCCCCGCTCTGAGAGGCCCTGCCCCCTGGAAAAATCCCCACATACGGCCCTGCTCTTTCCAGCGGTCCCGAAGAATTTTCCTAGTTTTAAACTTAGTTTAGTAGGGTGTGGTCCGTTTGGTGTTTACTTGTAGGTTTTCTTGTGGTACTCGAGCCTTTTTCAGAACGGGCTATTTTCCTCCGATTACCCCGAATTAGACGGTAGTGTCGCTGCTTGCTGGAGGCCAAAGTGCGGTGGGATTATTTGTCCCACCGTTGAGACTCGTATTGTTAGTTTGCATTCGTGGCTGCGGGCGAGAAAATGCGTTAGATTGCGAGCTTCCAACGGGAAAGTGCAAGCTGGTACGATGTATTGGATTCATTGCTACGCTATTTTGGTTAATACTGGGTATACATTTTGCCACAGTAGAATTAAGGCTGTATCCAGGGTTTAAACCAAGTTGCGTTGAGTTACTTTGTAGACTGCCGTTTGAAGGACACGGTCCAAGTCCGCTCGCGTTCAATGAAGAATTTAAATCCATGAAACCGAATTGAGGTTGCATGGCAGTAGTATTAATGCTGTTATTTGTAATTGTATGATTACTAGACATCAGAGGATTGTGACTCTGCGTAGCAGCTTGCGTAATCGAGTTATTGGTGTGAACTATAACCTTAGTCCCGACGCTTGCTGGTACTGCACGCTTCTTTTGTACAACCGCCGAATCAGGTTGCCTTGCCGAGGTTTGGATACTTTGTGTTGCACTAGCACTGGGAGGCTTGGGGTTATAACGTGACGCGAGGGACACGTTGTGTTGCGCACCCGTCACGTTATGTTGCATGCCGGTCACGTTGTGTTGCGCACCGGTCATATTGTGTTGCGCACCGGTCACGTTGTGTTGCGCACCGGTCACGTTGTGTTGCACACCGGTCACGTGGTGTTGCGCACCCGTCACGTTGTGTTGTGCAACGCCATTCGCTGTTTCAAAATTCATCTGCGAGTATCGATGTTTCGTTTCTTCGCGTTCAATCCGTCGAACTTTTTTCGTTTTTTTGTTGACTTGCTCCATAGCGGAAAAGTAGATAATGTTAGGAATGCGTATTGGAGAGCGCTTGAGGTCGACTATTTTAGACTTCGTTTGAAATGCGTCTTCGATGTAATTGGACGTGTCGACGTCGTATTGCTGCCACTGATAACCCGTAAACCATTTCCAGAAGACGCCTCTGGCAAATGGGCACGTGCCTGGGTACGATTGTCGTCGAACCCTAAAAATTTCATCTATAAATTTGAAAAAAATAGTTTCACCCTCCTAATGCTTGCAGTTCTTACTATATCAGACTTACTAGAGGAATTTTATATGTGTATATATAGCTAGTTTCAGTGGATCAGCAAAATCTGAACTGGTATATTTTATTGCTTAAAACGGACAGTCTTTACTCTTCAGAATGTTTTTAGAAAAGCAATCAAGGCTGTATGGGAATGGTTGGGTTATTAGGATCAAAGTTGCTTGATAAAGATTTGGTAGCGCCTGAAAGTGGGAAAGTGTTGAGCAAACCATTTTGATATCTACGTTGGTAGTAGCATTATTCCACTATATTCGAAATTACCAAAGTCGAATATACCATATTTCGGTATATTCGACCTTGGTAAGGTTCGTATAAATGTTCTAGTAAGGTCGAATATTACGGTTTGTTATATAGGTGCTGTGTATTTTAAATGTTATTGTCACATGACTTCAAATAAATGCAATGTTTCCCGCGAGGGAAACAAGTGAAAAATTTTTAACAAAGTAAAGTGGGTTTCTTTTTAAATGAAATTGTTGCGTAACATGTATGTTTTTGTTCCTATATAACAAAACGCTACCTCGGGAAATCGTGAGTTCTGTTTTCCCTCGAGTGTCAGACTCTTGGGAAAACAAAACTCACTATTTCCCTCTGGAGCATACATTAGGTGTATTATATTCAACATTACTAGACCATACTCCGGAATATTTACAATAAACCATGCTTATAATCGTGATTATATAAACTCTAGTTGATTGGTTTCACTAAGTAATTCATCACTAATGTCTTCTCCGCTTGACTTATATTAGTATTACACCAAGTAACGGAAGAAAGCAAAACGAAAAACAAGCTTCATTCTAAGAAATGTATGAGTATATTTTGTAGCATTTTGCATACTTTAACCCGTTAATACTTCCTTGAATATTTAGAATATGAAAGAAAAAATCTGTTAAACCTTACTTGAAAGAGCATTTACTTGTTTCAAGCGAGTAAAATCTATCTCACAACCAGTCAACTCTATCGCATTTTGTCCACTAAGGTCAACCTTTCCTGTGCCAACAGAACGCCGAAATTCGCTTTCAATATGCTGTGAAACGTTCGGTGGATAAGGAACCCAAATGTGAGCACGCGATTCCCATTCCCAAACACATATAGCATTAGTAGCATTCATTCTTGTGTCTCAATTCGACGCTGAACTAGTTTAAAGCCATCGAGTTCAGACCGACTTAAAATTAACTTTGTCTTTGTTGATATTTAATACATGAAACCACAGGAAGTCTTCACTTGGAATGCATAAAATGTAGTATCTTAGCAACTTACAGTTTAAAAAAGATATTACAAAAGGCTACGGCGTAGTCATGAATGTTAAAAAACTTTTTTATAGCACACAATACTTTTCTTGTGCAAATTAAAATTCAACTGTAACACGCAAAATTAGCCCTACGCACAACGCATCTTCACTATCTTTTTTAAAGTTTTATACCACAAACCTAAAATCTAGAATGCACAGCAAATAAAGGATGGTAACTAAAACTAAGTATCGAAATAAAACGTGGAAATAAAGGCCCGTTTTCACTTGCAATTTTTGCTGCTAATTATGTGCGATTTTATCCTTTTCGTAGATGCGAATGAGTGAGGAAGTTACGGAGGTACAAATAAGGACACTTATGCATTAGAGGATTCATAACTTTTTGCTCGTTTCCATCTGTCAAAAGAAAACAATCGCACGGAAGAAATTGCAAGTGTAAACGGGCCTTAAAGTTTCAATTACGAGATTCATTTGTTCATATAATTAGGAAAAATGAACCAATCAGGAGCCGGCAAAGGTTTTCCATACAGTCATTAACGATTCCCCATTGAACCTTGCGGGCTTGTATTTTGATTCTGATCCTCGTAGCAACCGGCAATATTTGCAATTTTCTCATGGATATTTTGTACAATTTTTGACATATTTTGTACGATTTCGATCCGATTTCTCGTCGAATACGCCGCACGAATTTGGTCTTTCTTGTCGAGTGGTTATATCATGTCAAATCAAAGAGTTCAGCTTCAAAATGCCGAAAGTTCCGTGTTGTTTTTGCAAAAACAACATGCGAAAACCTTGGAAGGTTTATACTCGGAGATCAGCAAACTTCAGAAGAAATGTGGAGGTTTGTAGACGAGATTTTACTTCGGGTTTGTAATTTTTCTGCTACGTTTTTGACAATATCTATTTTCCATACAGAGCTGACGTTTCAAATGGCAATGAACTCGACTACACTTACTTCGGAGGAAGGTACGTTTTTTAAAATGAAATTTTAATACGTTTCATTAATAAATATATTATGTTTTAATCTTAATACACAGCAAAAGGAATTTTGCCTTTTTCTGTGTGTAAATACTTAATTGTGTAAGATTTTATATTGTTTTGCCCTTATATAAAGGCTATATATTCAGTATTTATATATATTTTTACAAGCATTACTAATTAGAACTTGCAAGTCTTCTATGAAATAGAAATGGCTGGTATAAGCCTATCCTAAACATGTATTATTTAACACTATGTATCATTGCTATTTCATTGTAGAAAGTTTTCGAGATAGAAGTCTCAAAGTGGAGAAAGAGCTGGAGAGAAAATCAGAAGAAATTGCAGAATTAAACAAACGACTTGAGGGCAAGACCAAGCACAATGCCTTGTTAGAAAAGAACTTCAGGCAAATGCAGGAAATGTTTGATGAATCAATAAGGACTAAGGATAGGCAAATCGCTGCGCTCACTTCTGAACTTGATTCAAACGCAGGCAACACTGCTTATCTTGCTAAACAGTTACATGACTCAAAAGTTGCTTATGCTGAACTTAGTGACAGGATCAATATGAACTTTGCTGAGAGACCTATAATTTCTCCTGCCCCTCCTGGAGAAAAAGCACCGACGGGAAATCGACGAAGATACATCAGAAAAGTTATTGCATCAAATGGGAACGTCAACATCGAATCGGTGGATAGCTTGAATCCAACTACACAAAAAATGCTTCTTAATGTCAAGACTGCAAAAAGTAACGAAAACTTTCCCACACGTTCCATTAGGAGATCCCCTACTGTCCCCACAACAAATCGGCAAGGGGCAAGGTCTTTCAATGAAATGCCTGTTAATCAATCCAGAAATGTTCCTGAAGATTACACAGATTTTTTGAAAACTGGTTCCAAACCAGAACCAAAACTTGTTTACAAACCAGTTCCTAACCCATTGCCTCCTATTGTGAATGGTGTGGAAGAAAATGGAGTGCAGGTCCCTTACAAGGTTCATCGGTCTAGGGGTCAGGAACCGGGAATTGTTGATGAGATCATTGTCTCACCTCTGAATTCACCAGACAAGAGTTGGCACCAGGGGTCAAACCAATATGATCCTGTTTCTTAAAAGCTCCATGAGCTTACAACGCATGTGTGGCACAAACACAAAAGATTTTGACATTTTAAGTATAGTTCACTGATATTTGTGAAGAAAAAGTATTTTATACAAAAATGTGTGCAAAAGAGTGTAATATAATAATTTTAAAGTTGTTCATGAATTAATAGTTTTCTTTTTTTCACTGAAAGGCAAAAGGGTAGGAGAAGGTATTAATGTTGTTCCCTCATTTCTAAACTCTTCTCCGAACTTAATTAAATTGAAATAAGCCCAATTTAGCCCAAGTTACAATTAATCTTGATTGTTGATTTAGTGGTTTTTAATGTAGAACTTTTTTATACTATCAATGCCATGTATCAATGCCTTAACTTGGCAAGGTTGAAGCTGAAAACGGTCACAATTTTAGATCAGATATATAGCTCAGTGGTCCTATTTCTTGAAGAAGGTTAACCAGTGAACTTAACTTCTACAACCGCGCAACTCGTAATTTTTGCGCAAAACATGACAATTTTACTCTCCCCATTTTTCCAACAGTGCGCGGCCGCGTGTTGTGATCATAGAGATGGTTGTGATGCCTAATAACCATAGCAACAAGAGAGAACATGGCGGCTCAAAGACATGAATGTTGACTAAAATATAGACAAAGTTTTGCGTTTTTGTAGAGAAATAAAGTAAATTTGTCAAAACGAGCAGCCATATTATACATTTAGGATATCTCTCGACTATTTAGATATCTTTTCAAAATGGATGATGTACGGATTGAATGGTTAAGAAATGAAGTTTACCTGGCTTTGGAAATTGCTGACACTGAGGTGTTTGAGGATTTACTGAACCGAGATGATGGTGTAAACGAAAGTTTGATACAGAAATTTTTGAACGAGACGCCTGCGGAGGGAACGGCATTGATTTTACACTCACAAGTCGTCGAGGAAGAGGAGGAAGTCGAGATTGAGATAGGTAAAACCATAAAAGTATAAAACGATCAAAGATATAATTTGTACATATTTTGTCACGAGAGATACATCTAATGCCCTTAATCTGTGGTTTTGGTGTTTGTAAAGGCACCTTAAAATCTCAAGTCACAAATATCCCATGGGTGAATGATAGAAATGAAACATATAATACTAATAATGCAGTAGGTCATGCTGCTGTGACAGTGTGCATGAAAGATTGAAAAGACTAAAAATCTGCCTCTTAAAGTGTTCAAGTTTTTCTTATGCATTATATCTATCTTTGTCAACCCCCTATCAACATATCATTTTTGCTCCCCAAAGGAAATGGTTGTTTTAATATATATCTCTAATCTCTGTTGTACGCAATTGAATATATCAAGTTATTCCATGTATTCCGGTGATTAGTTTAATTTATTTTCTTGATACGAAATGTAGTTAGTAGTGTAGTCATTTGATAGATAGGCTCTTTCTATCTTAAATGTCCAAGCAGACATGTAATATTTACATTTGTATGTTTGAAGTTTTAAGTTTTTACAGAAATTACATTTTTGTAATATAAACATGTAATATATTTGAGTATATAGTCCTTGAACTTCGAACACCATGTGCATGCAAGGAATACTTGCACCTGTATTGCTGTTTTTAAATGTCTAAAAGGAAGCTGACTTTCACTTATTCTGACCAGGAACACTGACAATAATAGAAAACTGTCATTTGTGAAATTGTGTATATAATGACATCAATAAACCCTGGTCATGTACTTAGTTTTGCTTTCATCAAGGTGATTACAGACTTGAACAATTCAAAATCTTGATTGGTGCAGTTAACCCTTCAATTAACACTTGCTGGATTTAACAAACTAGTCTGATAAAAAAGTGATCATTGCTGATTACATGTTCTGACATGTGACAATGCAAATTAAATGTAGATAGGATGTTGCATGCCTATTCCACTTGCGTTCACTTTTCCAGAGAAATTGCAATGTCATCTGTAATTTGAAGTAAATCAATGAAATCTGCACTTTTGGAATCATTGGTTGGCGGTTTAGGCGTACCACCAATGCCTGACCGGCTGACAGGATAGATATATTCATCAATGAAACAACTTTTGTAAATCTTTAAACAATTTTCGCATTTCCTTGCCTTCTCAAAATCACGAACGCCAAGAGGTGTGTGTTGAACGCACCTGACAGAGGTTTCGAACCTTCGGCTACCAGTCTTAAAATCGAGATGTATTTGCAACAAGTGATGTATAGCTGTATTCGCTCGTTTGAGAACGTCCTCATAAAGACGGCATTTCTTGTCTAATGCTTCTATGTGAACAGACTCTTTGCCGATTTCTGGTGCAAAACTTCCAAGCTTTTCTGTCGAGACGTGCCGAGCAATCACATCATATATTTTCTCAAGTGGCAATTCATTTCGCACAGCATAGGGAAGTAAACGCATCGTATTTTCCGGTTTAAGACGCCCAGCCTCTTTCATACATTGCTTTATGATGTTGATGGCCCCGTATTTGTCGGCAAGTTGAAGTATTTCGAAGACATTTTCATCCGTGATGGATACACTGCCTTTGACTTCGTCAAGCATGTTGGACGGATACAACAGTATGAGAAATTGCAACATTGCTTTGTGGTTCATGTCGTCTTTTAACTCGATCTTGTCTTGTGTTGCATCCTTGAAATTACCGTTAAACATCGCATGAAATACCGGAGACTGCAATGATAGAATGGAGCGATGAACATGGAATTCCTCGCCGTCTACAAGTAGTACTACGTCGCTGTTGTTCCATGATTTTGAGAAAACGTTGTCGTTGAAAGCGTCCACAGATGTAGTAGCTTGGACCTGCTTGTCATCCGTTGTCGTGTTTGAGTTCGACTCCATTTCTTCAATTTCTTCTACGGCAAAGTCGTTGTCTGGTTTTGAAAAGGCAATTATGTCAAAATTATCTGTTAAAACGACACTACATAAGTCTATATGATTGTTTAACGCTATAATGGCTTGCTTCAGTTTTAAGGTGATAACCTGGACGTTTCTGTCTTGTTTCCCGCTGTGTGTTCGCTTGCGGAAACCGATTAATTCAGGCACTTTAAATTTATCTTTCTTTCGATGCATAATAACAATGTCAATGATATAAGCGTTTGTGAATTAAATTGTTTTTTAAAGGCATACAGTGGTGTGTGTCAAATTAGATCATTTTGAAGCCGTTCTAGCTCTTAAAAGCCTCTTAAGCGAGGCGCACACGACACGATTTTTGTCGTACGATTTAAGTCGGTTGACTAAAATAACTTAGCATCAAATGTGGTATAACAACTGCCTAAAATAGACAAAACACTTCTCGACGTTTCGACCTGAGGGCCTTCGTCAGAGGATTAACTCTTCTGACGAAGGCCCTCTGGTCGAAACGTCGAAAAGTGTTTTGTCTATTTTATAGGCAGTTGTAATACCACATTTTATGCTAAGTTGTTTGAGGACGCTGCCACGCTGCTCCCTGGTTATATTGGAACTATATCGAAACAGTTTGATATTTGCCGATTAAAATAGCTGACTTAAATCATACGACAAAAATCGCATCATATGCGCCTGGCTTAATGAAAAAATTGTACCCGATTGCAAAATGCAATTCGAAACTACCATTATAAACTGGAAGTTGAATTCTAGCAGCGAAAGGGGGCATTTACATCAATCTCATGCAGTTTTATCCCTATACTAAACCTAAAATTGAACATAGTGTGAACAAATGAAATTGGCCGTTAAAAATTTAATCTGTACCAATAAATTTTCGCCGTACTGCAAATATGCGCGTGGGTATAAAGGCCTGGTAATATAATACGTTCAAGGTAAACCGGGCTAGCTCGGCAGTGCCGGGATCTCGCCTCACATATTATTTCACTATAATTGTAAAATTACATTCATATTCAACCGGACCAGCCCGACTTTGGCGAGATCCTGCCTGAACGAAGTAATATCTCGCCTTTAACGGGCTCATATGAAAACATTAAGCGGGCCAGCCCGGCATAAAACGGGCTGGTCTATGCACGGCAGAGCATCGTTAAGGGGGGGGGTGGGGGTGGGGATGCTAATATTCATATATTCACGTTCAGCATTATTAGTTCCTTTTGAAATCGATTGTTTTTACGGTCTGCTAACATGAATATATGAATATTAGCATCCCCTCCCACACTTAACGATGCTTTGCCGTGCTTGTGGTCCGTCTCATATGAACAGGCCCCAAAAAAGGCTTTATATAACTAGACTGAGACAATGACAACTGACAAGCAGAGCTAAAAAGTTTTATTGTCATCGTTACAAATATGTTATTTCTTATGATATAGCCTTGATGAAATCCTGTATGGCATTACAGTATAACGTTTCGAATCAACTGTTTAACTGACTTGAGATGAAAATTTTTAGTGTTTAATTTTTAAGTGAGTTTGCAATGTCATCTGTGATTTGAAGTAAATCCAAAAAGTCCACACTGAGAGACTCTGTAGTACTAGTTGGACAACCAGAAAGATTGGGGCGGGCAAATTGGTCTATAAAAAACCTCTTGTAAACGTCTAAACAATTTTTGCAATTTCTGGCTCTCCTAAAATCAAGGTCAAGAGCTCCGTGTCGGGCGCAATTTACAGGGCCGAAGATTGAAAGATTTTTAGCGTTATAACTAACACATTTTTGCAACAAGTGATGTATCATTGTATTTGCTCGCTCTGCAACGTCTTCGTAGAAACAGCATTTCTTGATCAAAGCGTCGATGTAAACTGATTCTTTGTCGAACTCATTGCCGATTTCTGATGCGAAGCTGGTTAGTTTTGTTGTGGAGACGTGTCGAATAATCGCATCATATATTTTCTCAAGTGGCATTTTATTTCGCTCAGCATAGGGAAGTAAACGCATCGTATTTTCCGGTTTAAGACGCCCAGCTTCTTTCATACATTGCTTTATGATGTTGATGGCCCCGTATTTGTCGGCAAGTTGAAGTATTTCGAAGACATTTTCATCCGTGATGGATACACTGCCTTTGACTTCGTCTAGCATGTTGGACGGATACAACAACTTGAGGAATTGCAACATTGCTTTCTGGTTTGTATCTTCTTTCAACTCGATCTTGTCTTGTGTTGCATCCTTGAAATTGCCGTTAAACATCGCTTTAAACACCCGGGATTGCAATGATAGAATGGAGCGATGAACATGGAAATCTTTGCCTTCGACAACTAACACGACGTCGCTGTCCTCCCACGGTTTTGAGAAAACGTTGTCGTTGTCCACACATGTTTCTGGGTTTTTCGGTTCTGGGTTATTTGAGTGTGACTGCATTTTTTCAAGTCGGCAGAGTCTTTGACAGGTTCGGAAAAAGCAATTATGTTAAAATTATCTGTAAAAAGCGACACTATATGTTGAACACGAATCACTTGCACAGTTTTAAGGTTTTAATAACCTCAACGATGATATACAAAAATAGTTGCGCAACTCACTTCAGCAAAGCTTAAATTTACTACTCTGAATAGTGTTTCGTAACCCGCTTTCGGTCGCCAAACTGATGAACGCACGAACTCTGAATTCACCCTTCGATACACAATACCAATAACGACAAGTACTTAGAAATCAATTCGTTTTTGTACTGCAGTAGTTCAATCGAAGTCGCGGTGTTAGCTCTTATGAAAATAATCGTATCCGATTTCAAAATGCGACTATGCAGTTAATATAGTTATTGGTTCACGCCACTCACGCGTGTACAACAAACAGGGAAAACCTTTTATCATTGGTTGCTTTCGAAATTAAGCCGGAAGTAAAATTCCAACTAATTCACCTGAAATGGCGGGAAAAGACTGGGCATAGTTGTAAATACGAAATAAATCCACCCTCAATCTCGGTTAAAAAACTTGATATCTCTTGAAATATACTTTATTTCTGTTTCAAATTTATGTCGGAGCTATAGTTCTTATAACTAAACATATTCTCAAAATTTCGACTGGTTTCATAATTAATAATAAAAGATATAATCGATTAAATACTTCCGAATGGATTTCTATTTCGACAAACTTTCTGAGCGCTGATTTGTTAAATCATGAGCACGTGATAACCTGGATATATAGTATAGAAATACCGCAAATAAATACACAGTTAAAACTGATAGCAAAAAAAATGTATTTTACCGCCAATAAATATGAAAATAAACCGTAACACTGGGACGAAGTTCCGGAGCAAGACCTGGAACCTTGTTTGCGTGTTGTGGCTTATTGACATTTATTGTTTGAAATATAAAATTCCCTTTCATGTGTGTTTTGAAGATAGATGTTCAGCATTTTTCCACATGGCCCGAACTTAAAATTCAATTCATTAAAGATGGTTGTAAATCGAATAAGATAAAGCTGTGAAGTAATTATTGAAAGCGTCTATATTCTTGTGCATGTTCTTCAGCCCCAAGTGTGAGCAGCCTAGGCATATTAAAAACATTAGCACTATCGTGTTTCAGAGCCAGAAATTCCCGTTATTCCCGAGGGAAGTGAACTGTTGAATGACGAGGATGGTTTTGTCAATGATCTCGGAGAACCTCGTGTTAATGGTACCATGCAGCCAGATGAGGTGTTGGTAAATGGTGATGTGAATGCTGCTGGTGGTGAGGTGAATCCTGAGACTGGTGAACTTATACAAGATGAAAAGCCAGCTGATGAAAATGAAGAAGACGTAACGAAGTTTAAATTCACACCAGTTACAGTAAGTGCATAGTGGTTAATAAAGGGTACTTGTATGTTAATGGTGGTTAATAAAGGGTACTTGTATGTTAATGGTGGTTAATGAAGAGTACTTGTATGTTAATGGTGGTTAATGAAGAGTACTTGTATGTTAATGGTGGTTAATGAAGGGTACTTGTATGTTAATGGTGGTTAATGAAGGGTACTTGTATGTTAATGGTGGTTAATGAAGAGTACTTGTATGTTAATGGTGGTTAATGAAGAGTACTTGTATGTTAATGGTGGTTAATGAAGAGTACTTGTATGTTAATGGTGGTTAATGAAGGGTACTTGTAAGTTAATGGTGGTTTAATGAAGAGTACTTGTATGTTAATGGTGGTTAATGAAGAGTACTTGTATGTTAATGGTGGTTAATGAAGAGTACTTGTATGTTAATGGTGGTTAATGAAGGGTACTTGTATGTTAATGGTGGTTAATAAAGAGTACTTGTATGTTAATTGTGGTTAATAAAGGGTACTTGTATGTTAATGGTTGTTAATAAAGGGTACGTGTATGTAGAAAGTGAAGCCTGCTGCCTGATATATGCCGATAACATCTGGTGCCTGGTTGGATAACTTTACTTTCAAACTTTGGTCTTCCATATCTAGAATAGTTAGTCTCGTGGTCAGGGTCGAAACTAGATGCCAAATTGTGGAGGGGGAGGGTTGGGCGGCGTCCTGTATTTAGAGTTGTCGTCCTCTTGATCTTAATCCAGTTAAGATTAAGATACTATATTATAACAACCCACGGGGATGCATGTAGATAGAGGTGGGTCCTCTTGACGAAGGTAAAGTCGAACTCTGCCGTAGGCCTAGCTGCTTTTAGAAATGATCGAAAAAAAGAAATCCTTGTTGGCGGGTCAAAAATTACTTCATAAACACTTTCAATGATTGGCATTATGCAGTTAACTCATTACGCGTTAAAGAATTATGAAAGGGGGGAACCTCCTTTCCCCAAGTGGGCATTGACTTTTCACTATGGGGGGGGGGGGCTTTTTAAAGGGAGACACTCCATCACCACGATTCCTGACATTCACTTTTCTTCTTCAGAAAATTGTGGTTCAGAAAGTCTACCGTACGGTGCTGTTTGCAAGTTGCGCTGCGATCCCTCTTGTCGCGGACGAAACAAATGCAATCTATTTCCAACGTACGACGGGTGGCCCCGTCCCCCTACCCTCGTCAATCGACGAGGCCAACGAGGTGATGCCCAACCTCTTCGAATTTGGCTCCCTCAACGAGAACGCCACGCTGCAAATGTTAGACCAGGTCTTGCATAACGTGTACTTACCTTTGCTCTCCTACTGTGGGACAAGGTCAGAGCCCGGGGCGGGAGCCGACTCCGCCTCTACCGCCGAGGAAACCCCTCGCACCGGCTCGGTGGGGGAGGCCTCCAAAGGGAGGGTGGTGATCCGCGATGAATTTTTAATAAACTTGCAGAAATTTGCAAATCACATCGATAGGACGATGCAGCAGTTAGCCGGCGATATCCGACTGAGAATGCCCGATGTCGTTTTGGGCGATGATATTTCGGAGATAGCGCGTAATCCAGAAACCATTGCGAGCTTGGAAGAGACTTTACACGACTGGGAGGTTACCATGGCATCCGCTTTGGAACATCAATTAAACCATACGCCCCAGGGCAACGGTACCTTAGCGGAAATGGACTTTTGGCGGGAAAGAAACGCCACACTCAGCGCTCTGGTAGAGCAGCTGAAAAGACCTTTGGTCGAAAAAGTCATCGCCATTCTTGCGCATGCGGGTAGCGATAGCTTGTCAACCTTCGAATACCATAAAAACGAGTTGACGAAATACTATGTCGAGGCAAAAGACAATGTGAGATTCTTGCTCACGTTGGAAAGGCACTTCAAGAACCTTGCTCACGGAGCGAGCTTTAAGATAATCCTGGAGACGATACCGTCGTTGATGAACGCTTTGAGGATGGTCTGGATTATATCAAGACATTATAATAGGGACGAGAGGATGGTGCCTTTGATGGAAAGAATTGCATGGGAGCTGGCTGAAAGAGTTGCGAAAGTCGTTAATATCAGAACCATTTTGAAGTAAGCTGTGTTTATTATATGCACTCAACTAAACTAGAAACCTAGAGTAAACTGACTTTATTTATGCTGGATGGCTCTATCAGTTTAAACTGTTCTTCCTAGAGATCCAGTAAGGATCATCTCTTATTGATCCAGTGTTACTACAGGAGGAAACATAAACTAAACTAACTTTATTTATACTGGATAACTTTATCAGTTCTAAATTGTTCTTCCTAGCGGTCCAGTACGGATCATCTCTTATTCATCCAGTGTTACTACAGGAGGAAACCTAAACTAAACTAACTTTATTTATACTGGATAGTTCTATCAGTTCTAAACTGTTCTTCCTAGAGGTCCAGTAAGGATCATCTCTTATTGATCCAGTGTTACTACAGGAGGAAACCTAAACTAAACTAACTTTATATTTATACTGGATAGCTCTATCAGTTCTAAACTGTTCTTCCTAGAGGTCCAGTAAGGATCATCTCTTATTGATCCAGTGTTACTACAGGAGGAAACCTAAACTAAACTAACTTTATTTATACTGGATAGCTTTATCAGTTCTAAACTGTTCTTCCTAGAGGTCCAGTACGGATCATCTCTTATTGATCCAGTTTTACTACAGGAGGAAATCTAAACTAAACTAACTTTATATTTATACTGTTTCTAAACTGTTCTTCCTTAAGGCCCATTTACACTACGCGATTTGTCGTATACGATTCGTATCCTGGCGTATGTGAACGTATAAACACACGTACAAACGTGACACTTTAAATTCCAACCTGAACAATATGAATGAAGATTGTGGCATAGGCACTCTTTTGCATCCGTCAGAATGATAATTGCATACAACTTATCGTGTAGTCTAAATAGGCCTTTAGAGGTTAACTAAGGGTTATTCATTAAATTATGCATTCTTTGAACAGAGAATCACCAGCCACGATCAAATTAAAGACGTCTGAGGCAAAGCGAACTCTGATTCAGTGGAAAGAAACTTACTTTGATACTCGGGCGAAGATTGAGGCCTCGGGTCGAGATGCGCGCTGGGAATTCGACAGAAAACGTCTGTTTGAAAGGACAGACTACATGGCGACGATATGTGAAGACATACATGAAGTAGCGCAGGTTAGCTGCAGTGCTTTGGGATGTTATGGGGGTATTATGGGATGCACAGAACAAGAGTTTAGTGAATCTTAAGTACGCAAATTTGATCCTTAAGATTAGATTAGGATTAGATTAGATTCAGGATTTGGCCGTTTTTGCTTTTAGTTTTAGTATGGCATCTTTTCTGGGGTTTAGGTTTTGGAAGAGTTTTACAATATTTTCGGTCCCGAGCTGAAGGCGGTGACTGGCGATCCGAAGCGAATCGAGGATGTCGTGAAACGGGTCGATGGTTTGGTAAAGCCTTTGGAAAACGTGAGTGATTTTCATTGTGGAGTAATTTAAACGCCTGGGGCAGGTTGTATGAAAGCCGGATAGCGCTATCCACCGGATAGTGGATTTTTCAATCACTCTAAGATCGCCTGTTGTTGGCTGAAACTTTGATTAAATCTTATTATTCCTAAATTGAGGATCCTCTTTAATAATTGTTGCTTCCAAAGATAAAATTTTATTGCTTTTCAAGCATTTTTAGGAAGGTTGAAAAAATCACAATCTTGAGTCGCTTATCCACTGGATAGTAGTTTTTTCAATCGCTCTGTAATTTCTTGTTGTTCGCTATAGCTTTGAATAAACCTTAGTATTCCCAAATTAGGAATCCTCTTTAATAACTGTTAGCTCCAAATCTATAATTTCATTACTAAGGTATGCTTACAGGGGTTGAACAATCACTATTCGGTGGATAGTGTTATCCGGCTTTCGTACAACCGGCCCTTGTATTCAAAAAAACAAACTGACAATCGTTAAATGTGACATGTAAATCACGTTTTTACTGATCAATGAGATCTTTAAAATTACTTCGCATTTTTTCAGGTGAGTTTTGATCCGTTCAGTATCCGTCACGCGACCAGCTGGCGTAGCGTGATGGAGCGTTTCCGTCGCGAGGTGGGTGCAATCGAGAACGAGGCGAAACATTTCATCGACGACTCGTTTCAAAGTCTGCGCTCTGCCGAAGGAGCGTTCGACATGTTGCAGAATTTCAAGCACATTCGCTCCCGCGACGCGATCAACTCGCAAATGATGAGGAAGTTCAATGATATTTTACTGCAGTTTGGAAAGGAGGTGAGTAAACGCCTTTTCAAATGAGTTACTAGCGAGGTTCAGCCATTGAACTGCAGGTAAACTGGAACGATAACTCATGACAAACATACTTATTCAACTTGAAGCCGAAATAGTTTTTCGGAGTTTTGAGAAGAAATGCTTGACGCCAGACGTTGGGCTGTGTGTCAAGTTAAAGCTATTAAAAAGTTATTTTCGCGTGGAATTTTCAAGACTTAAACTACAAAGGAAATATTTAAAAAAAGCAAAAACAATTACCAACCGGCAAAAAACCGGGAAATTTTCAAATAATTTTTAGATATTTCCCTTTAAGCTAAAGTCTCGAAATTTCTACACGAAATATAACTTTTTAATAGCTTTAATTTCATGTACGGCTCAACATTTTGCGTCAGGAATTTCAGCTCATAACTCAGAAAAAGTAAAAAGCACTGGCTTAAATTCCCCCCTCCCCCCTGAGTTATCGTTCCAGTTTGTTTACAGTCCAATGGGTTCAGCTTCGACAACCACTCCCATTACCATCTTCTTTAGGTGGATGTTATTTATGCGCTGTTTAAAGCTGGTCACGTGGCACCTCCCGTGTACAAGAATCAACCGCCTGTCGCCGGCGCTATTGGCTGGGAGCGATCGCTGTTCTACAGGATTAAACATACCATCTTAAGATTCCAGGAAATCGAGGATATGCTGAACAGCGATCAAGGAAAACTGGTGAGTATTGTTGTTTAGCTCTGCTTAAGTGAAAGTATGCATGGGACACTCGAACAATATGGGCACCTCTCTAATAGAGACACCTGTCTAATACAGAGTCTTCCAAACACCTCCCTAATACAGACACCTCTCCAATACAGACATCTCTCTAATACAGACACCTCTCTCTAATACAGACACCTCTCTTATACAGATATCTCTCTCTAATACAGACACCTCTCTAATACAGACACCTCTCTAATACAGACACCTCTCTAATGCAGACATCTCTTTAATACAGACACCTCTCTAATACAGACACCTCTCTAATGCAGACATCTCTCTAATACAGACACCTCTCTAATGCAGACATCTCTCTAGTACTGACATCTCCCTAATACAGACACCTCTCTAATGCAGACCCCTCTCTAATTCAGACACCTCCCTAATGCAGACATCTCCCTAATACCGACATCTCTCTAATACAGACAACTCTCTAATGCAGACACCTCCCTAATACAAACACCCTTCTAATACAGACAGCTTTCTAATACAAACATCTCTCTGACCTAGGTCAGCAAGAAGTATCTCTCAGTGGCAAGACTTATGAAACAATATGAAGACAAGAAATTTGAATTATGGCGCGAACAAGTGGAAACACATCTCCTGTCTTACCTCAAGCGAAATCTCTTAACCCGATCGACGACCGGCTCCGCTACGACACGATCCGGTGTTCACACGGTAAAAGACGATGCTAGTGGCGAAGATGACCACAGATCACCTGTGCACAGTAAGTGTGCAGATATGGTTAATATTGGCCTCATTATTTAATACATGATGCGCTATCCAGTGTGTATATATGTATCGGTGCATTCGACTTTCGAGCGATCCCATCGAGTGATAATGATCGTTTTAGTATCATGTCTATTATCTTGTTAGGTTCTCACCTTGATGTCCAGTATGTGGTTGACTTCGCACCCGAGTTGTACGAGATCATCACAGAGACAAAATATATGGAGCAGCTTGGGTTCCATGTGCCTGAACTGGCTCGTAATGTTTCGCTGCAGGTGAGCAGGGATTTTGTACTGGTTTAATAAGAGATGATCCTTACTGGACCTCTAGGAAGAACAGTTTAGAACTGATAGAGTTATCCAGTATAAATAAAGTTAGTTTAGTTTAGGTTTCCTCCTGTAGTAACACTGGATCAATAAGAGATTATCCTTACTGGACCTCTAGGAAGAACAGTTTAGAACTGATAGAGCTATCCAGTATAAATAAAGTTAGTTTAGTTTAGGTCTCCTACTGTAGTAACACTGGATCAATAAGAGATGATCCTTACTGGACCTCTAGGAAGAACAGTTTAGAACTGATAGAGCTATCCAGTATAAATAAAGTTAGTTTAGTTTAGGTCTCCTACTGTAGTAACACTGGATCAATAAGAGATGATCCTTACTGGACCTCTAGGAAGAACAGTTTAGAACTGATGCAATTATCCTGGGTATAAATACAGTTTGCTTAGGACGTATTAAGGATGGCTCTTGCATGTTGGATCTTCATTATAAACATCACTAATAGTTTTCTTTGTTTCCCGATATTTTTAGGAAGAAAAATTTATCAAGCATGTTGATGGCTTGAAGCAAATGCTTTCTCAATACCACGCAATTTTATCAAGCTTGAATCATGCAGAGGTAAGCAATTAAACGTATCAACCTATCTTTTCGCGCCTAGCATTTTTCCTACAGATTGCTATTAGCGAAATGAAACAGTGTGATAACCTCGCACGTATGTAACATTGTATTACGAAACGTCATCAATGTTTGGAATCATTTGTTAAACGGAGCCAAAACGAATTGCCTCGCTGCCCTTCTGCCTGAGATAAATATAGCTGTATGTATACTTTGTAGTTTTATACAACATGACTTGATCTTTCAAGTAAATTGTCAGCGCCTTCGCCATAACAATTTTAACTACTTCTATTTACCGATTTACATGGTACACAATATATTATACAGAGTCCTTCACAATTTCAGCGATATATATAAAATCAATAAAATCCATTGTACTAATCTATTGTACTAATCCATGTACTAATACAATAACAACTGTAGATACAATATATTATAAACATGAACATAATGACGACAAACAACAATAAAACTTGTATTCCTACAATGCAATATTAATGGTATGTATGGCAAATGCTTTATATACAAAAATTATTTAGGGTATACAGTGTATATATACAGTTTATAACTGAGTTTACAACTAAAAAGCTTTTAAAGCTACGATTTAATATATACAAATATGTGCAATTTATACACGTTTCTTTACACTGCACATTACCACAGAAATTAACACTTTTCATATCGTAATAAGGTGGTGTATATATACAATTTATAACTGAGTTAACTAAAGAGCTGAGCTTTCAAAACTACGATTTATATAGTAATATATGCAATTTTTACACGTTTCTCTACTATAAACACACCACAGAAATTAACACTAACGCCTGTATTCAAAAAGCTCACTCACACTCGCACTCATTGAGCACATGTGACATATAAATTTTGTTAATGGTGGTCATTGAGAAAGGTTTTTGTGACTAGATCGAAAGATATAACGTAAATAACTGAAAATCAAGCCCCTATATTCGGCTCAAAATACCGCCATTGAAACGTTATGAGAAGATTAAGATCTTCCACTCAATAAGTTTGAGTGTGAGTGTGAGTGAGCTTCTAGAATACAAGAGTTACTATATCTTTTGTCAAATGCATGTAAACATAAACAAATAAGAATAATTTAACTTCTTCTGCAATGCAAACACGGTTAATTCGACATGTTAACGTTGATATCGTGCAGTTCAGCGTCGACAATAATCATCAGTTCTTGGAAGTTTTTCCTTTGGCAAATGGCGTGTGCTATGCCACAGTCTTCCAGGGCCATTTCTAAGTAAGACTCGTCTCGTATCTGTTCCCAGTTTCTCGTGTTCTGTTGAGCTCTCGCCAGGAGATACTCGCAACGACTGAAGTCCGTCAACGGCCATCCTTGAACCCTGAACAAACGCAACAAATGCAGTAAAAGTCAAAGTCTAGAAATTATATAACTTAGTTCCCCTGTGATCAGATTTCTCTTTCGTCCTATAGTGAATTGCATCTCAAAATCTGTCCCACATGTAGCCGCGTTTATTGGCGAAAATCAGACCCCGTTTCTTTTGATCTTGTTTTCCCGGATAAATTTGAGAAGAATTTCATCTTTATGTCTGGGTAGGTGTACCCCACACCTATTCCTAAACCCCCACCTGTTTAACCCACGGCTTAACCCACAGCATAACCCCCTTACTCCTCAGCACCTATGGCCTATACCAATTCTCAGCCCCTACCTATTTCCTAGCCTTCACCTATACCCTACCACCCGCCTATTCCGTGCCCCTACCTATTCCTTAATATCCACTTATTTCATAGCCCCTGCCATTCTAGAAGCCCTACCTTTCCTTCATTTATACCCTAACCCCCCTCCCTCCCTTGCCCCCGCCTATTCTGCTCTCCGGAAGCAAAACTATAAAGCATCTTATCTTACTTGCTAGACCAGTCCACAATACCAAGCAATCTCTCAGCTTCTTCCATTTCATCCTGTTCAACGTCTTCCGTTCTTGCGATTTCGCTGTCGTTCACGAAATACCCTAAAGACAGCATCGCCAACCTTGTGTGACATCTCTGTTTCAAATCCGCAACGCTTGTCGAGTCTTCCAACACGGAGGCCCTCTTCAGTGCTTCGACGTACCACAGTCTCTCTTGTGGTATCAATTTCGACTTCTCTTTAGGATTCTCGGAAATGAGTCGCTCTGTTGCGCGGCCTTCTTGGTAACAGAACCAAGCGTCCATGACGTCTGCAGGGCACGTTGCCATTTTCTGCATTCCTAGAATTCTTAAACTGTTGCTCGTTTCGTCGTTTCCGAGAAAGTGGCTGACAAGGGATTCCCAGTAAATGTTCTCGATTTCTAGGACAGGATAATTCTCGTGCGCTAAGTGAGAAAACACAACATTAATTCTTCTAGTATTTGTGAAAACGACTATAACTTCTGCATCAGTGTAATTGCCACTTCTATAAAAACCGGAGGGTGCCTTTCCCGAAAACTATGGGTTTTCTACCCCCCCACCATCGGATTTTCCTACTCGCTAAAACTGCGGGTGTCGCATTCCCCATTGCCTCCTCCACAAGACCCAATTAAATCGCAGATACTTCTTTCATCAATTTATTTTGTGGATGCGTGCTGGATGTAATCTCGAAAACACATACGTATCTTACTTGATCTTAAGAGACTTTTGCTTCTTTGAAGGAATTCGTAAGCCTCGTGAAACCGGTGTTCTCTGTACTGACACGCAGCCCGCTGTTGCAAGACGATCACCCCGAGACAGTCGGACTGACTTGCAAGCTCCATCGCGCATTTATCGAAACCGCTCTTGTCGGCGTTGTTGCGAAGGCGCGCCAAACGTTGTCTCCACTGCAAACAAGACTGTTCCAGCTTGCTCACACCTCCCTTGCGACGCGCTATGCCTACCGGGACCTTTGTTGCCTTATCTCTTCGATTTGCAAACCTACAGTGACGATAAACTCGGTTATTGACAGACCACTACTTACGGCATTGTCAGATATAATCAGTGAAAACTACTGGATCACGGTGCTGTGAATACATGAAGCCATTGGCGGCCATGTTGAATGGTCCCATTTAAATCTACTTTCGTCGCTGTGGATATGTCTAAAGGCTATTATCTTCTACACTCCAACTATACTCAAACCTACTGTAGTTAACTCAGCGTTGAAAAATGAGGCGACAAACTATAGGCTATCCACCTCAATCTCGTAACGAGAGCCCGCGATTCTCCACTGAAGGATCGCGGGCTCTGGTTACGAGATTGTATCTACCTGTGTATGTTTGAGGCTGACTTTGTACCCAATCCCTTCGCTTTGTTGTCCTCTGGCTTTGAAATTATGCGCTTTTTCCAAAGCTCGAAAGGAATGAGTTCCGGTTTCCCGTTTACCATTCGATAGCTTTCCGGCCTTTCGGCAAAAACCCCACCGGTACATTGTACCACCGTGACAACGACCACAAAGGTCGACGGGATTTGTTTATATCCACTCTCAACAACCGGTTCGTAGTAAACGTCCCAATGTTTTCCTTTTTGAGGTTTCCCGTTTGGCCAAAGCATTTTACAAATAGCTTTGTCAAATCTATCGGTTATAATCTAAACAAGTAGATAATGTTGTGATGTTAATGCTATCGGACATAGACAACGGGCTCTATTTTGGGCGAGCTCTAATCTATACAAGCGGCTATGGTTCGGGCTGAATTGCTTGCGACACAAAAGATTGCTAGGTTTATAAATTGTACTCTTTCTCTTTCATACCTGTTTCTTTTCGTGGTTGATAAACTCTCCTTCAACGGTCCCGTCGTCTTTAATACCGTAATATATATGCCCTCCTCTGTGGTTGGCAAATGCCGAGACATAGCACGCGAATCGATTGTGTTTACTGGTCATCGCTTCGAGCTTCACCTTCTTAAACTGCTCGGTTTTCGATTCGGGCGAACCGACATTTTCCGCTTTAACGAACTCCCTTCGATGCGAGCCTAGTTTCACCAACTGCTCGCATTCCACAAGCCAAGGTCCTGTTAATATCTTACGGAGGTTATCTAACCGCTCCGTGGGCGAGATCAAATTCACTTGCGTTTCATGCGGCAAGTAGAGGTGGCAATTCACCGTACAGAGCGTTTCCGAACTTGTTATCCGAAAAGCGACCTCCGTGTAGCTCTCGTCTTCTGAGCTGGGTAGTTTTTCAAAGTTTTTACAACTGTCGTAGCCGCCCACAAGCTCTTGAATCCGTTGTTCGACCTTTCTGAGAAGTTTATCGAAGTTAAAGTCGTCTTTCGTGGCCGAACGTAGCTTCAAGATGCCTCCGTTGCTGTTTGAAAACGCACAAGCGGCCTCGATGACCTCGTTCAGTTTTTGTTCACCGAGTTTCTTGTTTTCCTCGATTTTCGTGAAAGGAAAGTCGATTACTACGACGTTTACGGCCATTTGTTTTTGTTATGACACATGACTTATTGCGCAAACCATTTGTACAAACGTATGGAATGAGCTATCGCAGGGGGTTTCCCCTGACGAACAAAAAACAAGTTAATTATTCGTGATATGTTACTGTAATGAAAGTTAATTGTGATTTGGCATGATTTTTGGGTGGGATTTGTACTACTTGTGGGCAGAAAGGCATATCGTGGGTTCATAAGTTGAGCAGTTTGACTGTAATGTGGTAGGATTTAGTTTTGATTAAGCCGATAATGATTACAAATTCAAATTCATTCAATTGAACTCTGGCCTGTGAAATCACGAGATTTGATTCATAAGTTATTCATGATTGGTGTCATATGATATTGGCATGACACGGCAATAAAATACATCCTACGACCATCCCATATTCACGCCTTTAATTATCCTATATGCACGGCTATAACCATCCCCTAACCATCCCGTATTTCCCGGTTCGTTGCTTTGCAGACACAACTTCTCGAGGACCACATCAAGGAATTAAAACGCGTCTTGAAACCCGGCCACAAGCGACTGAACTGGAATTCTCTTGGTATTGGTGATTATATCACCAGATGCGACCAGGTTTGTGAGTTGCTTCATCGCTCGATTCGTTGAGATTCCGCAAATTCCAAACAAAATCGTACGAGATGAATCGTTGCCGAAGCATTTACACCTCCACATGCTGTTCCCGTCAATTTTAGGCTCTGAGCAAATTCGAGTCTTTGGTTAATCAAGTACAGAAAAATGCCAAAGATATCAACAGTCGTTTGGTGCTGTTGGAGCGCACAGTTCTGTTCAAACGATATCATGCCAAGGTTGGATCCTCGTTGCCTGCAAGCAAGGTTGGTACAGAGACGCTTCGAGTCTGCTGAAAGGGATGGGTTGGCTCATGTGGGGGTGACCCGGTGGGGTGTACCCAGGTAGGGTTGATCATGGGTTGACTTAGGTGGAGCTGAGCCGGCAACCTCGTACCCAGGGTCTTTACTCTACTCGTGCTGAGCCGGATGAGGTTGAGCCAGATGGAGTTGATCCAGGTGGGGTCGAGCTGAGAATTACCCTTAAGTGAAGTGGCCATTATTTAAAACAGCAAGACACTCTCAATATATCTTGTATGATTTCCAGGAATTTTTTTTCCAATTTCCAGGAATACTTCGAACACCTGACGCGATGTTTTCAAAAAGAGATCGAGACTTTGGTTCGAAAATATCGCGCGATTGGTCCGTTACTCACGAAGATGGAAGGTCTAGTCGTACACACGAACAGCGGTCGCTCACCCAAATTACACCCGTATTACGCGTACTGGGAATCCCTGATTTACGACGGACTGACGCAGGTGAGTAAACCACAAACTGATTATGGTTGCCCTATATTCCCTATATTCCCTATATTCCCTTCACTACCAGTTGACTGCATGGTTATCGCGACTGCATGCCAGATAAATTCTAAAATGGGATGATCCGGTACACCGAAGGGCAACATCTTGTAAACCGAATGTTCCAGATTTAAAACAAAACCATCGTAAACTTCTAGTCTTGTTTTAAAGCTCAAATATTGGATTTAGGAGATGTTCAACAGTTAAACATTCGCTGCTTTTTCTCAATTTGTTTTAGATGGTCACAAATAATCTTCGTTTATTTCTGAGCAAATTGCAATCGAAACAGCCATTGTTTCAAGTGGAGACCATCCTCTCCGCGCCAGAGATTGTCCTCAATCCATCCGCCGGAGAAATATTCAAAATCACACTGCAAACAGTACGAGATAGCGTTGAAAGGTAGGGTGTGCGACTATTGGCCAACCTTGGGGGGGGGGGGTGATGTTTTGACCTGCGGAATACTTCCAGTGTACCCTTTCACCCCTCCGTTCTGACCTTTCGGTGCGAAATTGTTACCACATTCAGGCCAAAAATGGTAACAATATCCGTTTGTAGTAAAAAGGTATACAAATTTGCAAACTTTGCCAGGCTATATTTTCTGCATTTTACATCATTTCGCAACCAAACTTTGCGTTTCTACCACTTTCAGTACGCTCTTTTTAGCTGTGGCGATTTGATTGCATTTCCCGCATGGACAAAAGTAGTTTATAATGCAAAAGGTCTATTCACTCTATTGCATCGTGTAACGCGGTCTTTATTTCTCGTGACGTTTTAGTACGAAGCAGTTTGTTCGCTGGATGCATGGGACGTGTGTGGAGACTCCTCCACAACACGCTGAGGGCGAGGACGAACCGGTTTTGTTCAGTTTTTTCTCCGACATCGCGCATAACTCGACGATCATCGAACTGGTTCAAAACATTTCCAAGACCGTTCAGACAACGCTGGGCTTGCTAAATAAGTTTCTCAGCCGATGGAAGCGCTACAGAGTTCTGTGGAAATTGGACAAGGTTTGTTGGATTAGACAAATTTATACTGTGGAACTGTGCCATCCATTGAAGCTGTTTTTTTTCAAAATGTTTTCTGGCCTACCTACAAGTTGTGACAAAAATATCAGTCAGGTTTACACAGTGTGTATAATATACACTTAATGTATGATCCCGAGGGAAATAGTGAGTTTTGTTTTCCCAAGAGTCTGAATGTTTCCCGAGACGAAGTCGAGGGAAACATTGAGACTCGAGGGAAAACAAAACTCACTATTTCTTGAGGTGTAGCGAACATTAAGTGTTTTGTTATATAGGAACAAAAACATACATGTTACACGGCAATTTCATTTCAAAAAAACTTTGTTGTGACAATATGCGGGCAACAATTTTTCACTTGTTTCCCTGGCGGGAAACATTGCATTTATTTAAAGTCATGTGACTACGAATGAACCAATCACATTTAAAATACACAGCACCTATATAACAATGTTTATTCTTTTCAATTGGGGCTCCAGGCGCCGGTTGTATCAAGCCCGTTTGCTTAAATGGTGGATAAGTCAAAATTAATGAGTCAACTTGAATATTATGCACTTAATATGTAGCTGTAAACGTTATCGTTGTATTAAGGTTAAAAACATTTAGTTTGCTTGTTGAATAAAACGATAGACTTGCTTTCTATTTTGAATTTATCCTCCGTTTAAACTAAACGGGCATCATACAACTGCCCCAGAAGTTCATGAATTTTTCATACATTTGTCACAAGCTACATTTGTCTCTCAGATTAGCTGAAGTATCTAGTTCACGAGAGAAAAGATATTCTTCGTGTGTGCTATTGTAAGAAGAGGTTTATATATTTTTCGGTTTTTAGGCCACCATGGTTGAGAAGTTTGCTGCTAAAGAGCCCTCTTGTATCCAATACGATGAGAAACTACAGTTTTATTCAAACTTAGCGAACGAGGTAGGCACTGAAGATAATATTCTGCATCGTTGAATTATTTTTACACGCTTCAGTGATATAAATTATCAATTGTCCTCCTTTTAGGTGGTAAATCAGCCGATGTCGAAGGATATCGATTTTGTGCGCCTGCAGTTAGAACCGCTAGCGGTCACCGTTCAGGCAAACGCGCGCGCCTGGGTGAAAGAACTGGGGCGACTCCTCAACGAATCTGCGAAACAAAATCTGATGTCTTTGAAAATGGAAATGGAGGTATACGCATGCGCTGTCTTCCCCTGGCTATGTTTAGGTTCCCAATTAGGGACAAATATTGATCACTGTTTTTCATATAGTTGTCCCAGACTCCCAGATCTCTGTAAAGCATGTTTTTGAAAAAATCCAAATACCTTTACCATTGTCCCTGTAACGCTGAATTACCGCTGAACATTGTTACTGTGTGTAGAATTTATCAAACGACTTAAAACGAGCGCCAGACACATTGGAAGATTTGAAGTTTGTGCTGAGAGTTATCGCCAGCATCAGAGATATGTCTCTGGATGTTGAACTAAGAATCAAAGATATTGTTGAAAGATACAGAACGCTACTGGTCTATGAGATTCAGGTATGCCTTTGATGAAAATATTAGTTTGATTGACGGATATAATTATCTGATATTAATCTATCGATTGGGTATCGATAAACCTAATCAGTGACCTGTTTCTTCATTATCTGTTAGGTGATTATTTATCTCTGATAATCTGCTCATCTTTATAACTCGGGGATCTTTTGTTTCAGGTTCCAGAAGCCGAACTTGAGCTATCGAACTCTATCTCTCAAATGTGGGAAGATCTGTTTCTGCAGTCGAAGTGGGTCGATGCCAGCTTGGTTTCAGTCAAGATGAAATTCACTGAGGTATAATACACTTGGCTCTAAAACCCTGCATGCGAGACTGCCATTTTATGTTAATCTTACTTCAGAGAACAAGAAGAATTTCACTGTCAATACGAGTACAATTGATCCTTAAATTTTTATTTGTGCTTTTCAGATCACTCAAGACCAAGTGACAGTTTTTGCTTCAGATCTCACCCAGCTACAAGAAAAGTTTATCGAGTGCGGGCCAAGCTCTGTTGGGAGCGATTTAGACGCAGGTGAGAGATATTTCTCTTGTATTTTTCTCCCTTTGTGATTTCAATTTCTGCGGCCATGATCATTCCGCCTTCTTTCCATTTTTTTGCCGGTTATACAAAAGTCACTTTTACTACCAATTTCGCTGTTAAATTGTTGCTAACATCATGCACATTCCCCGATTGTTATTTTCTAGTTCTCGCGCTGTAGTTAATTTTATAAAAACTCTTTGATACAACCGTTCCCAGGTGTTGAGTTGTTGAAGCAATTCAAAGACGAATACATGAAGTTTGAAAAAGAACGGCAAGAGCTTGCTAATGCTGAGAAACTTTTTGGCATTCCTATCACGTCTTATCCGGTATTGATGAGCATGGAACAGGAGCTCAAAGGATTGGAGCAAATCTTCTCCATTTACGAACGGCAGAAGGTGAGGATGGATATTATGGTTCGAGGATGTACAAGGATCTGGTGATCTTGAGACAAAATTAAAATAAGTAGCTTACGAAAAGATAGAGAGATTTGTTAGAGAGAGATGAGCCTTTTATAGATGGAGGGAATGGAGGGGGGTTATTAGAGACTATGAGAATCTTCTTTGAAGTTTTGCATGGTGTTGTTAAATATAGAAGAATTAAAACTTGCATGCTTAGTTTCTCTATTAGAACTTTTCTCTCTTCTTATTTTAACCGTTTATAAATTGACTTTGTTGCGTGATGTGCTTGCGCACATAGTTTGTTTGTAATTAAACTTTTCTCTGACGATGGCCCGAGCTCACGGGCCGAAAGCTTAGAAATAAATAAATTACATGGTGTGAATCACAAGCAATTAACAACTATATGAGAATCTTGTTGGAGATGAGAGGTTTTTTGCAGTGGGTGAGGGGTCGGCTAATGAAAGGTTGGGAGAAACCTTTTTAAGAGAAACGAGGAGGGCTTATTGGTGCATGAGGGAAGTGCTTTTTAAAGATGGAGGGAGTCTCGTAGGAGAGTGGGGCTTATTTGAGAGAGAGAAGTTTTTAGATAGGGTGGGGCTTTTTAGAGAATGTTGTGTTTATTAGGGACGAGGAGAATGATGTTAGAGAGGAGAGCTTATTTGAGACTTACTAAGAGTTTTATTAAGCTGCGACTCATTTGGGGGCGTACTCATTAGTGACCGGGAGAATTGAGAAAGGAGTCTTATTAAAGAGGGGGGGGGGGGTATTAGAACATAATACATAAAGGTAACTCTGAAGTTCTATTTTATTTGACCCTCTTTCGCAGGCGGCACGTGATGAATGGTCTAACACCTTGTGGGCCAACCTCGATGTGAACGTGCTATCAGACGGTATCGATGGCTTTACCAAAGAATTGAAAAGACTTCCTCGTCAGGTCAAGGCGCTGCCGATTTGTCATGTTTTGGAGGAAAAAATGAAGGAATTCAAGGAGTCAATACCACTGTTTTCAGACCTCAAAAATGAAGCTTTGAGAGAAAGGTAATCGCCGTATAGTAACATTGGTACGACTAGATCCGTTTAAATCCGACAGAGGTACCCAGTATCAAAAGAGTTGCCTTTGTCATATTGTAATATATGTCAAGTTTCTGAAGACTGTATCTCTGTAATCGATTTATAGTGTCTTTCAGTACCATTTCGTGTCGTAGAGTTTAGATTGTTTCACTTGAATCTAAACTTTGTCTTTGTGTTTAGGCATTGGAAGAAATTGATGGAGCTGACTGGTATGAAATTCGACCTGAATCCTGAGACGTTCACGCTTCAAAATATGTTTGCGATGGAACTGCATCGCTTTAGTGAAGTCATCGCCGACATCACTGGAAGCGCTACGAAAGAATTGAGTATTGAGAAAGGTATAATCATAATGACATGAAGTATTTCCGAGATGTCCGTATTAGGGAGCTGTTTGTTTTAGAGATGTCTGCATTAGAGAGCTGTCTGTATTAGAGAGTTATCTTTATTAAAGAGGTGTCTGAATTAGAGATGGGTCTGTGTTAGAAAGGTGTCTGTATTATTAAAGAGATGTCTGTACTATTCAGTATTAGGGAGGTGACTGTAATAGAGATGTTTGCATTAGAGAGCTGTCCTTGTTAAAAAGTGTCTGTAGAAGAGAGGTACCCGTATTAGGGTAGTGAATTTATTAGAAATAGGTCTGTATTAGAGAGGTACCCGTATTAGGGTAGTGACTGTATTAGAAATATGTCTGTATTAGAGAGGTACCCGTATCAGGGTAGTCACTGTATTAGAAATATGTCTGTATTAGAGAGGTGTCTACATTACAAAGATGGTTGTAATGAAGAGATGTCTGTATTAGAGAATCAGATAGCTGCCCTCTTAGAGAGGTTTTCATGCTAGGGAGGTGTTCATATTAGGGAGGTGACTATATCAGTTTTAAGAAGGGGTGTCTGGATGTACGAAGTGTGCGGATTACTGTTGGTAGATGTTTGTACTACAGGGTGCCTTTTTAGAGATATGTTTCTTCGTATTGATGAAGTGTTTTAGAGGGATGTGTTTGAGTGTAGTCCTTTGATTATTTTGTTCAGGAATCAAAGAAGTGTCCGAAATTTGGGGTAACATGAAGTTTACCGTCTCAAAGTACATGAAAGGCACGCAGGAACGAGGCTTTATTATCGGAGCCGTCGATGAGATCGTACAGATACTGGATGATAATGCAATGAATCTCCAGAGTATGTCAGCATCGCGATTCGTTGGACCGTTCTTGGAGACTGTGAACAAGTGGGAGAAGAGTTTATCACACATCGGGGAGGTCGTTGAGGTAGGAAAGCGTTTTACCATCTCGGTCTGTGAGGAATCGAAATGGTTTTTCTTGGCCTATTTTTTTATCGAGGATAAAAGATTCGTACTCAAGTTTCACTACTTCGCAGGTGTGGATGGTGGTTCAGCGAAAATGGATGTATTTGGAGAGTATTTTTATCGGTGGTGACATCAGATCACAGTTGCCGGAGGAGGCGAGAAAATTTGACGAGATCGATAAGACCTTCAAAAAGGTGCGTTGATGAACAAACCACCACACGGAAATATATCAGTTCATTGCATTGCTTTCGTTATAAATGAACAATAAAAGGCGGCATTTGCTGTCGATGAGAGTTACAACTCTCGTAGGTCATCCAATCCAATCAATTACAGTCAATATAACGTTCTCTTTTGACTCTGAGAAAGCTCAGGAAAGGGTTTCTTTAGGCTAAATAAACATCTGTTACAGTACTGTTTGATCTTGGAAGGTTTTCAAAGAAGTAAATTTGACTAAGCTCTGCAAGGCTGTACAACCCCCCTCCCTCCCTACCCCCCCCCCTTATAAAAAAACAGGCTTGTTGAATTGAGGTTTTTGAGTAATGTTTACAGTCCTGTGAACTTTGAGGCATATTGTTTCTCTGTATCTACATAGTTGAATCACTCTTGTTTGTCCACCTGCCATTAACTACCTTCCTTTTTACCCAGATCATGACTGAAACGGCGAAGAACTCGAAAGTATTGGACTCATGTCACGCGGCTGGGAGACTGGAAACGATGCAAAGTCTTGTCAGTGGTTTGGAGAAATGTCAGAAGAGTCTGAACGATTATCTCGACTCTAAGAGAAATGCTTTTCCGAGATTTTTCTTCATCTCCGACGACGAACTCTTGTCGATTCTTGGAAGTCACGACCCCACATGTGTGCAGGAACATATGATTAAGGTCAGTGGATGAGTTCAACATTTTTCCTGTGCGATGAAGGCAGTGGTGAAGTGATTATGCTAACACGACTGGATCAATAAGAGATGATCCTTACTGGACCTCTAGGAAGAACAGTTTAGAACTGATAGAGCTATCCAGTATAAATAAAGTTAGTTTAGTTTAGGTTTCCTCCTGTAGTAACACTTGATCAATAATGATCCTTACTGGATCTCTAGGAAGAACAGTTTAGAACTGATAGAGCTATCCAGTATAAATAAAGTTAATTTAGTTTAGTTTGGATTTCCCCCTGTCATATGAATGGTCCAATTGATGATCTTTACTGGTCCTCTAGGATGAACATACATGTCTTCTTTTAATCTCTCTTCCCCTTAAACTAATGTTCTCGCTCAGATGTTCGACAATATCTCCAGTCTACGGTTCCAAGAGGGTTCATCGAACGAGACCCTCGCCTCAGCGATGATATCAAGTGAAGGCGAGGTGATGGAGTTCAGACAAGCGGTTGCGACAGAGGGCAGAGTCGAGGACTGGATGACTAACGTTTTGAATGAAATGAGGAGAACAAACAGACTCATTACCAAGGAAGCCATCTACAAATATTGCGACGAAATTGAAAGGTTTGGAGATATTCTACAGCTAACGTAATACGAGTAAAAAATTGCTGAACATTATCCTGCAATATCTTCTCTCAGTAGATGTTAATTCTAAAGTATCTTCATGATTCTGTGAACATTACTAGCTTTTAGTATAATATGTTATTAAGATGCCATTGCTCTAAGTCAGATGTTGCACTAGAAAATGCAGCATATTATTGCCCGTATTACTCTAGCTTAACGTTGCTCGTTCTGTCATAGACGATTTTCATTGTTAATACTAGGGCAAGCAGTGGCTAGAATCACCAAGTCCTGTTTTGAAATGTTGTGAAATACGGTGATGGTTTGGCCATGCAGTCACCGAGCCAACGTGTTTCAAATTGTTTCAACGTTTTTCAACGTGTTTCAATCTTTCTAGGGTTGACTGGATGTTGGGTTACCAAGGGATGGTCGTTTTGGCGGGAAATCAAGTCTGGTGGACGTGGGAAGTGGAAGATGTCTTCCAGAAAGTCAAGAAAGGCGACAAAATGGGAATGAAGAATTATGCCAAGAAAATGCACAAGCAGATCGATGAACTGGTCGTGAAGGTACTAGACGCTTGTTGTCGTTTTAGTGTTTTATGTCCGTGTATTTATTTGAAAGCACCGAAAGCACTCTTCCATGCGATGTAAAGATCTTTAGGTAACCATGCAGTTATTCACGATTTAGATCCGTTCAAATTTGTCCAAAAATGATCGCAAGAAGTTCAATACTGTGCTTATCATTGAAGTCCATGCCAGAGATATCATTGACAGATTCGTCCGTGACAGGTAATTGATTAATGGTATTGACCCAGTGTTACTACAGGAGGAAACCTAAACTAATGATAGGAAACTGTATGGAAATATATTCCCGTGATTACAAGAGACTAAGTTTATAAACTAATCTTAATTTCAGTATCATGGACGCGCGTGAGTTTGAATGGGAAAGTCAACTACGTTTCTACTGGGATCAGTTACCTGACAACTTGACAGTGAGACAGTGTTCCGGAGAGTTTGGTTATGGTTATGAGTACATGGGATTGAACGGACGTCTTGTGATCACTCCTCTGACAGACAGAATCTACCTCACTATCACACAGGTGAATGTCGTTGAAGAAATATTATATCATTTGAACTAATAGAGCTATTCATTTCACATAACCCGGTTAAAAATCCTAGGCTAGTTTAGGTTGGCTTTCCTCGTAAGCCTCATCAGCAATAAAACATGATTCCTACCATAAAAATGGCTACAGAAATCATAAAACTATACGAACAAATACATGAATTACCTGACCCTGCTCTTCAACATTTGTGGATTTCAGCCAAGAAGTGTTCCGGGACATGGAATGAACAGTCCAGTTATTTTAATATTTTATAGGCTCTGTCAATGTATCTCGGCGGAGCACCGGCGGGTCCCGCTGGGACTGGGAAGACAGAAACGACGAAGGATTTGGCAAAAGCTCTTGGATTGTTGTGCGTTGTCACCAACTGCGGAGAAGGCATGGATTACAAGGTACATCTTGATTTTTCTTGCAGTCATGAGCAGGGTTTCCGCAATGCAAGGAAACCACGAGAGAGGGAGGGAGGGCTCAGTCTTAATAGGATATATTATACATTCTTTTCAAAAGTTATTTGTTTCTTTTTTTGTCATTGCCATCCCCTTGTGATGACAGCCATGTGCAAATGAGTTGTGCCGCCGAGAGAAAGTGTGGGGCCCGGGGCAAAATGCCCCACCTGCCCCCCCTCCCTCTCTCTCTCTCTCTCTTGACGGCCCTGGTCATGAGGGCCTCGTATTGGCAAGACATATAAGCTGTTGTCTTTCCAACTCTCTTTGAGTTCATTTGTAGTACATGAGTTTGTACCCTGAAACTAGTTGTGTTTAGTTATATCTTCAGTCCAAAATTTTCGTAATCAGGATAGTTTAACTCGCAAATCATTTCATTTCAGTCAATCGGCAAGATCTTCTCGGGTCTTGCCCAGTGTGGTGCCTGGGGCTGTTTCGATGAATTCAATCGTATCGACGTGTCGGTATTGTCCGTCATTTCAACTCAAATCAAGACCTTACAGAACGCTCTCATACACAATTTGAAGAAAATTCAGGTACGCCTGCCAGTGAGGTGTTAAATAAGATATTAGTAAACAAAAGCAATTGACGTTTTTTACAACACGTACGTTGACCGCAAGTAAAGTTCTTGTTTTTCACCAATCACAATCTTTGACCCAGTCTTTTGACGTTATTCATGCCCTTTGTGTTGTCAAAACGTCACTTGCTTAAGCTCATTATTAAGTAAGGAAAAAACATCCTCATAGCTAAGAACTGGTTCGGTGAAAGATTTAAGGGCTTTACTTTAGTTGGGCATGAGGTCAGGATTGAGTGTGGATGATTGTTCTTCTCCGTAGTTCGAAGGCACAGAGATATCAATGGATTCGCGAATGGGTATTTTCATAACCATGAACCCGGGTTACGCTGGTCGAACTGAACTTCCCGAGAGCGTGAAAGCGTTATTCCGTCCTGTGGTTTGCATCGTTCCTGACTTACAGCAGATCTGCGAGATCATGCTCTTCTCAGAAGGATTTCTCCTTGCAAAGGTTAGTTTAAATTGGTTTTAGCACTTTTAGTTGCCACGAAGCTGATGAAAAGCAATCATATTACGAGATTAAGTTGGTAAAAGCCAGTGAAAAATATCGACAGAACTAAACCAGATTCGTGTAAGAGTTTGCTCAGCACATCTGTGCTTAAAATCGTTTTGGATTCAGGGGGAATTACTCCTTTATATCTTGTTCTTATGTGCTAAATGTTTTTGTACCGTGTAACAGGTGCTAGCAAAGAAAATGACAGTACTCTACAAGCTCGCCGCTGGTCAGTTATCAAAGCAGTCGCATTACGACTTTGGTTTGCGTGCTCTGAAGTCGGTGCTGGTCATGGCGGGTGAACTGAAACGAGGCTCTCCCGATTTACACGAGGTATACACGTTGGGATGTAATCGGATCCCTGTTGATATGACCAGATGCATGTTGTTTGTAGTTAATAGGATGCATGTTGATTTAGTGGGATGCGTGGTGATATATTAGGATATGTGTTGATGAAGTAGGATATGTTTTGATATAGTAGGATGCATGTTGATATAATAGGATACATGTTGATGTAGTAGGATGCATGTTGATATATTGGAAGTAAGTTGTAGGATGTATGTATGTATGTATGTATGTATATCGTAGGATGTGTTGATAATGAAGTTTTCTTTATTACCAGGATGTTGTTCTGATGAGAGCTCTACGTGATATGAATCTGCCAAAGTTCGTGTTCGAAGATGTACCACTGTTCCTGGGTCTCATTGCTGACTTGTTCCCAGGCCTTGATTGTCCTCGGGTCCGATATCCCAACTTTAATGACGCAGTCGAAGCTGTACTGGTCGATAACAAATACGTCATGTTGCCACACCAGGTAATGAATTTAACATAAGCATTTGTTTTTATCCGTCAAAAAGACAGTCGCATTCATAATTATATTGTCTCAGGCGAAGATTTAGCTTTTGTAAGTCACACTCCATTTGTAATACCCGATGATTGACACCCCATTTGTAATACCCGACTTTCATTCCTCACCCCTGCCTACCGTTACGGTACCGCGTTGCATGCAAATTTGAGCAAATCCATTTCATTTCCCATGTAGGCTGATAAAGTAGTTCAGATGTACGAGACGATGTTGACCCGTCATACGACCATGATAGTCGGACCAACTGGAGGAGGGAAGAGCGTGGTGATCAATACCCTCGCGCAGGCTCAAACACGGTATGTTGATCACGTGAACACCACGTGCAAGAATTGATTGGGGGGGGGCGTAATCACCTTGCCAGACACAATGAATGCTGAGATGTTATAAATACCTCAAACTTTCTTTCTAGGCTTGGAATCCCAACAAAACTCTACACGCTAAACGCGAAGGCTTGCTCAGTGATCGAGCTCTACGGTACCCTGGACCCTGTAACCCGGGATTGGACCGATGGTCTCTTGTCGTGTATATTTCGTGACATCAATAGACCCACCGAGAAAAACGAGAGGAAATACATCGTGTTTGATGGCGACGTTGATGCGCTGTGGGTCGAGAACATGAACTCCGTAATGGATGACAACAAATTACTCACCTTGGCAAACGGTGAAAGAATTCGACTACAGAAACACTGTGCTCTCCTTTTTGAGGTAATTCGGAAAACGCCGGAAAATGGCGTGTTCGACCATGGTCGAGTCCGCTGGAAAACGGCGTATTCGACGATGGTCTAGTCCGCCGAAAAATGGCGTATTCGACCATGGTCGAGTCCGCCGAAAAATTGCGTATTCGACCATGGTCGAGTCCGCCGAAAAATGGAAGAGTGTAATCCCCCTAAGTGGAAGAGTACTCAAAATAATATTTTTTGTATGTTTCCAGGTCGCCGACCTACGCTACGCTTCGCCAGCAACAGTTTCGCGTTGTGGTATGGTGTATGTTGACCCGAAGAATCTGGGCTACATGCCTTTCTGGACCAAATGGTGCGAGGCACGGCCTAATAAAAATGAACAGACAGAACTGAACAGGTTGTTTGAGAAATATGTGCCACCGAGTATTGATCTGATATTGGAAGGAGTGATGGATGGAAAACAGGGAAAGAAACTGAAGAGTATTATACCACTAACCAACTTGAATATGGTAAGGGTTGGGATTTATTATAGTATATAAAGGTATGATATGTGTGGTGTGATGTGGTGTGGTGTGGTATGGTGTAGTGTGGCGTGGTGTGGTGTGGTGTGGTGTGGCGTGGTGTGGTGTGGTGTAGTGTGGTGTGTTGTATGGTATGGTAGGGCACGGCACGGCACGGCACGGTACGATATGATATGGTATGGTATAAGATGGTTATGATGACGGAGCATTTAGCGTCGACATGAATATCAATGCATATCAATCTTATGCCACATGTTTCTTCAGGTGACTCAACTCTCCAAGATGTTAGATGCTCTCCTGCCATCTGAGAGCGGGCATGTAGTTGGGGCAGAAATACTGGAGGGTGTCTTCCTCACATCAGTAATATGGTCCTTGGGAGCGGGCCTTCTCGAAGAAGACCGCATCACGTTCGACAATTACATCAAACGGTTATCCGCCTTGCCCCAAAACCCCGCCGATGGGAGTGTTGTGGGGGCAGGTGAGGTCCCTATCGCTAACCCTACCCTCTACGAATACTACTTCGACCTGAAGAAAGAGAAGTGGATAGCATGGCATGACATTGTTCCAGAGTACGAGCACGATCCCACGGTGAAATTCAGCGAGATCCTGGTACCAACTTTGGATACAGTACGAACCACGTGGTTGTTGTCGCTCATGGTGAATATCAAGAGGCCTGTTGTGCTCGTCGGGGAGACTGGGACCTCTAAAACAGCCACAACTGGAAATTTTCTGCGAGGTTTGGATAAAGACACAACGGTTAGTTGAATGGTGTTGGGTTATTTTGCTTTCTATAATTGATCTATATCCGGGCTCTTCTGTAATCTTCATCAGATCTATTAGATCAGATCAGATTTCTCGGACATTTCATGTTGATAATCGTGTACAGCTTGTGTATATTTATGTACGTTGAGGTGTTTTTCATGAATGGTTTGCATGAAATGTTTTTCCTCTTCAACAGCTACTGTTAAACATCAATTTTTCATCACGGACGACTTCGATGGATGTACAACGTAACTTGGAGGCCAACGTTGAGAAACGAACGAAAGATACGTACGGGCCACCCATGGGCAAGAGATTACTGGTGTTTATGGATGATATGAATATGCCACAGGTGAGAGATATTTAGCGGAACTAACTTTATATTTATGTTGGATAGCTCTATCAGTTCCCTACTGTTCTTCGTAGAGGTCCAGTAAGGATTATCTCTTATTGGACCAGTGTTACTACAGGAAGAAACCTAAACTAAACTAACTTTATTTATACTGGATAGCTCTATCAGTTCTAAACTGTTCTTCCTAGAGGTCCAGTAAGGATCATCTCTTATTGATCCAGTGTTACTACATGAGGAAACACTATCCTCACTTTATAGTTTGTACCTGGGTATCTTGGAATTAGATAAATATTTTGTAAGAAAAGTTTACGCAAAGTAAAGCAAGAGTCATGCTCAAGCACAGGCTCTTTCCCTAACATCGTTTGAGGTCAGTAACCTTGTTTGGTCTTACACAATCTCCTTCTTGTCCCATCAAGGTTGATGAATATGGTACGCAACAACCCATCGCCTTGCTGAAGCTTCTCTTAGAAAGAGGAGGAATGTACGATCGTGGAAAGGAATTAAACCTCAAGCATTACAGAGATATTGGGTTCATCGCTGCCATGGGCAAGGTGGGTGTGGTTGACATCAAGCGAACTGAAACTTCTTTTATCGGCAATAATTGGTCCTATTTTGATCTTTGTGGGGCGTTCCTTTAGGTCCACTCGTTATTAAGTGTGTGCCTGAACAGAAAATTTTTGCGTATATGCAAATTCTAGGACATATTTGGTCTTCTAGGACTTTCTTCTGAAAATTCTAGGAGGCATTTCTCAAGGTTGAGTACACAAACTTTATGAGTTTTTCTTTTTTCATCAGCCTGGGGGCGGTCGCAACGACGTCGATCCCCGATTCATCTCATTGTTCAGCGTCTTTAACGTGACGTTTCCCTCCGAAGAATCCCTGACGAAGATCTATTCGTCCATTATGGACGGTCATCTTCAACCGTTCAGCAAAGAGATCAAGGAGCTCACCGGCCCGATTACGTCATCCACGCTACAACTTTACACACAAATTGTCCACAATCATCCACCAACACCCTCGAAGTTCCATTACATCTTCAACCTGCGTGACCTGTCGCGGACGTACCAGGGCCTGTGCCTGACTGTGCCTGATAGGTTCGAGACCGCGAGCCAGTTCATTCGCGTATGGAGAAACGAGTGTCTCCGAGTGTTCCACGATCGTTTGACGAACGCGGGTGATAAAGCAGCCGTGCAGGTAATGATGCATGACAGATCTCTAGGGTGTTTGATCAAGCACACTAGCCTCGACAACTTAGTGCTCATTTCCACGAGAATTTGATATTTTACACGAAATAATTATATAAATACATAATACACAAGTTGCACAATTCTGAATCATACAAAACAATGATCTTTGCTAGTTATATTATAAGGAATTTTTCTTACCGTAAGATTGAGTAACAAGTTATCTTGTCAATAGTTTAGGACTGAGAAACTGTTCAGTACCTAGTTTTGGGCATGTTTCACTAAGTCTTTTGTTATGGGTATCTGTAGGGGTATCTGAAAAGCTTACTGGAGGAGAAATTCTCTTCCCACTTGGATTTCGTGATGCGAGAGCCGATCTTGTTCGGTGATTATCGCAATTCCCTGACTGGTGAACCGCGCGTTTATGAAGATGTTGTTGATTACGAAGCTTCAAAAGCCCTATTTGAGGAGGTGTGTAATACAACACTGTTTATTATTTTCTTGTAATTTCGCATGGTGATATCACAATATAAGTAAATTACCTACAAGCTAATTTACTTATAATACAGCACCGTTTGTTTATGAGGGATGACACGATTACTTAGCTCAGTAACGGTGTTTTCGTGTATGGATATATCAAGAGTTCTATTGAGTAAGCATTGAAGCTAAAGGCTGAATCGAGTAAAGTTTACAAGTGTTTGGGGAAAAAATTGAGAGAAGGAGAAAAGTCAGACTTACACGCATTTCCTCTATAGGTGCATTGTGCTAGTGAAGTTAGCTATTTATAAAATGAAAACATCTGAAGTATATATAGGCCAGTGGGCTGAACTTTTTTCGCTCAATTCCAGATCTTAGAGGAATACAACATGGATCACACGGTGATGAATTTGGTGCTCTTCGACGACGCCTTAGAGCACTTGACGAGGATTCATCGGGTCGTTCGTATGAGTCAAGGCCACGCCCTGCTGGTGGGTGTTGGGGGCAGCGGAAAACAGAGTCTCACCCGGCTGGCCGCGTTTGCCGCCGGGGCTGAAGTGTTTGAGATCACCCTGAGTCGAGGCTACGACGAGTCGAACTTCCGTGAGGATCTGAAGATTCTGTATCAGAAACTTGGAATCGAAAACAAACAGATTGTCTTTCTGTTCACCGATGCTCACGTCGCCCAGGAAGGTGAATATGAATGCGCTTTTCTATTGATGTATAGGAATAAAACAAGCTCTGGAATGAGTTGCCATCTAATCTTACATTAATTAAAACGATTAGTGGTTTTATAAACAAACCTCAAAAGATTCCACTTAGTAAATTTTTAAATTTGCGATAGAAAGAATTTTATGTAGTATTTATATCAAAGTGACTTTTCATACTTGTCCCGTCTAGGATTTCAGGCTGCGATCTCGACAATGGTCGACTTGTTCATTGTTATATTTGTTTCTTTGTTTCCTTCGATTGTAAGGATGTCTTTTTTCTTGTAATTTAACCTTAAAACACACATATATTTTCAGGTTTTCTGGAGCTAATCAACAACATGCTGACTTCTGGAATGGTTCCAGCTCTTTTCCCAGACGATGAGAAAGAAGGAATTATTGGCCAGGTACTATGCATGACCTGTATATATGAGTGTGTTGGAAGAGTTCAAATAGTCGCCTTTTGTTGAGTTATGATGTGTTTCAACAACTTCCATTCTCGTATATCTAGATACGTGACGAGGCAAGTAAACAAGGTGTCCCACCTGCTCGAGAATCAATCTGGCAATATTTCGTGTCAAAATGCGCCAACAATCTGCACATAGTATTGGCAATGTCTCCTGTTGGAGAAACGTTGCGCACGAGGTGTCGAAATTTCCCTGGTTTGGTGAACAATGCGAGCATCGATTGGTTCATGCCTTGGCCGAAGCAGGCCTTGTGCGCGGTCGCTTCCGTGTTTCTTGGAGAGAAGGTGGGTGGATCATGTCCAGTGTGGCTGTTATTGTTGTTTGTTGTAGCTTGTTGTTGTTTGTTGTAGCTTGTTGCTATTGTTTGTTTGTTGTTGTTGTTGTTTGTTGTTGTTCTTTGTTGCTCTTTGTTGTTCTTTGTTGCTCTTTGTTGTTGTTTGTTGTTTTTTGGTGTTGTTGTTTGTTGTTTGTTTACTAATAAATAATTACTCCTTTTCTCCAGAATGACAAAATCCCAGACGAGTACAGAGAACGCGTGGTAGAGCACGTGGTGTTCGTACAAGAGACTGTGGTGAAGTACAGCAAGGAATTCCTACTCAAATTACGCCGTGTAAATTACGTCACTCCGAAAAACTACCTCGACTTCATTAATACGTACAACAAACTGCTCGAGGAGAAAGATAAATACGTCTTGGATCAGGTACAGTACTGACTTGAGACTGGTAAATTATTAACGCTAATGAGAGTTTGCAAAAGAACGTTTGTATGAGAATCCTGCCTGACCAGGGGCCGGTTGTATAAAACTCTTTAACTACATTAGTTAAATCCTAGTTAACTCAGAAATACACGACTCTGATTGGCCAATTCTGTCCTTAACTACAGTCAAACGTTAACTAGTCTTTTATACAACTTGCCAATAGGAATGATCAATAGGAATTGCATGAGAGATCATAAACCTTTCACAGTAGTAATGGAAGACATGCCCCCGTTTGCTTAACGCAGAAGAGTTGAAAAGGCGCTCTTGAGAAAACAGGCATTTATTAATTCACCTCTTCAATTAAAGCGGCCACATGTACGAGATAGCACGAGAACAAATGTCTGTATTCTTGTATTCGCTTTAAATTTCTTTGTCATTTGAAACCAAGCCTTTTTGAAACCAAACCTTCCCGCTTTCCTCTCTCACAGTGTCATCGTCTGGATGGCGGTCTTAGTAAACTGCTTGTCGCCAGCGACCAACTCGCTGAGCTGAACGAGAAGCTGGCCATTCAGAAGGTGGCTGTGACGGAGAAGAGCGAAGCTTGTGAGAAGCTTTTAGCAGAAATTTCTGTCAACACAGAGAAGGCGATCGAAAAGAAACAATTGGCCGAGGCAAAGAAGGATGAAATTGCAGAACAAAACAAACTGATTGTAGTTGAGAAGGTAATGAAGGAAGAATATTCCAGAATTACAACTCTTATTTTTCACCTGCTATCCACTCACTTAAACAAAGACCTGAGTCTTACTAATTGTGTTTCCACTCTCTCGTTCTTCAGAAAGAAGCCGAGGACGCTCTCGCTGAAGCTCTGCCAGCTTTAGAGGAAGCACGACTGGCCTTGCAAGATCTGGACAAGTCCGATGTCACAGAAATACGGTAAACAACATATAGAACATTGTGATCTGCTTCCCTCGTAAAAAACACTATTTGTAAGAAACGAATCTTCCATGTTCCTAGATCGTTTGCTAAGCCTCCTCAAGCCGTGCAAGATATCTCGGAATGCATCGTGGTCATGCGTGGTTACAAAGATATTTCCTGGAAAACTGCCAAGGGCATGATGGCCGAAGGCAACTTCTTGAAAACGTTGCAGGTACATGCAAACGCAATGCTGTGGTGTGATTTTTAGGAAGAGCTTAATATATATACAATAAAAAAAGCGATTTAGGAAGGGATGATAATAATATGAAGGGATAATATATATGATAATAAAAGCGATCCATTGCGATGCTCAAAAGTTGTTTATAATTTTCATAGGAACTCGACGTGGACGGCATTACAAGCGCTCAAGTAAAGAAGACGAAGGATATTTTGAGACAAATCAACTATTCCTTGGAGGAAATGCAGGCGATTAGTAAGGCTGGTGCCGGGCTGTACAAGTTCGTGCTCGCCGTGATGGGATATTGCTCTGTAGCAAGGGAAATCAAACCGAAACGAGAAAAAGTACGTAGTCTATCGAGTGATATGAAAACGTGGGAAAGCATTGAGACGTGTTGCAAAAAATACAACCATCGATGATACAACCATAGATCGAGGTTTTAAAATACATGTATTCCTTGGTAGGTTGCGAGACTGGAACGTAACTTTCTGTTGAGCAAACGTGAATTAAGCAGGATTGAAAAGGAAGTAAAGAATATTGAAGATGAACTGAAAGCATTAAATGAAAAGTACGAGGCGGCGATGTCTGAGAAAGCTGCCTTGCAGCAAGAGGCTGAAATCATGGAGAGAAGATTGATCGCTGCTGATAAACTCATCTCTGGTCTTGGCTCGGAGAAGATTAGGTAAGAAAAAAACAGATGGTCGAGCGTTTAAATGAAGAGAGTTTAGTTTCATGCTACCTCTTGTAGTAAAACTGGATCAATAAGAGATGATCCTTACTGGACCACTAGGAAGAACAGTTTAGAACTGATAGAACTATCCAGTATAAATAAAGTTAGTTTAGTTTAGTTTAGGTTTCCTCCTGTAGTAACACTGGATCAATAAGAGATCATCTTTCCTTCCTGGACCTCTAGGAAGAACAGTTTGGAACTGATAGAACTGTCCAGTATAAATAAAGTTAGTTTACTGGACCTCTAGGAAGAACAGTTTAGAACTGATAGAACTATCCGGTATAAATAAAGTTAGTTTAGTTTAGGTTTCCTCCTGTAGTGAACAAACAAATTTTATCTCTCATTTCTCAGGTGGACTGAAGATCTTGAGGAACTGAAGAGAAAGCGTGTGCGGTTGTTGGGAGATTGCTTACTGGCTGCAGCATTTCTCAGTTACCTCGGTGCGTTCAGTTGGGACTTCAGACGAGAGATGCTTAAAGAGGAATGGGAAAAAGATGTGGTTGAACGTGAAATTCCGCTCAGCCAACCATTTAAGGTATCATTGTTAGCTTGAGGCGATTGCCATTGAGGCGTTGTAAATAAGATGTTAATTTTTTAAGGTGTTAAAGTAACTCCCAGTAGCGTTATTTTACACTATATTTTACTCAAAATTGGTGCTAATAATACACCACATTTCGGGCAGAATTAACTCCTTGAAGATGATATTATTCCTAACCAAGCCTAGTTTCGACTTCCATGTCTGTCCCTGATTGTAAAAGCGAAAATAACGGTAGAGATTTCAGAGGAAATATCTTCTCTACGTTATGTCCTGCTCGCCTAATATGTTCAAGTGGAAATGCTGCATGCTTGTTAAAAGTAAAACCAAGGTTCTCTTGGATGGTTTTTGAGGTAAATGCCACTCATCTTAGGTTGATAATCTGTTGACGAACGATGTCGAAATAAGTCGCTGGACCTCAGAAGGTCTTCCACCGGATGAGCTGTCTATCGAGAATGGCATATTGACCACCCAAGCTAGCAGATATCCGCTGTGCATTGATCCACAGCAACAGGCTTTGAACTGGATTAAGAAAAAAGAGGAGGAGAACAATCTCAAGGTAACGGATTTTATTATCATTCATTCTTGTAATGAAATATGTTATCTCGTAGTTCGTTAGTGGGTAAAAGGAGATTATGGAGTTTGGAAGTTGTCAAACATTTAAATCAATCTGATAGTTGGCACTGTTGAATTGGCATTATCGTGAAGTTTTTGCGTTGTTTTCCTTTAGACGTGTACATTCAACGATCCAGATTTTCTTAAACAATTGGAGCTCGCCATCAAATATGGCTTCCCATTCTTGTTCAAAGATGTTGACGAGTACATCGATCCTGTCATTGATAATGTTCTTGATAAAAATATCAAAGGTTAGAAATATTCAAGATAATGAAACAAATCCTGTGTCGATATATTTTGTGTTTTGGTGATGGATTATCAATGAGTTAATCGAGAATTATGTTGTTTTTTTTCTTCAACTCCAGGTGAGGTTGGCCGTCAGTTTGTTATGCTTGGTGATAAGGAGGTTGATTATGATCCAAACTTTCGTCTTTACTTGAACACGAAGTTATCCAATCCAAAGTACACGCCTGCGCACTTCAGTCGTTGTATGGTCGTGAATTATACCGTTACCCTCAAGGTAAGTCGTTCGTGAATGTGAGAGATTTATTATCAGGCCCGTTTACACTTTGAGTGAGTAGTTATGCTGTGATGTTTAGTCCCTTTACGCAGCGAACTCTGTGTGAACTGGAACGATAACTTGGTCGCAATCAATTCAATCAATTTGAAACTGAATTGAAGGACCAGTCGCGCATCGTAGATTGCGTAATAACAATAAAAAGACTCAGGAGATTCCTGAATTTGACTTCAAAGATGGCGGCAAAATAACCGTGAGTTATCGTCCAGTGTTCATAGAGTTCCCTGCTTGTGAACATCGATAACTTATCCACTCTTTCACATTTATCAAAAGAAGAAAATAGCACATAAAATCACGTGAACTTTGGAATGTTTGTGCTGATAAGCGAACTTGTATCATAGGGTTTGGAGGATCAGTTACTGAGTGTTATTGTTGGTTTTGAAAGAAAGGAATTGGAAGAACAGAGAGAAAGATTAATCCAAGAAACCAGGTAATATCTGACTTTTAAACAGCCTGTTCTTAAATTTGGCTCTAAAAAGTCTCCCTATTAATGTAACGAGCTTGTTACATCATGTTTAATACCCCAAACGATTCGCAGGGATCTTCTGTCGCAAGTAAAATTGTTTTGACTGACTTTGTTGAATTTTTCTCAGCGACAACAAGAAGTTATTGAAAGATCTGGAAGACACTCTCCTTCGGGAACTGGCGACCTCAACTGGAAATATGTTGGATAATGCCGAGCTCATTCAGACCCTGGAAGACACAAAGACCAAAGCAACAGAGGTGAATTGTCTTTATTCATACTGAATAGCTCTATCAGTTTATAAGTGTTCCTCCTAGAGATCCAGTAAGGATCATCTCTTATTGATCCAGTGTTACTACAGGAGGAAATCTAATCTAAACTAAACTAGCTTTATTTATACTGGATAGCTCTATCAGTTCTAAACTGTTCTTCCTAGAGATCTAGTAAGGATCATCTCTTATTGATCCAGTGTTACTACAGGAGGAAATCTAAACTAAACTAGCTTTATTTATACTGGATAGCTCTATCAGTTCTAAACTGTTCTTTCTAGAGATCAGTAAGGATAATCTCTTATCGAAAGTGTAATGGTTTTGTGACTATTAATTATCTTTTCTTTGGTAGGTCAGTGAAAAACTGAAGCTAGGTGCAAAGACAGCGATCGATATTGACAAACTTCGAGATGGTTATCGACCCGCAGCCAAACTGGGAGCTGTCTTGTTCTTCGTTCTGTCTGAGATGTCGATCGTCAACAGCATGTATCAATACTCGCTTGCCTCTTATCTGCAAGTATTCGATCTCTCCTTGAGAAAGAGCATGCCTGATTCAATACTGCCGAAGCGACTGAAGAACATCATGGAGACACTCCAGTTGAATGTCTATAACTACGCCTGCACAGGTCAGTGGCGGGCATACAATTAATCATCGCAGGGAAGGGAATCAACGCTAAACCTTATCTAAACTTAATCCTAAACTAATCTCAGGGATTTAATGCTTGTATTTAGGATTTACTGAACATGGAATGATTGAACCAGATTCCATCTTGCGGCTGAGTGTCGCTTTTTAATTATCAACTGAAAGGAACCTGTCAGACTGAACCCCTCTACATATCTTGTTCCATGCAATCATTGAATTCCTTTTCATCCACAGGGTTGTTTGAGAAGCACAAATTGCTGTTCTCGTTCCAAATGACTATTAAGATCATGCAAGCGGATAATAACTTGAAACAGGAAGAACTTGACTTCTTCGTCAAGGGAAACATATCTTTGGAGAAAAGTTCTCGCAAAAAGCCATACCCCTGGTTGTCAGACCAGGGTTGGCAAGATATACTCAAGCTGTGTACGGTGGCTCCCGATGTATTTAGTAGCCTGGCCGATGATATTGAGCGGAATGAGCAATTGTGGAAAGAGGTATAATGTTAAACTATTTTACCTTTACTGAGTGGGTTTATACGATAAAGGTCCTATTCCCTACTCCCTAGCCAGTTTGTGGAGTAATAACATCCCTTCATGGTTTCACAACAAAGAAGTCTAAGTTAAACCAACTCTAATTGCACTGCAAAACACTCAAAGCAGGTCCAACGAATTACATTTCTTGCGATCCAGTGTTGTTAACTAACCTAACTTTATTTATACTGGATAGCTCTATCAGTACTAAACTGTTCTTCCTAAAGGTCCAGTAAGGATCATCTCTTATTGGTCCAGTTTTACTACAGGAGGACACCTAAACTAAACTAACTTTATTTATACTGGATAGCTCTGTCAGCTCTAAACTATTCTTTCTAGAAGTCCAGTAAGGATCGTCTCTTATTGATCCAGTGTTACTACAGGAGGAAACCTAAACTAATAAGGTTATTTATATGGATAGCTCTATCAAATCTAAACTGTTCTTCCTAGAGGTCCAGTAAGGATCATCTCTTATTGATCCAGTGTTACTACAGGAGGAAACCTAAACTAAACTAACGTTATTATATATACTGGATAGCGCTAAGTTCTAAACTAACCTTCTTTGAGGTTCATTCGAAGTCATTTCGTTTTTCTCTGTGAACCGTTCTAGTGGTGTGACTTGGATGCGCCAGAAGCGGCAGAAATCCCGATGAAGTACGAAGAAAGCCTCTCAGATTTTCAACGGCTTCTTCTGCTTCGCTGTTTCCGAGTGGATCGTGTTTACCTTGCCATCACACATTTCGTCACGAAGAAGATGGGCGAGAAATATGTCACACCCCCCGTGCTGAGTTTCGAAGCCATCTTCGAGCAGTCCAGTCCTTATTCTCCCATCATATTTATCCTGAGCCCGGGGTCCGATCCTGCCAGCGACCTCCTGAAGCTGGCCGAGAGATCGGGTTTTGGAGGTAATCGACTGAAGTTCTTAGCCATGGGGCAAGGCCAGGAAAAGGTATCCTGCTATATTTCATTAAATGCACAACAAAACACCTTGCGCTCTATGCAGGGTGTATAAGAAAGATAAACAAACCTCAAAAGGCTTTCGTTTATAATATAAAGATGCCTTCACGCGATTCAATTTTGTCGGCTCCAATCCACTTTTAATGAAAGTTTTATAATCCTTTGGCTGTAAATGGCAGCAAATCAACTAAGGTCAATGCAGGACGGCCTCATGGATCGTGTGAACCATACAGACCTTTTAAAAGGCGTTTGACTATATTATCCTGGTGAAAAAGGCTGTTAACATTTTCTGTTTATTTCTATAGCTTGCTCTGCAGTTGCTTGAGACGGCGTTGACCCGTGGTCAGTGGTTGATGTTGCAAAACTGTCATCTCTTGGTGAAATGGCTTCGGGAGTTGGAAAAGGTTTTAGAACGTATCAGTAAACCTCATCCAGACTTCAGATTATGGTTGACTACAGATCCCACACCAGAGTTCCCTATTGGTATTTTACAACGGTCACTCAAGGTATATATTTGGATGTCACTTACTTTATACTGGATAGTTCTATCAGTTTCTTAACTATTCTTCTTCATTCCAGTGTTATTGAAGAAGGAAACCCAAACGAAAACAGGAGAATTAATCTTTATTCATTCGTTTTAGGTTGTGACAGAACCACCGAATGGCTTGAAACTGAACCTTCGAAGTACCTTGCACAAAATTTCCAACCAAATGCTGGCTGACTGCCCTCATGACTGTTTCTCTCCGCTCGTGTTTGGCCTGGCATTCTTCCATGCCGTGGTGCAGGAGAGACGGAAATATGGCAAGATTGGCTGGAATATTGCATACGATTTCAACGAGAGTGACTTCAGAGTGTCCATGAATATACTCAATACCTATCTCACTAAAGCTCTTGATCAAGGAGACCAACGGATACCTTGGGCCAGTCTGAAATATCTGATCGGGGAGGTAAGTTATAATTCTATTACGCATTATGAAGGCCCGTTTACACTTGCAATTTTTGCTGCGATTTTCCTCTTTTGATAGATGTGAACGAGTAATAAGTTACCAATATATTGATTATTCTATTAATGGTGATATTATTACAACCTGATCGTAATGGTTTATGTCGCATTAGACGAAAAATGTATTGATCATCCTATTGATAGTGTTATAGTAATTGCAATGGTTTTTCTGATTGATCAGGAAATTAATTGATAATTGGTGACTGATTAAATTTAATTCTAATCGATTAATTGATTGATTACAGGTAATGTATGGTGGACGTGTTATCGATGACTTTGATCGGCGTGTGGTCAACACATACATGGATGAATACATGGGAGATTTTATCTTTGACACTTTTCAACCATTTCACTTCTACAGAAACGACGAGGTCTGTATCTTAAATCTTTGAAAAAATTCTTACTGATTCTGATTTCGATTTTCGCAGATTACGCTTGTATTCTAAATGTTGAGTCACGCTCAAACTGATTGAGTGGAGGTTCTCAATCGGTTTATGGTATCTTCGATCTTGGTAAGGTGAAATATGCCGGTATATGGTATCTTCGAACTTGGTAAAGTAAGATATACGGTATATCATCTCCGTTAAAGGCGTTTGCAATGATCACTGTTCTTCACTCCAGGTTGACTATTGCATACCAAAAGGAGAAAATGACGCGGTGAATCGTGACGTGTTTGTCGAGTACATCGAATCATTACCGCTGGCCAACACACCTGACGTGTTCGGGCTCCACCCGAATGCCGAGATTGGGTACTACACAACCGCCGTCAAGGACATGTGGACTCACCTCATTGACCTTCAACCGCAGACCGCTGGTGACGCGGGCGGCATTAGCAGAGAGGACTTCATAGCGAAGATTGCCAGCGACATTCAAGGCAAACTTCCAGCGTTGTTTGATGTGGACCTAATACGGAAGAATTATACCGAGATCCAGCCCACCACAGTGGTCCTGCTCCAGGAGTTAGATCGATTCAATGTACTTGTCAAGAAAATGTCAACCTCGCTCGTGACCCTACAGAGGGTGAGACATTGATTTCACATGTATTGAAAGACGTGGTTAAGCCCTTCTCACATTCTAACTCATTCATTATTCACGCGTGTTTCAATATTTCATCCACTGATATTTCTTGTATCTATGTCAACAGGCATTGGCTGGCGAGGTCGGAATGAGTAGCGAGCTGGATGAGGTTGCCAAGTCCTTATTCAACGGTCAGCTACCCAACATCTGGCGAAAGCTGGCCCCTGCCACGCTCAAGTCACTTGGAAGCTGGATGGAACATTTCCTACAAAGATTTGACCAGTACAGCAAATGGGTGAGGCAGTAGTTTATATCTGAGATGCGCTTTCTATGATTCTTTCATGATAAGAATCCAAAGCTTTAAAAGATTATTAATTATTATCACTTGTAATTTCCGAAGTATGGCCATTCTTGACTTTCTTGTTGTCATAGACGATCAAGGCTGAATAGGCTGGATAGCTCTATCCACCGAATAGTGATTTTCTCTGATCACCATTTGGGGGGACTCTTTCCCCTCCCCCCCCCTTTTGTTAACCTCCAACCTCTCTACTCCAACCACCTGTTTTACGTTCCCTCTAAAGAAAATGTAAATACTTTGTTCACAGGTCAATGAGGGTGAACCAGCGGTGATGTGGTTGTCGGGTCTACACATCCCAGAGTCTTACCTAACAGCTCTGGTACAAGCCACTTGTCGTAAAAACGGTTGGCCGTTGGACAAGTCGACCCTCTATACGACCGTAACCCAATACCAGAAACCTGAGGACGTCAAGGAACGATCACATGCAGGCTGTTTTGTCAGCGGCTTGTATCTCGAGGGTGCTTCGTGGGACATTGAATCAAGTTGTCTCCGCCGACCAAGGCCAAAGGTGTTGGTCGAGGAATTGCCAATTTTGAAAGTCATTCCGATCGAGGCCCACAGATTGAAATTACAGGTGTGTGTGTTTAGCATTCGTCCCCTTCAAATCCATTTTTTCATTTTTTCTTTATTTGTTGAACGTCAGGAAAAACGTCACAGATCTAGAAAGTATTCTAATTGGTATTAGGAATCTAAGAATTTAAAGATGATCTAAAGTCCGTTTCGCACATGTTCTCTTTTCACATCAACATATTCTGCTTGTTTCTCTTTTAGCACACATTTCAAACACCCGTATACACAACATCCCAACGTCGCAACGCCATGGGTGTGGGACTCACTTTTGAGGCCGACCTCGCAACGCGAGAACACATCTCGCATTGGGTATTGCAAGGCGTTTGCCTCACTTTAAACGCCGACTAACTTTGTAAATAGAGTTCGATAAATTTCGCATATAACATTTAATATATAAAACAGATATTTATTTTTACTGCCAGGTACGATTTCTTTAACAGTTTTGTAGAATTTGCCAGCCGAATTTCCCTAGGCATTGTAACCTAAATGAATTCAATCGAAAACAATAAAGATTTAAATAAATGTGGCTGGATTGCTTGATTGCTTCTTGCCATGGATGCTGTTGTTGAATCAAACAAGGAGGGACTTCGTTAAAGACCAATCAGCAAGTTTGTTTACGTTTTCAGTAACCCAATCCGAATGCATAAGTTTTCTCTACCTCTGGAAAAAGGTACATTATTTACCGTACATTATTTCAATTTATATTATATTATTTATATATTTTATATTATTTATATAATAGTACATCATTATAGTACATAGTTTACAGTATGGAGAGTCCAGCTCCCCCACACCACAAAATCTATCCCGAGCTTGCGGAATCGAGATTGTTGAAATTGTTGATTATATCTAATGTGACTGTGATGTGATGTGCTGAATAATGTGATAAATACGATACACCAAGTATCTCACTTGGGCGGATTGCTGGTCATACAGTGATCACAGGCTCACATTCAACGAAGACTCAATTTGCGCACGTGTTTGGGCAAGAGCACAAAACGCCGAACTGGCCCAAAACAGTACTTGTAAACAAATATTGTAACAAATAAACAAAAAGCATGGCGTCCAGCAGTTCGGCCTCTGGTTCTGGATCGGGTTCAGGATCTCTTTCGAGCCAATCTGTACCTTCTAGCATGGAATCTGGCTCCACTTTGCCAAACCAAGATGTGGTCGATGGATATTTCTCAGAGCCTGAAGAGACGGACCGTGGATGGGGAAAATTGATCCCGTTGGGAAGATCCTTTGAATTGATCGGTGGGTCTATTTAACACATTCCTGTTGTATCTGCATTCTAATTCTTATTACCACTGTTTATCTAAATTTAGTGCATCAAAAAATAGACAAAAATAAATAAATACCCTGCTGAGGTGTTTTTCTCTTCAGGATTTTTATCCCTCTACAATGCAAAAAATCCAAGATATTATCTTGACAGGGGGTAATATGATATTATAAATATATTTGCCCGTTTAAAATTTTTTATGCAAGGCAGGGAGAAACGAGTAAAATAATTCTTATCCCACCAGCAGCTAATGCATTTATAAATATAGTATTTCCATGTGCATTCAGCTGCCCCTGGGAAGATCAGCTTGGAGAAGAATGTCATATAAGATTATCTGTGAACATTTGCGACCCCTTATCTGACAGCTGTATGTTCCCTGTTTCAATGAGTAGTAATGTAATTTAGTGCGCTTCAAATGGGGAGTTCTATCGGTGTATGCATTTGTTTTCATTCACTTTAGAGTTGGTGAAAGAAACATATACATTTGGCAGAGATATAAATGGTGATGTTTGTTATGCACAGAAGGCATTTCCAAGAGGAAATTCAAGTTTTTTTCAAAGACTTAGCAAGAAACACTTTCAACTTTTGAAGGTATGGTATTAACCATTCTTTAATGAAATCCATTTGGTTTGTGGGAGAGGTAAAGTGATGCATATGTACAATATCTGAAAATACTGGAGGACATTGTACATGGTTTCTTGTTTATTTGCATATATGCATGATAAAATGATGAGAAACATCACCACAAAAATATAAAATTGTTTTCTAATGGTTTTTAAAAAGGACATATCTTTTGCAGGAAACTAGTGAGAATGGTGAACACATTGTATATATAAAAGATTGGAGGTGAAATAGAATCAATATGATATTTTTCATACACTTCAATGAGATTAGATTCCCCAGCATTATAGGATGTGGCAGCGATGTGGCAGGGTATCCTGCCTGTGCATAACTAGCTTCTTATAAACATGATAAAAACCCATGTTTTCTTGTCAATCTTCTAACCTTTGTAATTTCAAGAACATTCCCAACTATCAAATTATTTACATATTCTGAATCTGACTTAATTTGATGACTTAATCTTTTTTCCCAGTATGAACGGAACATTTGTGAATGGAGGTCTCATAGGTAATGCCGTTGTCGTCAATTGAATGTTAATTGAGGAGGACTATGTTCATATATTCTGCTATGCCAGGCTGATTTCTTTTGAAAACATATTTCACTTTCAACTGAAATCAGCCTGGTATAACAGAATATATGAATATGGTGCCCCTCAATTGAGGTTCGATTGATGCGAAAGGGTAATGCAGAGAGATTAGAATATTTAATACAATAACTAGAAATGAATTAAGTTAATGTGTCCCACTACATTTATCACCTGCCCCCCCCCCCCTTCCACTTCCCTTCAGCAAAAAAAGTCCTACAAGAATGGAGTAATTTTTTGCAGGAAAAGGAAACCAGCAAGTGATTCAAAACAATTCTGAGATTTCGTTAGCTGCTCTAGAAAACAAAGGTATTGTATGTCTCCCTTGGTTTGAGAGTGACTGTGAAATAACAGAGCGAAATTGCTGTCTTGTTTTTACACCTCGTATACTTCAATGATTTAACAAGATGTTGTTTTTCGGAGCACGTTTTTTATGAGTTATGTTATAAAATCACCGTAAAAAAGTGGTAATGAGAGTTGTCTTCTATCCAATAATGCAGCCTACCTGTTCCTCGATCTTGAAGCAACCAAAATAGAACAAGAAATGTTCCCTCAGGTGAATATAATACAGTTCTAAATGTTTCATGAATTATGAAATATGAATATCTGGCTTGTTTGACAAAAGCGCGCGAAACACGAGCCGAAGGCGACGAACCTCGACCAATCAGAACACGCGTTATAAACAATTTTTAAATAACATGTATAAAACGCGTATTTTGATTTGTCGAAGGCCGTGATTGCAGGTCAGGCCATCTAAATACGGAAATTTATTTTGCTTAGTAAAAAAACTTGGAAGACTACCCTGTTTGTATTTTATAAAACAATGGTTTCAGTATTTGGATGACTTGATTGAAACATTTGGGAATGTTGCTTCAGTTAATAAGAAAAGCTCGCAAAATAACTCGCCTTTAGCTCGTGTTTCGCGCGCTTTTCTTAACCCTCGCAAGTCGCAATAACTCTATATTTTTTATCCCTCGTGTAAAACAATGGAAATAACAGCAGTATATTTTTAAACCCACGAATAAGGCCCAAAGTGGGCCGCTTTTAATGCCTAAATGATGCTACAAATGTTTAACAATTTGGCAAATTTAATTTTTAGGAAATGAGGGAAAAATTTACAATATCAAAAGTCTTAGGAAGGTAAGTTTAACCCCTCCCTCCTCACCCCCCCCCCCCCTCCCCAGACACACACACACACGCAAGTTATCAACGAAGATATTCAGCTTACTTACAAGTCAGAATTAGATACTTTTAAATTGCAACTCTTCACGATTACTTTAGAGGTGCCTTTGGTGACGTTAGATTGGCGTTCAGTAAGGGCAGCGAGTGTAACAAATTCGCCATAAAGATCATTAGCAAGAAACAATTCTCAAATCTCAAAGTAAGACGATAAAATGGATACATACGTTTTTACCAAACCCTTCGTAGAAGCGCATGTAAAACTTTGGCGTTTTTGCGCAGGCAATTACCGATTGAGCATGTTGAAATAATTGGGATCACACATAGGAACGTGTCCGAGGTCGACTTTTTTATACACCCTGTATGATAAACTAAACAAATTGGGTCTTTACTACTGTTTTGTACCATTTTAGACAAGCAAACGTGATACTGAGGTTTCTGATGAAGTGGACATATTAAAGAAATTGGATCATGTATGTTCTGTGTACAAACCCCAGCCACTTTTCATCCCAGACAGAGTGATATATAATCCGTTTTCAAATTTGTTTTCAGCCTTGCATAGTAAAAGTTTTTGATGTCGTCGACACACCAGAAAGTTTTTTTATTGTTCTCGAATTGTAAGTGGAATTTTTATACTAGTTTAATTCACTATCAGGTTTATACATTAACTATATACTATTAAAGTAAAGTATTTCAATGTTCACACTAGTTTTGTGATCTCGCTACTCTGAGTTAATTACCAACCGGGCAAGCTGAATTAAAATTTAGATTCACAACGGTGGGAATCAAATCGTCGAGTTTTGGAGACGTCTTGACCTAGTAGCTCAGTTGGAAGAGCATTGGACCAGCAAACAAACGGCCAGCACTGTGATCAATAAGAGTAGCACCATCGCAATATTATTTCATACCTCTGACCTGAGTCATATGCATTATCACTGTTTTTATCTTTATCATTCAACTGCGCATAAAACTCTGTACACATATCGATAATAAAGTGCAGTTTTGCATGGATAACGAAACTCGAAAATTGCAAACCCATACGCGAGTAGGCTACAGTAGTTCTTTGTTGCTCAAAATGTGTAAAAGAATTCCGCAACCAAACTGGAGTTTACAGTAAGACCGCTGATTACTTAGTCATTGACGGTCGGTAGAATGTATATTCAGTTCTACAAAACCGGACCTCCACTTTTGAGATGCAATCGCAGATGACGAATCTCGGTTCTATTTCTTTCTATGCATTGACTATCGTCTTATTTCTATCCATGTATTATTGTACCACTTTGTAGAGTTGAGGGTGGTGAATTGTTTGACAGAGTCGTCAGTAAAAGCAAACTGGAAGAGCGTATTGCTAAGTTATTATTCTATCAAATGTTGCTCGCTGTCAAGGTGAGTTTAACTTTTTAAGGTATAATTCAACTTTAACGGATAATTCAGTTATCATTATTTTTAAACTTTTCCCCTAGCGTTTCTTATTGATCCAATAACATTGCAGGAGAAAACCTAAACTATAGACTAACTTTATTTATACTGGATAGCTCTATCAGTTCTAAACTGTTCTTCGTAGAGGTCCAGTAAGGATCATCTCTTATTGATCCAGTGTTACTACTGGAGGAAGTCAAAACTAAACTAACTTCATTCATACTGTTTCGTATTTTTAGTATTTACATGAAAATGGCATCACACACAGGGATTTGAAGGTAAGCACGCACTTGCAAGTGTATTTGTTACCACTGTCTTTATATCTTGAACCTTAACGACCATAATTTAACTTTTTCTTCTCTAGCCAGAAAATGTTTTATTGTGTTCCCCGGATGACGAAACGCTTATAAAGGTTTGTCTCAGTTGCGTATTGAACTTGTGTTTTATAAATTGCTCTTTAAATTGTCTTTTAAGAAACCATTCGATGTGACCATTGCCAGCAAATGCGAGTCATTATAATCTCAATTCCGAGTTTTCTCCGTTCCGTGATTTCGTTTTACGAAAGCAGAACGCATCCTGCAAAAGTTTTAGGTTCAGCCGTTCAGTTGTTTCTCATTGCAGTTGCTCACTGACAACAATTGATTTTTAAGATCACAGATTTCGGGGTGTCAAAATTTGTCGGTGAGAATTCCTATATGGAAACACTCTGTGGTACACCAAGTTACCTCGCTCCCGAAGTGTTAACCCCGGTACCTGAAAAAAGATCGTACAAGAAAGAGTGTGACTGCTGGAGCCTGGGAGTTATACTATATGTTTGGTATGTCATATGCTTCATGTTACTCAAATTCACGTAGTGAAATGGATTTGTAATGTAGCTGGAGCTAGCTTAACCTTATTTCTAAACTAAACTGAGTACGTCAATAAAAAGTTAACGTCTTTTAGTCTTTCAGGATGTCCGCCATTTTCAAAGCAGGCAAATAACCCATTGGAGAAACAGGTGATGGAAGGGTCGTATAAATTTCCGAACAACCTGTGGAAGAACGTTAGCAGCGAAGCCAAGGATCTTATAAGAAAACTGCTTACTGTTGATCACAGAAAACGTATCACGGTTTCTGAAGCTCTGGAACATCCTTGGATAAAGGTGATGATGAAATTACTAACCGCCTTATCACAACGCGCGTCTGAGCTTTTTCAAAATCGTCTGAGCTTTTTCGTCTGAAGTCCCAGCTTTTTCAAATTGTTAGAATTAGTTTGGTTGAAGTTTAGAACTGATAGAGCTATCCAGTATAAATGAAGTCAGTTTAGTTCAGGTTTCCTCCTGTAACACTGGATCAATAAGAGATGATCTTTACTAAACCTCTCGAAAGAACAGTTTAGAACTGATAGAGCTATCCAGTATAATAGAATTAGTTCAGTTTAGGAAAAAAAACTTTTGGAGGTGATAGAATATTGATCCACGGTTTAACAAGATCTTTGTCTCATCTAGGATAAAGAAATGATAGAAAAAGCAGAAAAATTGATAAAACCGACCGTGGATGGAAGATCAATGTCTCCGCCCTCAGAAAAGGTATGTTGAAAACTACGATACTTGTCCCGTTCTTTCGTTTATTGACCCTTATTTACAACTCGCAATTGCAATGAAACATTGCATGTTTGCAAGTTACATCGAAATTTAACCGGCTTTCCGAAACAATCTCAAGGCGCAGTTACACTACGCAATTTTCCTTGCAAATTGCAATACAATTCTACTCCTGAGGCATCTAAAGTTGCCAAATACGAACATTTCTTACGACCAGCTAACGTTTTCTTAGTATTTCGAACACTCTTTACAAATTAACATCCCTCAGAATTATAATTGCATTTCAAGTTGCAAGGAAAATTGCATATTGTATAGTAGCGCCTTCAGTAAAGTTGAAAGCTCACCGTGGAATGAGACATTGCATGTCTGCAAGTTCTAAGGCCGAACAGAACTGCCAACAAATACGGTGAAGACTAGCCTACGGTCTTGATGGAGAGACGAGTCTCTGCGTGCAAATAAAAATACTCATTGGCGTAGCCAGCCCGACAATTTAGTCATGCTATGCTAATATTTTGGTGTTCATTCATTGTGAAAACAATGAATTTCTAAAGAAATGAATAATGATAATAACATAAAATTTGCACAGCATGACTTGAAAATGCTTCATGCTTCATGTCAGATCACATCGAAGGTTGCACCGACCGTGAATGCCGGTGCACTTGCCACTCAGATACTGTATCCTGTTTGGCTTAGTCTGAAAAATCTTAGCATTCTGATTGGCTTAACCTGAAAAATGTGATTTGCCGATTAGTTCGAAATGAAATTCCTTCTTGTTATTTCGGTATTTCCCTACATTTTATCCGAACCTAAACGGTGTCTATTGATGAGTAATTTCATTCTGAAATTCAATACAAGTCATTAAAGATTTATGTTTTACTAATAGAAAATTTTAATTCTGATCTCAGAAGCGTTCACATCGTACACACTCATTGATAAAGATTATTATATAAAATGTCAATTATATTTGTACTCAGAAAAGTTCCGTATAAGTTCTTTTTTACGAAATGCTATACTGAGGCCGGTTGTTTCAAAAGCGTTTAGCTTAAACGTTGGATAAGTTCAAAATCGAAAACAAAACGTTGTAAATTGTTCAATTTTCAATGCAAAAACATATTGAATGCATAAAATGTAGTTCGAGTCATTCACAAGATGTATGAGAGCATTTTTAAACTTTTCCTTATCCACCGTTTAAACTAAACGCTTTTCGAACAAACGGTCCAGGTCTTTGTTATAGCAGGGACTATTGTTAAGATTCGCTTAAGGTGGCGCTTCGCGACGGCAACAAGACAGTTGCTATAAATGTCACTGATAATATCGCAAGATTAAATACCATGCCATTAAAATACTTTTGGGCAAAGAATGTCTCGAAGATGAACGGCCCTAAGATTGTTCCCATACGGCCAATACACACACAAATTCCCACTCCAATGCTACGATTTTCTGTCGGGTAAACCAGCGATGCAAATAATGCCACAGGTGCTGTGTTTGTCGCGAGGAAACTTCGGGATAACATTGTAACTATGAATAATGGCATTTCCTGGTTTACGACAAACAGTGCGATAATCTGTGATAGGATTGCCAGCAATGTAACAAATAAAACTATAACTTTTACTCTAAAAACGTAGCAGCTTAAACCAGCCATCATAACGATTACAATCTCAAGCAAGTTCATCCATGTCATAATAGAATGCATATTGTCGTTTGGGAAACCGTTTGTTAAAGACGATAAATTTTGTTTGTCCACCACGTCAGACGCAGTGTATATCAAATCGAAATAAGTCATCTTGATTCCGAAATTGGCGATACAAACGCATATCGTAATTTTCCAATAACCTGATCGAAATAGCTGTGTGAGATCTGCCCTCTGTGTCTCAGGACCGTCTTTCCGAAGTCTTGTGTCGCTGAAATCCATTTCAGGCGCCGAATCTTGTAGACTGTCCAAAGCTTTCTGCTCGTCCCCAGCTGCAAGGTGATAATAGGGAGTGTCTGGGAGAAATATCATACCGATAAGGAAAATTGCAGTCGGAAAACACACGGTAGCCAGAGCCCAATGATAACCGATCACCGAAAGCTTTATTGAAACGACAGCCGAAAGTAGAAATCCTAAAGTCCAGAAGGTCATGGTTAAAACAGAAAACATAGTTCGATATTTTGGAGGGAAAAATTCAACTATTACGACATAACCTAGATCTACAGTCGCCACCCCAAAGCCGACAAAGAAAAGGCTTATCCAAAGCCAGTAATAGTTCGTTGAAAACGCGCCCACAAATGCTGAGACAAGTACGAACGTCATACTGCCAATAATTGAACGCTTTCTGCCGTATATGTCCGACACCCAACCCCAAAACGAAACGCCTACCATCATTCCGGCTGATATCGAGAGTGTCAATACCCCAGCCATGACTGAAGACATATCCCAGTCTGATTTGAGACTCGGAAGTATCACGGATAAAATGGAAGCTCCAAGTGCATCTGCCATATGCTGAACACAAATTAAGAGGAAAACTTTCCAATGAAAAAATCTCAATCCTGTTTCATCCAGAATTTCGTCGATTGAACGAGATTTAAAAAAATCAACATTCAAGTATGTAGTTTCTTTGTCATCATCTGAAATCTCGTCTGAGATTCCTTTGTATTCTGCATGAACGCGATTGTCGTTGCTTCGACTTGCTTTCGACTTTTCAGAATTCGCTGTGAAAATCCATCCTAAAAACCATTTCAATTTGACCCATAGTTTCATTTTCAATGCTTTGGTTAGTTTTGTATATTAGATAGTAATCCTGTTGGTGTAACTTCAATCACCGCAGCATTATTGAGAAGAATTCTACACGCTTGACCAGAGGCGGTCGACTAAAACCCGTTCCCATTTGCATGCAAATTACCGCGTTCAATGATAACACCTACTGATGACTGATCTTAAAACACAGTGTGATATAGTAATCATGCCTATATAAAACATAAAACAGAACAAGAATTAATAGACCTTCTGAGATACTGACAGTCAATTAATGATTATTATTGTATTGCAATTTATCAGTTGCTTATTTTTAAATAATTTCCATGTTATTGTCCTTGCTATATATCTCATACCTTAGGGTGAGTCATGCACAGGTTATATATATATCCTACCTTAGGGTGCATCACAGGGAGCATCTGCAATATGTCTAAGGCAAAACGATATAGTTTCTCAAAAACATTTCAATCTGACCCATAGTTCCATTTCCAATCCTTGCTTGATTTCAGTTGGATAGTGTATTAAATAACATTTTTGCTGGTATAATTATTACTTGCATTACCGCGAGAACACAAATATGTGGGGAATGTTGGCGATGACACACGCTTGACCAGTGACGGTTGACTGTGAGGGCGTACTCGCATACATACACAATTTGTGGATAATACTACGCCCTCCATCGCATGACACATATACGTATATAATACACAAATATATAAATACGCCCTCAGAGTCAACTATGGTCCTTGTTATATTACTTAGGCCTGTTTTAGACGTCGCATTTTAGTCGCGTCGAATGCAATTCAAACAATAGATAATGAGATGATAATGAAGTTTAAAGAGGTTTATCATCTCATTATCTATTGTTTGAATTGCATTCGACGCGACTAAAATGCGACGTCTAACACAGGCCTTAGCTTAAGGTGGCGCTTTGCGACGGCAGCAAGACAGTTGCTATAAATGTCACGGATAATATCACAAGATTAAATACAATTAAAATACTTTTGGGCAAAGAATGTCTCGAAGATGAACGGTCTTAGAAATGTCCCAATACGACCAACAGACAGACAAGTTCCAACTCCAATGCTACGAATTTCTGTCGGGTAAACCAGCGATGCAAATAACGCTACAGGGATTGTACTTGTCAGAATGAAACTTCGAGAAAACATGGTAACTATGAGTAACGGCATTCTATTGTTTACGAAGAACAGAGCGATAATCTGTGATAGGAATGTCAAGAATATAATAGTTAAGACCATATTTTTGCTCTAAAAACGTAGCAGCCTAAACTAGCTATGAAAAAGATCACAATCTCAGGCAAGTTCATCCAGATCATAATAGAATGTAAATGGGCCTTTTGCATAATAGACCAACTTACGATCTAGGCAACAAGAAGGAAATAAATCACCACAGCTAAAAAGAGCATACCAAAATTAGTATAATTGCCAAGTTTGGCCGCAAAATGTCAAGTATTACGGAAAATATAGCCATGCGAATTTGTATACTCTTTTATTACGGCTGGAAGCGTTTAACTAATTCAGTTACACACTTCCGGCCGTAGTTAAAATACGTCATAGTGGTTCCAAAGCACGCGATACAGGGGGGTGCGAATATTGTTATTTTCCAATAGCCTGATCGAAATAGTTGTGTGAAATCTGCCCTCTGTGTCTCAGGACCGTGTTTCCGAAGTCTTGTATCGCTGATATCCATCTCTGGCGCCAAATCTTGTAGAATGTTCAAAGTATTTCCCTATAGTTTATGCAAACCTAAACGGTGTTTATTGACGAGAAATTTCATTCTAAAATTTGACACAAATCATTAAAGCATTATGTTTTACTAGTAGAAATTTTAACTCTGATCTCAGAAGCGTACTTCACATCGTACATACTCATTAATAAAGATTATTATATAAAAATTTAAAATATCAATTTGTAGTCAGAAAAGTTCCGTATAAGTTCTTTTTTACGAAATTCTATAATACTGCATGGTCTTTATTATAGGGGATTATATATTATAGGGGAAGTATTGTTAAGATTCGCTTAAGGTGGAGCTTTGCGACGGCAGCAAGACAGTTGCTATAAATGTCACGGATAATATCGCAAGATTAAATATAATTCCATTAAAATACTCTTGGGCAAAGAATGTCTCGAAGATGAACGGCCCTAAGATTGTTCCCATACGGCCAACACACACACAAATTCCAACTCCAATGCTACGATTTTCTGTCGGGTAAACCAGCGATGCAAATAATGCCACAGGTGCCGTGTTTGTCGCGAGGAAACTTCGAGATAACATTGTAACTATGAATAATGGCATTTCCTGGTTTACGACAAACAAAGCGATAATCTGTGATAGGATTGCCAGGAATGTAACAAATAAAACTATAATTTTTACTGTAAAAACGTAGCAGCTTAAACCAGCCATCATAACGATTGTAATCTCAGGCAAGTTCATCCAGGTCATAATAGAATGCATATTGGCGCTTTGCAAACCATTCGTTGAAGATGTTAAATTTTGTCTGTCCGCCACGTCAGACGCAGTGTATATTAAATCGTAATACGTCATCATGATTCCGAAATTGGCGATACAAACGCATATCGTAATTTTCCAATAACCTGATCGAAATAACTGCGTGAAATCTGCTCTCTGACTCTGTGTCTCAGGACCGGGTTTCCGAAGTCTTGTGTCGCTGAAATCCATTTCAGGCGCCAAATCTTGTAGAATATTCAAAGCTTTCTGCTCGTCCCCAGCTGCAAGGTGATAATAGGGAGTCTCTGGGAGAAATATCATACCGATAAGCAAACTTGCTGCCGGAAAACACACGGTAGCCAGAGCCCAATGATAACCAATCACCGAAAGCTCCATTGAAACTACAGCCGAAAGTAGAAATCCTACCGGCCAGAAGGTCATGGTTAAAACAGAAAACATAGTTCGATATTTTGGAGGGAAAAATTCTACTATTACGACATAACCTAGATCTACAGTCGCCACTCCAAAGCCGACAAAGAAAAGGTTCATCCAAAGCCAGTAATAGTTCGTTGAAAACGCGCCCACAAATGCTGAGACAAGTATGGACGTCGTACTACCAATAATTGAACGCTTTCTGCCGTACTTGTCTGCCATCCAACCCCAAATCCAAGACCCTGTCGTCCCTCCGACAGACGCAGAGAGTGTCAATACCCCAGCCATGATTGAAGACATATTCCAGTCTGATTTTAGACTCGGAAGTATCACGGATAAAATGGAAGCTCCAAGTGCGTCTGCCATATGTTGAAGGCAAATTAAGAGGAAAACTTTCCAATGAAAAAATCTCAATCCTGTTTCTTCCAGAATTTTGTCGATTGAACGAGATTTCAGAAAATCAACATCCATGTATGTACTTTCTTTGTCATCGTCTGACATCTCGTCTGAGATTCCTTTGTATTCTGCATGAACACCATTGTCGTTGTTTTGACTTGCTTTCGACTTTTCAGAATTCGGTGTGAAAATCCATTCTAAAAACCATTTCAATTTGACCCATAGTTCCATTTTCACTGCTTTGATTAGTTTTGTATATTAGATAGTAATCCTGTTGGTATAACTTCAATCACCACAGCATTATTGAGAAGAATTCTTCACGCTTGACCAGAGGCGGTCGACTAAAACCATTTGCATGCAAATCGTCACCTTCAATGATAACACCTACTGATGACTGATCCTAAAACACACTGTGATATAGTAATGATGCCTATATAAAACATAAAACAAAACAAGAATTAATAGACTTTCTGAGACACTGACAGTCAATTCATAATTATTATTTTATTGCAATTTATCAGTTGTTATCAATTTAACAGTTTCTGCTCGTCCCTGGTGATGACAGGGAGTGTCTTGGAGAAATTCTTAATATCATACCGATAAGGACAATTACAGTTTGCCTTCGAATGACGCGACAAAGAAAGCCCTGGGTTATACTGTCTTTAAAATTACTCAAAGCGCTTTTTAGGGGCGGATTTTTTATCACAATACGTGCCCATTACCTAACCTCTGTCCTCAAAATTATTTCTATATCATGGTCCTTGTAACCTAATTCAAGGTGTCGCTTTGCGACGGCAGCAAGACAGTTGCTATAAATGTCACGGATAATATCACAAGATTAAATACAATTTCATTAAGATACTTTTGGGCAAAGAATGTCTCGAAGATGAACGGTCCTAGAATTGTCCCAATACGACCAACAGACAGACAAGTTCCAACTCCAATGCTACGAATTTCTGTCGGGTAAACGAGCGATGCAAATAACGCTACAGGGATTGTACTTGTCAGAATAAAACTTCGAGCTAACATGGTAACTATGAGTAATGGCATTCGATGGTTTACGAAGAACAGAGCGATAATTTGTGATAGGAATGTCAAGAATACAATAGTTAAGACCATATTTTTTACTCTAAAAACGTAGCAGCTTAAACCAGCTATGAGAACGATCACAATCTCAGGTAAGTTCATCCAGATCATAATCGAATGCAAATTATCGTTGTGCAAACCATTCGTTAAAGATGTTGAATTTAGATTGCCCGCCACGTCAGACGCAGTGTATATTAAGCTGAAATACGTCATAGTGGTTCCAAAGCTCGCGATATAGGTGAATGTTGTTATTTTCCAATAACCTGATCGAAATAGCTGTGTGAAATCTGCCCTCTGTGTCTCTGGACCGTGTTTCCGAAGTCTTGTGTCGCTGAAATCCATTTCTGGCGCCAAATCTTGTAGAATGTTCAAAGCTTTCTGCTCGTCCCCGGCTGCAAGGTGATAATAGGGAGTGTCTTGGAGAAATATCAGACTGATAAGGAAAATTGCAGTCGGAAAACACACGGTAGCCAGAGCCCAATGATAACCGATCACCGAAAGCTCCATTGAAACGACAGCGGAAAGTAGAAATCCTAAAGTCCAGGAGGTTAGGGTTAATACAGAAAACATAGTTCGATGTCTTGACGGAAGAAACTCCATTATTACGACATAGCTCACGTCTATGCCTCCTACTCCGAAGCCAACAAAGAAAAGGCTTATCCAAAGCCAGTAATAGTTCATTGAAAACGCGCTCGTTAGAGCGAAAACAAGTATGAACGTCGTATTTCCAATAAGGGAACATTTTCTACCATATTTGTCCGACACCCAACACCAAAGCGAGGATCCGACGATCAAACCGACAGATATGGAGAGTGTCAATACCCCAGCCATGATTGAAGAAATATTCCAGTCTGATTTTAGACTCGGAATTATCACGGATAAAATGGAAGATCCAAGTGCGTCTGCGATATGTCTAAGGCAAATTAAGAGGAAAACTTTCCAATGAAAAAATCTCAATCCTGTTTCATCCAGAATTTCGTCGATTGAACGAGATTTCAGAAAATCAACATTCAAGTATGTAGTCTCTTTGTCATCGTCTGAGATCTCGTCTGAGATTCCTTTGTATTCTGCTTGGACACCATTGTCGTTGTTTTGACTTGCTTTCGACTTTTTAGAATTCGCTGTGAAAACACATTCTAAAAACCATTTCAATTTGATCCATAGTTCCATTTTCAATCCTTGCTTGCTTTCAGTGGGAACTGTATTTAATGATATTTTTGCTGGTATAATCTATTGAATATATTGAATATATTGAATATATTGATAAGAACACAAAATGTGGGGAATGTTAGCGATGATACGCGCTTGACCAATGATGGTTGACTGTGAAGGCGTATTTGCATACAAAGTGTCATGTTCAATTATCACAACTGCTGATCCATAAATACACTGGATGCAGCAATAAAAAACGAGGCGAGAAATAATGGATTTCCGAAGACACATGTAATTGACAATCAATTAATAATTATTTATTATATTACAAGTGTCACTTCTGGTGAAATTAAGCCATGTGATTGGCTGATAAAGAGCTTATTTACTTTCCCATATTTCGACCAGCGATCCAACCCCCGTCTTACGAGCTCAGTCTTGCTCTACAAAAAGGCCTCGATCCGATATTTCTTTGTAAACACCTCACGCTTGCCCAGTCTCGTTCCCCGAGCCCACGATTTCGTCTGGCGAAGAAACAAAGGCTCTAGGGTAATCGAAATCAGAAATGATTCTGATTGGTCGTTTACGCCTGTATTATCCGAATTAATATACATTTATAAACGTCAGGCAAAACGTACTTAATCAAATACACTAATGCAGTCAGCGAGTTTCATCCTTCTGACATCTCAGTCATTACAGTTTGCCTTCGAAGGACGCGTTTGTAAAAACCGTTTCAATTTGCCCAATGCCAATGGTTCCATTTTCACCACTTCCGAAAAGATCAACTATATATAAAGTATTATGGATATAGTCGTGTAGAAATCGTATAGTGTGTTTTCCAAATCTTTAAAATATTATCTTGAATTTACCAGTTGAAAACTTCAACTCTGATCTCAAAAACTTCGTCAGCTGGTGTGGACACGCACATTAATAAAAATTGTTTCAAACTACGCATATGAATTTGACCAATGTAACTTAGCTTAAGGTGGCGCTTTGCGACGGCAGCAAGACAGTTGCTACAATTGTCACCGATAATATCACAAGATTAAATACAATTCCATTGCAATATTTTTGGGCAAAGAATGTCTCGAAGATGAATGGTCCTAGAATTGTCCCAATGCTTCCAACACACACACAAGTTCCAACTCCAATGCCACGATTTTCTGTCGGGTAAACCAGCGATGCAAATAACGGCATTAGACATGTGTTTGTCGCGAGGAAACCTCGAGATAGCATTGTGACTATGAGTAATGGCATTCCATGGTTTACGACAAACAAAGCGATAATCTGTGATAAAATTGCCAAGACTATAATAATTAAGGTTAAAGTTTTTACTCTAAAAACGTAGCAACTTAATCCAGTAATGAAAACTATCACAATCTCAGGCAAGTTCATCCAGGTCATAATGGAATACATCTTATCCCTGTTGTGCGTACCATTTCTTGAGGATGTAAATATTTTACTGCTTGCAACGGCGGACGCGGTGTATATTAAACCGTCATACGTTACCAAGGTTCCGAAGCACGCGATACAGGCGCATATTGTTATTTTCCAATAACCTGATCGAAATAGCTGTGTGAAATCTGCCCTCTGTGTCTCGGGATTGTGCTTCCAAAGTCTTGTGTCGCTGAAATCCATTTCAGGCGCTATATTTTGTAGAATGTTCAAAGCTTTTTGCTCGTCTCCAGCTGCAAGGTGATAATAAGGAGTCTCTGGGAGAAATATCAGACCGATAAGAACAATTGCAGTCGGAAAACACACGGTAGCCAGAGCCCAATGATAACCGATCACCGAAATCGCCATTGAAACAACAGCCGAAAATAGAAATCCTACACTCCAGAAGATTGTAGTTAATACAGAAAACATAGTTCGATGTTTCGGCGGGAAAAATTCCACTATCACAACGTAACCTACATTTATAATCGCCGCCCCGAAGCCGACAAAGAAAAGGTTTATCCAAAGCCAGTAATAGTTCGCTGAAAACGCGCCCACAAATGAGAAAACAAGTATGAACGTCGTACTGCCAATAAGTGAACATTTTCTCCCGTATTTGTCCGACACCCAACCCCAAAATGAAAGACCTGCCATCATTCCGATTGATATCGAGAGTGTCAATACCCCAGCCATGATTGAAGACATATTCCAGTCTGATTTTAGACTCGGAAGTATCACGGATAAAATGGAAGTTCCAAGTGCGTCTGCCATATGCTGAAGGCATATTAAGAGGAAAACTTTCCAATGAAAAAATCTCAATCCTGTTTCTTCCAGAATTTCGTCGATTGAACGACATTTCAGAAAATCAACATTGAAGTATATAGTTTCTTTGTCATCGTCTGAGATCTCGTTTGGGATTCCTTTGTATTCTGCTTGGACAACATTGTCGTTGTTTTGACTTGCTTTTGACTTTTCAGAATTCGCTGTGAAAAAACATTCTAAAAACCATTTCAATTTGACCCATAGTTTCATTTTCAATCCTTGCTTACTTTCAGTTGGAACTGTATTTAATAATATTTTTGCTGGTACAATGACTTGCATTACCGCGAGAATACAAATATGTGGGGAATGTTAGCGATGATACGGGCTTGACCAGTGACGGTTGACTGTGAAGGCGTATTTGCATACAAATTGTCATGTTTAATTATCACAACTGCTGGTCCATGAATACAAACACTGGCTCTAGGCTAATTGAAATCAGAAATGATTCTGATTGGTCGTTTACGCCTGTATTATCCCAATTAATATACATTTAATGTCAGACACAACGTTCTTTATCAAATACACTAATGCAGTCAGCGAGTTTCATCCTTCTGACATGTCAGTCATTACAGTTTGCCTTCGAAGGACGCGGCAAAGAAAACCCTGGGTTATACTGTCTTTAAGATTACTCAATGCGCTTTTTATGGGCGGAGTCTCTATCACTATCAGTGCGAATTACCCAGTTTCTTTCCTCAAAATTATTTCTATATCATGGTCCTTGTTATGTAACCTAACTTAATTAGGGTGGAGCTTTGCGACAGCAGCAAGACATACATATAACTTGCGTTAATTGATAGTGCTTAAAGATTGCAGCTGCCGAGTTTGTGAATCAGTAACTGGTTTGCTGATAGCGCAGTTTAAATTTCCAACCAAAATTAGTTCCTTATTTTCTGTATCGCATTTAAAAAGAAACAATTGGAAATCAGTAAATCTATCGAGTTCACAATAGACCTTTTTAATAATGACGTCAAACGCGGAATGTCTAATATTACACGAAGTTTGATTGGCTCGATAGTTTGCTGGAGCCAATCAAATTTCGTGTAACATCAGACTTTCCGCGTTTGACGTCATTGTAGGAAAGGACTATTAGGTGGTCGATACTAAGTAGCTATTCAGGCTTACTGTGTTGTCTAGTAATCTTAGTGCACAGCATTTATCAGGGACTGATTATCAGGGACTAAATCTTTTATCTAGATTATCAGGGACTAAATCTTTTCTTCTTAGATGAATCTATATATATCATTCTTTATATAAAAAGCCACACCACCCCCAAATCTATTTCGGCTTTAAGTTTGAATTTCGTGGAACTGATTGCTATCATGAGTTGTTCTATTGACATGATTATTTACAGACTGTGTTACGTTATTTAACGATGCTCTCAAAAGCTTTATCATTGACATCATCCGAAAATCCAATTTACGAGATTTGGTTATATAGGAAGACAGTTGCTATGTATGTCGCCAATAATGTCACAAGATTAAATACAATTCCGTGCAATCATCTGAGATCTCGATTTATTGGTATATTGCATGGACTTCGTGGTCGTTGTTTTGACTTGCAATCGACTTCTCTGGACTCGCTGACAAACTTTGTAAAAACCGTTTCAATTTACCCAATGGTTCCATTTTCACCACTTTTGAAAAGATCAACTATATATAAAGTATGATGGATATAGTCGTGTAGAAATCGTATAGTGTTATAGTGTTGTATATCTTTAAAATATTATCTTCAATTTACCAGTTGAAAACTTCAACTCTGATCTCAAAAACTTCGTCAGCTGGTGTGGACACGCACATTAATAAAAATTCTTTCAAACTACGCATATAAATTTGACCAATGTATCTTAGCTTAAGGTGGCGCTTTGCGACGGCAGCAAGACAGTTGCTATAATTGTCACCGATAATATCACAAGATTGAAAACAATTCCGTTGAAATATTTTTGGGCAAAGAATGTCTCGAAGATGAACGGTCCTAGAATTGACCCAATGCTTCCAACACACACACAAGTTCCAACTCCAATGCTACGATTTTCTGTCGGGTAAACCAGCGATGCAAATAACGACATTAGACATGTGTTTGTCGCGAGGAAACTTCGAGATAACATTGTAACTATGAGTAATGGCATTCTATGGTTTACGACAAACAGAGCGATAATCTGTGATAAAATTGCCAAGACTATAATCATTAAGGTTAAAATTTTTACTCTAAAAACGTAGCAACTTAAACCAGTTATGAAAACCATCACAATCTCAGGCAAGTTCATCCAGGCCATAATGGAATGCATATTTTCACTGTTTCGCGTGTCATTCGTTGAAGATGTTGAATTTTGACTGCCTGCAACGTCAGACGCGGTGTATATTAAACCGTCATACGTCACTAAGGTTCCAAAATTGGCGATACAAGCGCATATTGTGATTTTCCAATAACCTGATCGAAATAGCTGTGTGAAATCTGCCCTCTGTGTCTCGGGATTGTGCTTCCGAAGTCTTGTGTCGCTGAAATCCATTTCAGGCGCTAAATCTTGTAGAATGTTCAAAGCTTTCTGTTCGTCCCCAGCTGCAAGGTGATAATAGGGAGTGTCTGGGAGAAATATCATACCGATAAGAAAAATTGCAGTCGGAAAACACACGGTAGCCAGAGCCCAATGATAACCGATCACCGAAAGCTCCATTGAAACAACAGCCGAAAGTAGAAATCCCAAAGTCCAGAACAGCGTGGTTAATACTGAAAACATATTTCGATATTTTAGCGGGAAGAATTCCACTATTACGACATAACTCAGATCTACAGTCGTAACTCCGAATCCGACAAAGAAAAGGCTTATCCAAAGCCAGTAATAGTTCGTTGAAAACGCGCTCATCAGTGCGAAGACAAGTATGAACATTCCACTCCCGATAAATGAGAACTTTCTGCCGTATTTGTCCGACAGCCACGCCCAAAACGGTGATCCTACCAGGATACCGACAGACATCGAGAGTGTCAATACTCCCCAGCCATGATTGGAGACATTTTCCAATCTGATTTTAGACTCGGGAGTACAATGGATAAAATGGAATATTCAATCGCATTTGCCATAAGTTGAACGCACATCAACAGGAAAACTTTCCAATGAAAAAATCTCAATCCTGTTTCATCCAGAATTTCGTCGATTGAACGAAATGTAAGAAAGTCAGCATTCAAATTTTTGGTTTCTTCATCGACGTCTGAGATTTCATCCGAAATACGTTGATATTTTGCTTTCGGCTTCTCAGAACTCGTTCCAGAAATCGACATAGTCTGTGAGAACTGCTTCAAATGGTCCGTTGCTGTATTTCCAATCAAGTCGTTGATTCCAGTTCGATCTGTATTGGATTCAATTTTTGGTAGTATGCTTGTCCGCTGACCAGAAAGGATACATTTGCGACCAAACTGGTCACGTGCAGTCACTGATCATCCCCGCTGATCTCAAAACACACTGGAGTGGGTGGACATGGCCACTATACCTGTCAAAACCGGAATCTGAGCGTGATTTCACAAATCACAATGCAAATCACATGCAACTATATGACATATAACAAGCTATCTCGATGCAGGCTACAAAGGCTATAAAGGCTACTTTACACGGTGCGTTATTTGCTGAAACAATTTATGCGTTGTCGCAAAGTGAATTGGATCATGAATGTTACGATGAAAAGTTAAGATATCTCGCCGCTGCGACCGCGATCAGGATGAACAGATGAATCTGTGCTACTAGTATTCATGTAAACAATATTTCACGGCACCTCCGCCGTGAAAGTCCGGCGTCCGCGTCCTCGATGTAAATCTGTCTGATAAGTTTGCAGCACTATTTTTTCACAAACAGGATTTGTGCGACTAAATTTCCCATGTTCAAAATTTTTTCTGCTCTGACTCTAGTTCATTTTAATTGGAAGACCGATAGGAAAGCAATATATTGTGCGAGTTACACAGACAGTTCATGGTATTTCAAAAACAACAGTTGAAAATGTAATAAACAAAGCCTTTATTTACATTACATCTGGACATCGCCTTTGAGCCAGTGCAGCAAGACGGTTGCTATAAATATTACCGATAATATTTCACCATTAAATACAATTCCATTGATATATTTCTGGGCGAAGAATGTCTCGAATATGAACGGTCCGAGAATTGTCTCAATGCTGCCGATATACCGGAAATTTCCAGTAGCATTTCTACGCGATTTTTGTCCGGTAAATGAAAGATGCAAATATCACTGCAAGAGTTAACTGTATCGCGAGAAGACTATTTCATCAGAAATTTAACCTGACGTTGCTTAGGTCAGTCAGTATTTAATGAATGATAACTCTCGAACCTTTTAATTATCGATAAAAACGTGCCTACCATCGATAAAATAGTACAATAGAAACTGAATTATGAATCATAAACTTACTTCTGTTTACGAACCGTTCAAACAGCAAACTCGGTTTATAGCGACAGTATATTTCAGCGTAGCAAATCTTCGTCTTAACTATAGACGAATATATTCCGTCGTAATGTGATATCATATTACTATGAGTGTTATGTGCGGATACGCCTTGATCTTGTTGGATTTGAGGCTGTTGTCATCTTCTCGATCTGATCAACACACACCGCATATAACTTTTATAATGTCCTTTATTTATTATTTCTCACACATTTAAGGCGGATTTCCACTTACAGCGAAATCGTTCGCTGGCGAAATATTTGCATATTTTCTTTTGAATTGAGAGCACTCATGCAAGTCGCACTAATTTATTTATGCTGTTTAAATTCAAAAGAAAATATGCTAATATTTCGCTAGCGAACGATTTCGCTGTAAGTGGAAATCCGCCTTTAGACACTACGGATACAAGACATCTACTAATACACACACACACAGAACGAATGAACGATACCGTTATTTACATAATGTACACTAATCTATGATTGGTCAGATCTCGACCACATATGGAACAATTTTTCTTTGTATCTATTTACAGTGTTTCCTTATTTAAAACACTAACACATACATTGACTGACATATTGACGTATTGACACATTACATGACTGACATAAGAGCACAACCTAACAGATCTTACGGACATAAACAAAGACTGAGAGAAGAGAGGTATCAGTATTAGCTATGAGTAATGGCATTTTATTGTTTACGACAAACTCAGCGTCGGATTTTACTTGTTTACAGGGATTGTACTTGTCAGAATGAAACTTCGAGTTAACATGATAGCTATGAGCAATTCAAGCATTTGCATGGTTTGCGACAAAACCAGCGATAATCTAACTGTGATAACTGATAAGATTGCCAAGAATATAATAGTCAGGACCATAATTTTTACTTTAATAACGTAGCAGCTTAAACCAGCTATGAGAACAATCACAATCTCAGCCAAGTTCATCCAGGCCATAGTAGAATGCAAATTACGTCAGTCGCAGTGTAGATTAAGCTGCGGTACGTCACTATGATTCAAAAAGTCGCAATGCAGAAGCCTATTGTATATTTCTAAACTGGTATAAATTAATGACTTGCATTACCGCGAGACACAAAATATGTGGGGAATGTTAGCGATGATACGCGCTTGACCAGTGACGGTTGACTGTGAAGGCGAATTTGCATATAAATTGTCACGTTCAATTATCACAACTGCTGACCATAAACTACACTGGATGTAGTAATCAAAAACGAACCCAGCATTAAATAGACATCCGAAGACTAAATTGACAGTCAATTAATATGACAAGCGCTACTTCTGGTTAAATTAAGTCCAGTGATTGGCTGAGATTCCTGAGAAAGAGCTTATTTACTGTCCCGCAGTGGGACCGTCGATCCATTACGAGATTGAAATTTCAAATGCAATGCATATTTTATGCCGTATGTCATGTGATGTCATGTCAATTATCACAACTGTTGATCCATAAATACACTGGATGTAGCAATCACAAACGAAGTCAGAGACAAGCGTCATTTCTGGTGAAATTAAGTCCTGTATTCAACCATTATGAGATTGAAATCTGAGATGCAATCCATAACTCATACCATAATAGGTACTAATACTCATACTATAATATTAACATAGCATGCTCGGTTTTTACCGTGAAATATCGGACCTCGATCGTGCAAGCCTCGCCTCACGGGCTCGGTCTTCCTGTACAAAAAGGCCTCGGTCCGATATTTCTTGGTAAAGACCTTGCGCTTGGTCAAAAATCTGTCCAAATTTCTCAGTTGCTTTCTTCAATCAATTTTTATGTTATGGTCCTTGTTATATACCTTAGCTTAAGGTGGCGCTTTCCGACGGCAGCAAGACAGTTGCCATAAATGTCACGGATAATATCACAAGATTAAATACAATTCCATTGCAATATTTTTGGGCAAAGAATGTCTCGAAGATGAACGGTCCTAGAATTGTCCCAATGTTTCCAACACACACACAAGTTCCAACTCCAATGCCACGATTTTCTGTCGGATAAACCAGCGATACAAATAACGGCATTAGAGTGCGTTTGTCACAAGGAAACTTCGAGATAACATTGTGACTATGAGTAATGGCATTCCATGGTTTACGACAAATAGAGCGATAATCTGTGATAAAATTGCCAAGACTATAATAATTAAGGTCAAAACTTTTACTCTAAAAACGTAGCAACTTAAACCAGTTATGCAAACGATCAGAATTTCAGGCAAGTTCATCCAGATCATAATGGAATACATCTTATCGCGGTTTCGCGTGTCATTCGTTGAAGATGTAAATTTTTTACTGCCTGCAACGTCAGACGCGGTGTATATTAAACCGTCATACATCATCAGGGTTCCGAAGCACGCGATACAGGCGCATATTGTTATTTTCCAATAACCTAATCGAAATAGCTGTGTGAAATCTGCTCTCTGTGTCTCAGGACCGTGTTTGCGAAGTCTTGTGTCGCTTAAATCCATTTCAGGCGCTAAATCTTGTAGAATGTTCAAAGCTCTCTGTTCGTCCCCAGCTGCAAGGTGATAATAGGGAGTCTCTGGGAGAAATATTAGACCGATAAGGACAATTGCAGTCGGAAAACACACGGTAGCCAGAGCCCAATGATAACCGATTACCGAAAGCTCCATTGAAACGACAGCCGAAAATAGAAATCCTACACTCCAGAAGATTGTAGTTAATACAGAAAACATAGTTCGATGTTTCGGCGGGAAAAATTCCACTATCACAACGTAACCTAGATCTATAATCGCCGCCCCGAAGCCGACAAAGAAAAGGTTTATCCAAAGCCAGTAATAGTTCGTTGAAAACGCGCCCACAAATGAGAAAACAAGTATGAACGTCGTACTGCCAATAAGTGAATATTTTCTCCCGTATTTGTCCGACACCCAACCCCAAAACGAAACGCCTGCCATCATTCCGGCTGATATCGAGAGTGTCAATACCCCAGCCATGATTGAAGACATGTCCCAGTCTGATTTTAGACTCGGAAGTATCACGGATAAAATGGAATTTCCAAGTGCGTCTACCATATGCTGAAGGCAAATTAAGAGGAAAACTTTCCAATGAAAAAATCTCAATCCTGTTTCATCCAGAATTTCGTCGATTGAACGAGATTTAAGAAAATCAACATTCAAGTATGTAGTTTCTTTGTCATCATCTGAAATCTCGTCTGAGATTCCTTTGTATTCTGCATGGACACCATTGTCGTTGTTTTGACTTTCTTTCGAATGTTCAGAGCTCGCTGTGAAAATCCATTTTAAAAACCATTTCAATTTGACCCATGGTTCCATTTTCAATCCTTGTTTCCTTTCAGTTGGAACTGTTTTGAATAATATTTTTGCTGGGGTAATTACTTGCATAGAGCACAAATATGTGGGGGATGTTAGCGATATGACGCGCTTGACCAGTGACGGTTGACTGTGAAGGCGTATTTGCATACAAGTTAGTCAATTATCACAACTATATTAGTAGTTTAATTATCACAACTGCTGATCCATAAATACACATGATTTACACGCGTAAAAATCAAGTGCAAATTGTTAAAAACAGGAGTGAGCAATGTTGTGCTGCACCCTGTGAACAGTATTGTTAACAATGTTGTTGAAGCTTGTTGAATCATCAATGTTGTTGCAACTTGTTACAACAACGTTTCATCAACATTGATGATGCAACAAGCTTCAACAACATTGTTAACAATACTGTTCACAGGGTGCAGCCATGCAGTGGCGTAGCCAGTCCGACAATTTAATCATGCTATGCTAATATTTAGGTGTTCATTCTCTGTGAAAACAATGAATTTCTAAAGAAATGAATAATGATAATAACATAAAATTTGCATAGCATGACTAAATCGTCAGGCTGGCTACGCCACTGGGTGCAGCACAACATTGTTCACTCTTGATGCGACAACCTGATAAATTTTTGGCCGTGTAGTAATCAAAAATGAGCTTAGAAGTAATAGACTTCCGAAGACTAAAGCTCTGTTTACACTACACTCACTATATTAGCACGGCATGACTAAAATTGGTACCAGTGCTCAATTTTATTAGTGCTCAGGCTACTAAAACAAAGGCCGGGCACGGATGAAATGGGCATGGGTACCCATTTTAGCCTATCCGTACAAATAAATCGAGTGTAGTGTAAACGAGGCTTAAATTGACAGTCAATTAATATGACAAGCCCCACTTCTGGCCAAGAATATAATAGTCAGGACCATAATTTTTACTTTAATAACGTAGCAACTTAAACCAGCTATGAGAACAATCACAATCTCAGCCAATCACAAAACATCGTACGTCCAGTCAAATTGCAAGAAATTAATTTACACAGTGAATTACGATTTTTATTTCATCATTCTGCTGTGCATAAATCTCTATACAAATATAATAATACTTTATATATAGCTGATCCTTTCGAAAGTGGTGAAATTTGTGAAAGTGGTGAAAATGGAACCATTGGGCAAATTGAAACGGTTTTTACAAAGTTTGTCGACTTCCACAGCGACTGCAGTCTCCACGTTTTACGTTTTTCAATAAAAAAGAGCAATTTAATTGCGAGTATCATACATATATAAATTTCAGATACTTTTGACGGATGTTTTTACAATAAAAATACTGTGGAAAATGCACTTTACGTCCTCTAAAAGATGTTTTAGTTCTGCATGTTAAAAAATTATTTTTAAAATTTCAAAACACCGCGTGTTTTGTTACGTGAAAAAACTGTGCATGACCTCAAGATTTGACTTAAAATTTCCCGCCGAAGGTAGCGTTCCAGTTCTTTTAAGTTCAATGGTTAAAAATTTCAACTCTGATCTCAAAAACATCGACGACAGCTAGTGTGGACCAGTGGTGTGGACATACACATTAATTAATGAAAATTATTTTAAAATATCGAATCTAAATCTAACTGATGGTAGCTTAGCTTAACGTGGCGCTTGGCGACGGCAGCAAGACAGTTGCTATAAATGTCACGGATAATATCGCAACATTAAATACAATTCCATTAAAATACTCTTGGGCAAAGAATGTCTCGAAGATGAACGGTCCTAGAATTGTCCCAATGTTTCCAACACACACACAAGTTCCAACTCCAATGCCACGATTTTCTGTCGGATAAACCAGCGATGCAAATAACGGCATTAGAGTTGCGTTTGTCACAAGGAAACTTCGAGATAACATTGTGACTATGAGTAATGGCATTCCATGGTTTACGACAAATAGAGCGATAATCTGTGATAAAATTGCCAAGACTATAATAATTAAGGTCAAAACTTTTACTCTAAAAACGTAGCAACTTAAACCAGTTATGCAAACGATCAGAATTTCAGGCAAGTTCATCCAGATCATAATGGAATACATCTTATCGCGGTTTCGCGTGTCATTCGTTGAAGATGTAAATTTTTTACTGCCTGCAACGTCAGACGCGGTGTATATTAAACCGTCATACATCATCAGGGTTCCGAAGCACGCGATACAGGCGCATATTGTTATTTTCCAATAACCTAATCGAAATAGCTGTGTGAAATCTGCTCTCTGTGTCTCAGGACCGTGTTTCCGAAGTCTTGTGTCGCTTAAATCCATTTCAGGCGCTATATTTTGTAGAATATTCAAAGCTTTCTGCTCGTGCCCAGCTGCAAGGTGATAATAGGGAGTCTCTGGGAGAAATATCAGACCGATAAGGACAATTGCAGTCGGAAAACACACGGTAGCCAGAGCCCAATGATAACCAATCACCAAAATCTCCATCGAAACAACAGCCGAACATAGAAATCCTAAACTCCAGAAGATTGCAGTTAATACAGAAAACATAGTTCGATGTTTTGGTGGGAAAAACTCCACTATCACAACGTAACCTAGATCTATAATCGCCACCCCGAAGCCGACAAAGAAAAGGTTTATCCAAAGCCAGTAGTAGTTCATTGAAAACGCGCCCACAAATGAGAAAACAAGTATGAACGTCGTACTGCCAATAAGTGAATATTTTCTCCCGTATTTGTCCGACACCCAACCCCAAAACGAAACGCCTGCCATCAGTCCGGCTGATATCGAGAGTGTCAATACCCCAGCCATGATTGAAGACATATCCCAGTCTGATTTTAGTTTCGGAAGTATCACGGATAAAATGGAATTTCCAAGTGCGTCTACCGTATGTTGAACACAAATTAAGAGGAACACTTTCCAATGAAAAAATCTCAATCCTGTTTCATCCAGAATTTCGTCGATTGAACGAGATTTCAGAAAATCAACATCGGTGTATGTAGTTTCTTTGTCATCGTCTGAGATCTCGTCTGAGATTCCTTTGTATTCTGCTTGGACACCATTGTCGTTGTTTTGACTTCCTTTCGACTTTTCAGAATTCGCTGTGAAAATCCATTCTAAAAACCATTTCAATTTGACCCATAGTTCCATTTTCAATCCTTTTGCTAGTTTTGTATATTCGATAATATTTCGTATAACTTCAAACACCGCAGCAATATTGAGAAGTATTCCTCACGCTTGACTAGTGGCGTTCGACCAAACCATTTGCATGCAAAGTGTCACATTCAATCATAACACCTACTAATGCCTATATAAAACATCAGTAAAAAAAAGAATTAATAGACTTTCTGAGACACTGACAGTCAATTCATAATTATTATTCAATTGCAATTTATCAGTTGTTATCAATCTATCAGTTTCTGCTCGTCCCCGGCTGCAAGGTGATATGATAATATAATACCGATAAGGACAATTACAGTTTGCCTTCGAAGTACGCGACAAAGAGAAGCCCTGGGTTATTATACTATCTTTAAGATTACTCAATGCGCTTTTTACTGTCGGAGTTTCTATCACAATGAGTGTTAAATACCCCGCAGTTTCTTTCCTCAAAATTATTTCTATATCATGGTCCTTGTTGCATGTGTAACCTAACTTAAGGTGGCGCTTTGCGACGGCAGCAAGACAGTTGTTATAAATGTCACGGATAATATCACAACATTAAATACAACTCCATTAAGATACTTTTGGGCAAAGAATGTCTCGAAGATGAACGGTCTTAGAATTGTCCCAATACGACCAACAGACAGACAAGTTCCAACTCCAATGCTACGATTTTCTGTCGGGTAAACGAGCGATGCAAATAACGCCATCAGAGTTGTGTTTGTCTCAAGGAAACTTCGAGATAACATGGTGGCTATGAGTAACGCAAGCATTTGGTTTACGACAAAACCAGCGATAATCTGTGATAAGATTGTCAAGAATATAATATAGTCAGGACCATAATTTTTACTTTAATATCGTAGCAGCCTAAACCAGCTATGAGAACGATCACAATCTCAGCCAAGTTCATTCAGGCCATAATAGAATGCAAATTATCGTTTTGCGAACCATTTGTAGTTGAATTTTGACAGCCCGCTACGCCCGTCGCAGTGTATATTAAGCTCCAGTACGTCACCATGATTCCGAAAGTCGTAATGCAGAGGCCTATTGTGTTTTTTCAATAACCTGATCGAAATAACTTCGTGAAATCTGCCCTCTGTGTCTCACCACTGTGTTTCCGAAGTATTGTGTTGCTGAAATCCATTTCAGGCGCTATATTTTGTAGAATGATCAAAGCTTTCTGCTCGTCCCCAGCTGCAAGGTGATAATAGGGAGTCTCTTGGAGAAATATCAGACCGATAAGGACAATTGCAGTCGGAAAACACACGGTAGCCAGAGCCCAATGATAACCGATCACCGAAAGCTCCACTGAAACTACAGCCGAAAATAGGAATTCTAAAGTCCAAAATACTATAGACAGTTAAAGGAAACATAGTTCGATATTTTTTTGGGAAGAATTCCACTATTACAACATAGCTTAGATCTACAATGCCAAACGCAAAGCTAACAAAAAAAAGGCTCATCCATAACCAGTAATAGTTCGGTGAAAACGCGCTCATGGACGCGAAAACAAGTAAAAGTATCCCACTTTCAAAAAATGAACTTTCTACCGTATTCGTCCGACACCCAACTCCAAAACGGTGTTCCCGTCACCGTTCCGACAGATATCGAGAGTGTCAATACCCCAGCCATGATTGAAGACATATCCCAGTATGATTTGAGACTCGGAAGTATCACGGATAAAATGGAAGCTCCAAGCGGATGCGCGCCTGCGGTATGTTGAACACAAATTAAGAGGAAAACTTTCCAATGAAAAAATCTCAATCCTGTTTCATTCAGAATTTCTTCGATTAAACGAGATTTTAGAAGATCAACATCCGTGTATGTAGTTTCTTTGTCATCGTCTGAGATCTCGTCTGAGATTCCTTTGTATTCTGCTTGGACACCATTGTCGTTGTTTTGACATGCTTTCGACTTTTTAGAATTCGCTGTGAAAATCCATTCTAAAAAGCATTTTAATTTGACCCATAGTTCCATTTTCAATCCTTGCTTGCTTTCAGTTGGAACTGTATTTAATATTTTGTATTTAATATATCCTTGCGCTTCGTCAATAATCTGTGCAAATCAGTTGCTTTCCTTGTGTTATGGTCCTTGTTATATAACGTAGCTTCAGGGGTGCATCCAGCACTAGTGCACTAATTTGCATGACACAAAAAAACTGCTAAAAATAACCACTTTGTTTTTCAATGCAAATTTGTGCACTAGTACTGGATCCACTTCTGCTTAACTTAAGGTGGCGCTTTCCGACGGCAGCAAGACAGTTGCTATAATTGTCACGGATAATATCACAACATTAAATACAATTCCATTCAGATATTTTTCGGCAAAGAATGTCTCGAAAATGAACGGTCCTAGAATTGCCCCAATATTTCCAACACACACACAAGTTCCAACTCCAATGCCACGATTTTCTGTCGGGTAAACCAGCGATGCAAATAACGGCATTAGACATGTGTTTGTCGCGAGGAAACTTCGAGATAACATTGTAACTATGAGTAATGGCATTCTATGGTTTACGACAAACAGTGCGATAATCTGTGATAAAATTGCCAAGACTATAATAGTTAGGGTTAAAATTTTTACTCTGAAAACGTAACAACTTAATCCAGTTATGAAAGCGATCACAATCTCAGGCAAGTTCATCCAAATCATAATAGAATGCATTTTATCGCGGTTACGCGTGTCATTCGTTAAAGATGTTAAATTTTGACTGCCTGCAACGTCGGGTGCCGTGTATATTAAACCATCATACGTCACTAAGGTTCCACTGAAATAGGCGAAACAGGCGCATATTGTTATTTTCCAATAACCTGATCGAAATAGTTGTGTAAAAACTGCCCTCTGTGTCTCAGGACCGTGTTTCTAAAGTCTTGTGTCGCTGAAATCCATTTCAGACGCCAAATTTTGTAGAATATTCAAAGCTTTCTGCTCCAAAGCCAGTAATAGTTCATTGAAAACGCGCTCGTTAAGGCGAAAACAAGTATGAACGTCATACTGCCAATGAGTGAACATTTTCTACGGTATTTGTCCGACACCCAACCCCAAAACGAAACGCCTGCCATCAGTCCGGCTGATATCGAGAGTGTCAATACCCCAGCCATGATTGAAGACATATTCCAGTCTGATTTTAGAGTCTGCCATATTTTGAACACAAATTAGGAGGAACACTTTCCAATGAAAATATCTCAATCCTGTTTCATCCAGAATTTCTTCGATTGAAAGAGATTTAAGGAAATCGTCATTCAAATTTGTGGTTTCTTCGTCGGCGTTTGAGATTTCGTCTGGAATACGTTTGTATTTTCTTTGATTCTTTATACTCCCACTTGCTCTGGGCTTCTCAGAACTCGTTCCACAAATCGACATAGTTTTTAAGAACTGCTTCAAATTGTCCGTTAATCCATTTTTATGAACAACTTCGTTGATAACAGTTTGATCTTTATTGGAAAATATTTTTCTCGCTTGCAAAACTTGCATGTCTGACTGGTGACTAAATAGAAGACATTTGCAAAACAATCTGGTCACATGCAGTCACTGATCACCTCTTGCTGATCTGACAAAACTCTGGATAGACCTATATCCTAAACGAAACCAGAGGCGGATTTTAATTACGCTACGCTTAATTTTTCGATAGAACGATATTTTTCGCTTTATTTTCCGAGAGTCAAGCAATCGAAATGAATTGATACACCTCGCGAGCCCCACACTGGACTTGCAACAGATGATCCCTAAATGGACAGCTAGCAGACGCATAGCTAGTGCGGGGGCCGGAGGTCTCCCCCTCCCACCCCCCTGGTAAAATTTTAAGCCCCTCCTGTGAAAATGAAGTGATATTTGCATATAAATTGGTCACACTCAGTGATCCCACTACTGATTTAAAAATACACTGGATGAATGTATCCACTATTCTTATGGAAAAGGTAGCCATAATTTATAGACTTCTGCATGGACACTCCATTGACAGTCTATTAATAATAATTATATTATTTCTCGTTCTCCCAAACTCCCACGCGTGTTTGTATAACTGTATAGAAACACGGAAATTGTTTTCTATTTCTTAATTATTATATAGAAAGATTTCTAGTTAATTCAAGAATTATTTTTTAAAACTGTTTTAAATCAAAATGTACTCTTGATAAACAGAGTTTTTCTACACGACTATTTTCCTAATACTACGTACATATACTTTCTTGAGAGCAGTTTCTTCCAACTTCTTAAGATCTATATTTTAGTTATCTCTATATATTTGATCTCAAAAACTTTGACAGTTAGTGTGGACACACAAATTAATGAAAATTCTTTTGAAATATCAAATATGAATTTGACTGATATGACTTAGCTTAAGATGGCGCTTTGCGACGGCAGCAAGACAGTTGCTATAAACGTCACCATTAATATCGCAAGATTAAATACAATTCCATTAGGGTAATTTTGGGCAAAGAATGTCTCGAAGATGAACGGTCCTAGAATTGTTCCAATGTGGCCAACACACACACAAGTTCCAACTCCAATGCCACGATTTTCTGTCGGGTAAACCAGCGATGCAAATAGCTCCATTAGAGTTGTGTTTGTCGCGAGGAAACTTCGAGATAACATTGTAACTATGAGTAATGGCATTCTATGGTTTACGACGAAGAGAGCGATAATCTGTGATAAAATTGCCAAGACTATAATGATTAAGGTTAAAATTTTTACTCTAAAAACTTGGCAACTTAATCCAGTTATGAAAGCGATCACAATTTCAGGCACGTTCATCCAGGCCATAATTGAATGCATATATTCGCGGTTTCGCGTGTCATTCGTTAAAGATGTAAAATTTTGACTGCCTGCAACCTCGGGTGCCGTGTATATTAAACCGTCATACGTCACTGAGATTCCAAAATAGGCGACACAGGCGCATATTGTGATTTTCCAATAACCTGATCGAAATAGTTGTGTGAAATCTGCCCTCTGTGTCTCAGGACCGTGTTTCCGAAGTCTTGTGTCGCTGAAATCCATTTCAGGCGCCAAATCTCGTAGAATAGTCAAAGCTTTCTGCTCGTCTCCGGCGGCAAGGTGATAATAGGGAGTCTCTGGGAGAAATATCAGACCGATAAGGAAAATTGCAGTCGGAAAACACACGGTAGCCAGACCCCAATGATAACCGATCACCGAAAGCTCCATTGAAACGACAGCCGAAAGTAGAAATCCTAAAGTCCAGAAGATTGTAGTTAACACAGAAAACATTGTTCGATGTTTTGGCGGGAAAAACTCCAAGATGATGACATAACTGAGATCTACAGTTGCCACTCCGAAGCCAACAAAGAAAAGGCTTATCCAAAGCCAGTAATAGTTTATTGAAAACGCGCTCGTTAAGGCGAAAACAAACATGAATGTCGTACTACCAATAAGTGAAAATTTTCTCCCGTATTTGTCCGACACCCAACCCCAAAACGAAACGCCTGCTATTATACCGGCTGATATCGAGAGTGTCAATACCCCAGCCATGATTGAAGACGTATCCCAGTCTGATTTTAGACTCGGAAGTATCACGGATAAAATGGAAAATCCAAGCGCACCTGCCGTATGTTGAACACAAATTAAGAGGAACACTTTCCAATGAAAAAACCTCAATCCTGTTTCATCCAGAATTTCGTCGATTGAAAGAGATTTAAGAAAATCATCATTCAAATTTGTGGTTTCTTCATCGACGTCTGAGATTTCGTCTGGAATACGTTTGTATTTTGTTTGATTCTTTATACTTCCACTTGCTCTAGGCTTATCAGAACCCGTTCCAGAAATCGACATAGTTTTTAAGAACTGCTTCAAATTGGTCCGTTAATCCATTTCTATGAACAACTTCGTTGATAACAGTTTGATCTTTATTGGAAAATATTTTTCTTGGTTTCAAAACTTGCATGCCTGACTGACTGACTGGTGTCTAAATAAAGGACATTTGCAAACAATCTGGTCACATGCAGTCACTGATCACCTGCCGTTGATTTGATAAAACAATGGATAGACGAAGCTATATCCTATATCCTAAACGAAACCAGAGGCGGTTTTCCATTAGGCTGATTTTTTGATCGAACGATATTTTCGGAGAACTGCAGTGAGGGTCTCCAGTAATTCTGGAGTGTCCAATAATTCCGGAGTGTCCAGTAATTCCGGAGTCGAGCAATCGAAAAGAATTGATACATCACGCGAGCCCCACACTGAACCTGCAATAGATGATCCCTAACTGGACCGCTACGAAGATAAACAGAGTTTAACACACACACTATACGTTTTCTACACGAATATATTCATGATACAATATAGCTATATATAGTTAAGCCTCTTGAAGGCGGTTTCTTTGATCAGTGCAAGGTATTTACCTTAAAAACAAAAATTGTTGTTGTCAATTTTTGTCGTTAGGGGTTTCTTTCCAAAGTAGCATATTCTGAATTGTGAATTGAAATTATATTAAAAAAACGAAATTCTATATAAAAAAACCAACTAAAAACTAAACTATTGTGTGACTTGTTTGGCATACGTAATCGAAACTGCCAGCACCTGGCAACCCCGTTGGGACGCTAACGAAGAAAACGGGACTTTGCGAAGAAACGTGAGTAAAACCTTTGAAAATCGATGCTATTTGCATCCAGAAGCAAAGACGTTAGTGTAAACAAGATGCCCCCCAAAACAAAAGTTATGGCGATTGGACAAAGACAACACAACTAAAAATAGCAATTGTGAAGACTGAAACTGCAATAAATAATCGGAAAGAAACTGTAATAAATAAGAACATCAGCGTTCAAATTTGTGTTTTTCTTCATCGGCGTCTGAGATTTCGTCTGGAATACGTTGGTATTTTGTTTGATCCTTTATACTTCCACTTGCTTTGGGCTTCTTAGAACTCGTTCCAAAAATCGACATAGTTTTTTAAGAACTGCCGTCGAAGACTCTCAAACATTTAATATTTAAGAAATAGAAAACATTTTCCGTGTTTCTATACAGTTATAGAAACACGCGTGGGAGTTTGGGAGAACGAGAAATAATCAGTGGGAAAACGAGCCCGTAGGGCGAGTTTTTCCACGTTATTTCGAGTTCTCCCAAACTCCCACAAGTGTTTCTATAACTGTATAGAAACACAGGAAAAAATGTTTTCTATTTCTTTTATAATATAACTCAATAAAAAGATTTTGTACAAATATTATGATTCGATTCAATTACAAATTCTCATTACATCGCTTCGCTTGTCAAGTTCGGCGGGAAAATTCCCGTGTTTCTATACAGTTATAGAAACACGCTTCTCGACCAATCAGCACGCGCGTACTATAAATGTTATATTATAATAGTATTTAGAACAATTCTAACATTCAACTCTGATATCAAAAACTTCGAGAGTTAGTGTGGACACACAAATTAACGACAATTATTTTGAAATATCAAATATAAATTTGACTGATATAACCTAACTTAAGGTGGTGCTTTGCGACGGCAGCAGGACAGTTGCTATAAATGTCACCATTAATATCGCAAGATTAAATATAATTCCATTAAGATAATTTTGGGCAAAGAATGTCTCGAAGATGAACGGTCCTAGAATCGTCCCAATGTGTCCAACACACACACAAGCTCCAACTCCAATGCTACGATTTTCTGTCGGGTAAACCAGCGATGCAAATAGCTCCATTAGAGTTGTGTTTGTCGCGAGGAAACTTCGAGATAACATTGTAACTATGAGTAATGGCATTCTATCGTTTACGACAAACAAAGCGATAATCTGTGATAAAAGTGCCAAGACTATAATGATTAAGGTTAATTTTTTTAATCTTAAAACGTAGCAACTTAAACCAGTTATGAAAACCATCACAATCTCAGGCAAGTTCATCCAGGCCATAATGGAATGCATATTTTCGCTGTTTCGCGTGTCATTCGTTGAAGATGTTGAATTTTGACTGCCCGCAACGTCAGACGCGGTGTATATTAAACCGTCATACGTCACTAAGGTTCCAAAATTGGCGATACAAGCGCATATTGTTATTTTCCAATAACCTGATCGAAATAGCTGTGTGAAATCTGCCCTCTGTGTCTCGGGATTGTGCTTCCGAAGTCTTGTGTCGCTGAAATCCATTTCAGGCGCTAAATCTTGTAGAATGTTCAAAGCTTTCTGTTCGTCCCCAGCTGCAAGGTGATAATAGGGAGTGTCTGGGAGAAATATCATACCGATAAGAAAAATTGCAGTCGGAAAACACACGGTAGCCAGAGCCCAATGATAACCGATCACCGAAAGCTCCATTGAAACAACAGCCGAAAGTAGAAATCCCAAAGTCCAGAACAGCGTGGTTAATACTGAAAACATATTTCGATATTTTAGCGGGAAGAATTCCACTATTACAACGTAACTGAGATCTACAGTCGTAACTCCAAATCCGACAAAGAAAAGGCTTATCCAAAGCCAGTAATAGTTCGTTGAAAACGCGCTCATCAATGCGAAGACAAGTATGAACATTCCACTCCCGATAAATGAGAACTTTCTGCCGTATTTGTCCGACAGCCACGCCCAAAACGGTGATCCTACCAGGATACCGACAGACATCGAGAGTGTCAATACCCCAGCCATGATTGGAGACATTTTCCAATCTGATTTTAGACTCGGGAGTACAATGGATAAAATGGAATATTCAATCGCATTTGCCATAAGTTGAACGCACATCAACAGGAAAACTTTCCAATGAAAAAATCTCAATCCTGTTTCATCCAGAATTTCGTCAATTGAACGAAATGTAAGAAAGTCAGCATTCAAATTTTTGGTTTCTTCATCGACGTCTGAGATTTCATCCGAAATACGTTGATATTTTGCTTTCGGCTTCTCAGAACTCGTTCCAGAAATCGACATAGTCTGTGAGAACTGCTTCAAATGGTCCGTTGCTGTATTTCCAATCAAGTCGTTGATTCCAGTTCGATCAGTATTGGATACAATTTTTGGTAGTATGCTTGTCCTCTGACCAGAAAGGATACATTTGCGACCAAACTGGTCACGTGCAGTCACTGATCATCCCCGCTGATCTCAAAACACACTGGAGTGGGTGGACATGGCCACTATACCTGTCAAAACCGGAATCTGAGCGTGATTTCACAAATCACAATGCAAATCACATGCAACTATATGACATATAACAAGCTATCTCGATGCAGGCTACAAAGGCTATAAAGGCTACTTTACACGGTGCGTTATTTGCTGAAACAATTTATGCGTTGTCGCAAAGTGAATTGGATCATGAATGTTACGATGAAAAGTTAAGATATCTCGCCGCTGCGACCGCGATCAGGATGAACAGATGAATCTGTGCTACTAGTATTCATGTAAACAATATTTCACGGCACCTCCGCCGTGAAAGTCCGGCGTCCGCGTCCTCGATGTAAATCTGTCTGATAAGTTTGCAGCACTATTTTTTCACATACATCACAAACAGGATTTGTGCGACTAAATTTCCCATGTTCAAAATTTTTTCTGCTCTGACTCTAGTTCATTTTAATTGGAAGACCGATAGGAAAGCAATATATTGTGCGAGTTACACAGACAGTTCATGGTATTTCAAAAACAACAGTTGAAAATGTAATAAACAAAGCCTTTATTTACATTACATCTGGACATCGCCTTTGAGCCAGGCAGCAAGACGGTTGCTATAAATATTACCGATAATATTTCACCATTAAATACAATTCCATTGATATATTTCTGGGCGAAGAATGTCTCGAATATGAACGGTCCGAGAATTGTCTCAATGCTGCCGATATACCGGAAATTTCCAGTAGCATTTCTACGCGATTTTTGTCCGGTAAATGAAAGATGCAAATATCACTGCAAGAGTTAACTGTATCGCGAGAAGACTATTTCATCAGAAATTTAACCTGACGTTGCTTAGGTCAGTCAGTATTTAATGAATGATAACTCTCGAACCTTTTAATTATCGATAAAAACGTGCCTACCATCGATAAAATAGTACAATAGAAACTGAATTATGAATCATAAACTTACTTCTGTTTACGAACCGTTCAAACAGCAAACTCGGTTTATAGCGACAGTATATTTCAGCGTAGCAAATCTTCGTCTTAACTATAGACGAATATATTCCGTCGTAATGTGATATCATATTACTATGAGTGTTATGTGCGGATACGCCTTGATCTTGTTGGATTTGAGGCTGTTGTCATCTTCTCGATCTGATCAACACACACCGCATATAACTTTTATAATGTCCTTTATTTATTATTTCTCACACATTTAAGGCGGATTTCCACTTACAACGAAATCGTTCGCTGGCGAAATATTTGCATATTTTCTTTTGAATTGAGAGCACTCATGCAAGTCGCACTAATTTATTTATGCTGTTTAAATTCAAAAGAAAATATGCTAATATTTCGCTAGCGAACGATTTCGCTGTAAGTGGAAATCCGCCTTTAGACACTACGGATACAAGACATCTACTAATACACACACACAAAACGAATGAACGATACCGTTATTTACATAATGTACACTAATCTATGATTGGTCAGATCTCGACCACATATGGAACAATTTTTCTTTGTATCTATTTACAGTGTTTCCTTATTTAAAACACTAACACATACATTGACTGACATATTGACGTATTGACACATTACATGACTGACATAAGAGCACAACCTAACAGATCTTACGGACATAAACAAAGACTGAGAGAAGAGAGGTATCAGTATTAGCTATGAGTAATGGCATTTTATTGTTTACGACAAACTCAGCGTCGGGATTTTACTTGTTTACAGGGATTGTACTTGTCAGAATGAAACTTCGAGTTAACATGATAGCTATGAGTAATTCAAGCATTTGCATGGTTTGCGACAAAACCAGCGATAATCTAGCTGTGATAAGATTGCCAAGACTATAATAGTCAAGGACCATAATTTTTACTTTAATAACGTAGCAGCTTAAACCAGCTATGAGAACAATCACAATCTCAGCCAAGTTCATCCAGGCCATAGTAGAATGCAAATTACGTCAGTCGCAGTGTAGATTAAGCTGCAGTACGTCACTATGATTCAAAAAGTCGCAATGCAGAAGCCTATTGTATATTTCTAACTGGTATAAATTAATGACTTGCATTACCGCGAGAACACAAATATGTGGGGAATGTTAGCGATGATACGCGCTTGACCAGTGACGGTTGACTGTGAAGGCGAATTTGCATATAAATTGTCACGTTCAATTATCACAACTGCTGACCATAAACTACACTGGATGTAGTAATCAAAAACGAACCCAGCATTAAATAGACATCCGAAGACTAAATTGACAGTCAATTAATATGACAAGCGCTACTTCTGGTTAAATTAAGTCCAGTGATTGGCTGAGATTCCTGAGAAAGAGCTTATTTACTGTCCCGCAGTGGGACCGTCGATCCATTACGAGATTGAAATTTCAAATGCAATGCATATTTTATGCCGTATGTCATGTGATGTCATGTCAATTATCACAACTGTTGATCCATAAATACACTGGATGTAGCAATCACAAACGAAGTCAGAGACAAGCGTCATTTCTGGTGAAATTAAGTCCTGTATTCAACCATTATGAGATTGAAATCTGAGATGCAATCCATAACTCATACCATAATAGGTACTAATACTCATACTATAATATTAACATAGCATGCTCGGTTTTTACCGTGAAATATCGGACCTCGATCGTGCAAGCCTCGCCTCACGGGCTCGGTCTTCCTGTACAAAAAGGCCTCGGTCCGATATTTCTTGGTAAAGACCTTGCGCTTGGTCAAAAATCTGTCCAAATTTCTCAGTTGCTTTCTTCAATCAATTTTTATGTTATGGTCCTTGTTATATACCTTAGCTTAAGGTGGCGCTTTCCGACGGCAGCAAGACAGTTGCCATAAATGTCACGGATAATATCACAAGATTAAATACAATTCCATTGCAATATTTTTGGGCAAAGAATGTCTCGAAGATGAACGGTCCTAGAATTGTCCCAATGTTTCCAACACACACACAAGTTCCAACTCCAATGCCACGATTTTCTGTCGGATAAACCAGCGATGCAAATAACGGCATTAGAGTTGCGTTTGTCACAAGGAAACTTCGAGATAACATTGTGACTATGAGTAATGGCATTCCATGGTTTACGACAAATAGAGCGATAATCTGTGATAAAATTGCCAAGACTATAATAATTAAGGTCAAAACTTTTACTCTAAAAACGTAGCAACTTAAACCAGTTATGCAAACGATCAGAATTTCAGGCAAGTTCATCCAGATCATAATGGAATACATCTTATCGCGGTTTCGCGTGTCATTCGTTGAAGATGTAAATTTTTTACTGCCTGCAACGTCAGACGCGGTGTATATTAAACCGTCATACATCATCAGGGTTCCGAAGCACGCGATACAGGCGCATATTGTTATTTTCCAATAACCTAATCGAAATAGCTGTGTGAAATCTGCTCTCTGTGTCTCAGGACCGTGTTTGCGAAGTCTTGTGTCGCTTAAATCCATTTCAGGCGCTAAATTTGTAGAATGTTCAAAGCTTTCTGCTCGTCCCAGCTGCAAGGTGATAATAGGGAGTCTCTGGGAGAAATATCAGACCGATAAGGACAATTGCAGTCGGAAAACACACGGTAGCCAGAGCCCAATGATAACCAATCACCAAAATCTCCATTGAAACGACAGCTGAAAATAGAAATCCTAAACTCCAGAAGATTGCAGTTAATACAGAAAACACAGTTCGATGTTTTGGTGGGAAAAACTCCACTATCACAACGTAACCTAGATCTATAATCGCCACCCCGAAGCCGACAAAGAAAAGGTTTATCCAAAGCCAGTAGTAGTTCATTGAAAACGCGCCCACAAATGAGAAAACAAGTATGAACGTCGTACTGCCAATAAGTGAATATTTTCTCCCGTATTTGTCCGACACCCAACCCCAAAACGAAACGCCTGCCATCAGTCCGGCTGATATCGAGAGTGTCAATACCCCAGCCATGATTGAAGACATATCCCAGTCTGATTTTAGTTTCGGAAGTATCACGGATAAAATGGAATTTCCAAGTGCGTCTACCGTATGTTGAACACAAATTAAGAGGAACACTTTCCAATGAAAAAATCTCAATCCTGTTTCATCCAGAATTTCGTCGATTGAACGAGATTTCAGAAAATCAACATCGGTGTATGTAGTTTCTTTGTCATCGTCTGAGATCTCGTCTGAGATTCCTTTGTATTCTGCTTGGACACCATTGTCGTTGTTTTGACTTCCTTTCGACTTTTCAGAATTCGCTGTGAAAATCCATTCTAAAAACCATTTCAATTTGACCCATAGTTCCATTTTCAATCCTTTTGCTAGTTTTGTATATTCGATAATATTTCGTATAACTTCAAACACCGCAGCAATATTGAGAAGTATTCCTCACGCTTGACTAGTGGCGTTCGACCAAACCATTTGCATGCAAAGTGTCACGTTCAATCATAACACCTACTAATGCCTATATAAAACATCAGTAAAAAAAAGAATTAATAGACTTTCTGAGACACTGACAGTCAATTCATAATTATTATTCAATTGCAATTTATCAGTTGTTATCAATCTATCAGTTTCTGCTCGTCCCCGGCTGCAAGGTGATATGATAATATAATACCGATAAGGACAATTACAGTTTGCCTTCGAAGTACGCGACAAAGAGAAGCCCTGGGTTATTATACTATCTTTAAGATTACTCAATGCGCTTTTTACTGTCGGAGTTTCTACCACAATGAGTGTTAAATACCCCGCAGTTTCTTTCCTCAAAATTATTTCTATATCATGGTCCTTGTTGCATGTGTAACCTAACTTAAGGTGGAGCTTTGCGACGGCAGCAAGACAGTTGTTATAAATGTCACGGATAATATCACAACATTAAATACAACTCCATTAAGATACTTTTGGGCAAAGAATGTCTCGAAGATGAACGGTCTTAGAATTGTCCCAATACGACCAACAGACAGACAAGTTCCAACTCCAATGCTACGATTTTCTGTCGGGTAAACGAGCGATGCAAATAACGCCATCAGAGTTGTGTTTGTCTCAAGGAAACTTCGAGATAACATGGTGGCTATGAGTAACGCAAGCATTTGGTTTACGACAAAACCAGTGATAATCTGTGATGAGATTGCCAAGAATATAATAGTGAGGACCATAATTTTTACTTTAATATCGTAGCAGCCTAAACCAGCTATGAGCCTATGAGAACGATCACAATCTCAGCCAAGTTCATCCAGGCCATAATAGAATGCAAATTATCGTTTTGCGAACCATTTGTAGTTGAATTTTGACAGCCCGCTACGCCAGTCGCAGTGTACATTAAGCTCCAGTACGTCACCATGATTCCGAAAGTCGTAATGCAGAGGCCTATTGTGTTTTTTCAATAACCTGATCGAAATAACTTCGTGAAATCTGCCCTCTGTGTCTCACCACTGTGTTTCCGAAGTATTGTGTTGCTGAAATCCATTTCAGGCGCTATATTTTGTAGAATGTTCAAAGCTTTCTGCTCGTGCCCGGCTGCAAGGTGATAATAGGGAGTCTCTGGGAGAAATATCAGACCGATAAGGAAAATTGCAGTCGGAAAACACACGGTAGCCAGAGCCCAATGATAACCGATCACCGAAAGCTCCACTGAAACTACAGCCGAAAATCTAAAGTCCAAAATACTATAGACAGTTAAAGGAAACATAGTTCGATATTTTTTTGGGAAGAATTCCACTATTACAACATAGCTTAGATCTACAATGCCAAACGCAAAGCTTACAAAAAAAAGGCTCATCCATAACCAGTAATAGTTCGGTGAAAACGCGCTCATGAACGCGAAAACAAGTAAAAGTATCCCACTTTCAAAAAATGAACTCTTTCTACCGTATTCGTCCGACACCCAACTCCAAAACGGTGTTCCCGTCACCGTTCCGACAGATATCGAGAGTGTCAATACCCCAGCCATGATTGAAGACATATCCCAGTCTGATTTGAGACTCGGAAGTATCACGGATAAAATGGAAGCTGCAAGCGGATGCGCGCCTGCGGTATGTTAAACACAAATTAAGAGGAAAACTTTCCAGTGAAAAAATCTCAATCCTGTTTCATCCAGAATTTCGTCGATTGAACGAGATTTAAAAAAATCAACATTCATGTATGTAGTTTCTTTGTCATCGTCTGAGATCTCGTCTGGTATTCCTTTGTATTCTGCATGAACACCAT